TTATATTCTTATTTTTAATTGCTTGTGTTTTTAGAGCTATCTTTGCTGATCTCTGTATTTGTGCTTATGCCAGTATCACACTGAATTATTTGACTTTTAAAAGTCAAAATTCATTGTAATCATACTTATAAATGACTACTTTCAGTTTGGTACAGCAAATCCATAAGAGTGTAATTATGGTATGCATACTGTACCTCCACCTGCTTTTATCATGCCAAAAAAAAAAATCATGATTGTCATTTCAGTAAACATAGATTTTATTATTTTTAATTACAATTTAATGACTTTTTAAAATTACTATTTATGTTATAGTTGCTTCCTAACTTTTTTTTTTTTTTTTAGATAGAGTCTCGCTTTGTTGTCTGGGCTAGAGTGCCATGGTGTCAGCCTAGCTCACAGCAACCTCAAACTCCTGGGCTCAAGCAATCCTACTGCTTCAGCCTCCTGAGTAGCTGGGACTACAGTCATGCGCCACCATGCCTGGCTAATTTATATATATATATATATTGGTTGGCCAATTAACTTCTTTCTATTTATAGTAGAGACAGGGTCTCACTCTTGCTCAGGCTGGTTTCGAACTCCTGACCTCGAGCAATCCACCCGCCTTGGCCTCCCAGAGTGCTAGGATTACAGGCGTGAGCCACTGCGCCAGGCCTTGCTTCCTAACTTTTGCAGTGATAAAAGCTGTCCTCATTAATATGACCCCAAATTTACCTTTGGATGCTCTTTTTTTCTTCTAAAATATTTTTAATTGCTAAAATTATCTACATTTTCTCCTTGTAAACTGTTTTGTTCGTTTTCATCAATCCTAATCCCAATGCCATACTTGAAGTGTATTCACTGTTTTGAAAATGTTGCTTATACATCAAGATATTTTAAAAATTGTTTTCTTATATTTGTTATTGCTGATTTACTTCTTATGTATACCTATGTATAATTATGCTGTATGTATTGGTTTGCTGTGAGAAGTTAATGAATTAATAAATGTAAAGTACTTAGAACTATTCTTGTATGTTTAGTAAAAATTTTCCACTACTATCATTAATATACTCATTATCATAGGTATGTTCATTAGTATTTGTAGAAAATATTTTAACCATGTTGTTTTTCTTTGTCAAATACATAATTCATAATGGATAAATAGAAATACTTGTAATGAGTATAGGAAAGCCTTTCCTCATCATTCAGCATAGAATATAAAAAGGAAAAAAGTATGTATGGGTAGTCTTTGTTCAGACTTAATCTTTTATGGTGCACAAAGAACTTGAGTCTAAAACTCTGTGGATATAATGATTTATAGTTCAAAGTACAGCTGTCAAAAAAAGGAGGAGTTAATATTTTTCCTAATAATTTGTTGCCCCTAAAAGTAGAAAGCATACAAGTCACATTCTTTGACTAGAAGAAATAGTAACAATCGGATAGCAATCAAATACCTGAATATTAATTCAGTATCCCCTCTTAATTAACACAGGTTAAGGAAATAAATCCCTAATATACACATTATTTAAATGTGAATGAAAATGAGAACACAACTGAAAAACCTGTGAGTGCCAGTAAAAGTTGTATAGAAAGTTTATAACCCAATATGCCAATATCCATGCATATATTGAAATACTAGAAAGAATATAAATAATATCAATATAGAACCCAAGGAACTAAAACAAGCAAAAATGAATTGTAGAAAGAGTATGGTATTATTAAAAAGGCAAAAATAAATGAAAGAAAACTGGATCTAAAATTGAAAATTTGATTATATGATGGAAGGAAAAAAAGGAAACTAGTGATTCTGGAGTTAAATGAAATAGGAATGACAAATGAACAGCACTGCAAATGAGAAATTGAAATGACTATATATTTAAACTTAAAAGAACCATCTTTTTTGGGTGATGAAAATGTTGTGGAATTAGTGCTGTATATTTCACAACTTTGTGAATATACTAAAAGCCACTGAACTGTATAATACTTTAAAGGGGTGACTATTATGGTATGTGAGTTTTATCTCAATTTAAAAACTTAAAAATTGGTATTATACACATTTTATCAATATATCTGAAAGTCTGGATAAAGCCTGATTATAAAGAAAGTGAACTGACATCAGAATTAACTGGAGGTGTATAATCTTAATAGACTTTCATCAAAAAGGAACTTTAAAAAATTGCAGCAAAAAAATATTCAAAAAATATTTTGTGTCATGTTGCTACACTGTAAGATACCAAAGTAGGTGAAATCTATGAACTCTTTCAGGACATGGGCTAAGATAGCAAATTATGTATTTTTGTGAATTTGTCATAATCCTGATGTTAAAACCTGCTAGGAGCACACAAAAAGATGTGTCCAGAATGTTATGAAAACATGCTGTTATAAATTAGCAAACCAAAACTAGTAATCCATTGAAAGAAAATAAAATATTTGTCACAATCTGAATTTAAGAACAAAAAGATTCTGATAAATTCTTATCTAAAAGGCCATAACTTTTTAAAAAATTGTAATTCCCCTGTAATTGTAAGAAAGCCATTGTAAAGGACAAGGCTGGATTTATCTAGGTTTTGAAGTCTGATCTAAAGAAGGTCTTTCAATCTCTGGACTCGGTTAGGATTATTTGAGGATCATAGTTTAACAGTTTAGGATGAGTGAAAACATCAAGCAAGGACTTTTGATAGATGAGATTTGGAATGTAAACTGTAGATAATTCTATTGAAAAGTTGATGGGTCTTTTGAAAATTTACTGTAATGCACAATAAGTCTTTAGGTTTTCTCTTCATGTGCACAAGTCTTCTGGAATAACGATGTGATACTAAAGAAGATAATGGCATAATAATGTAATGTTAATACAGTCAGTAAGTTTTATCAAGGTGTAGATGATCTCAGTTCTCAGTGTCTAAGGATAGATGGTTTGGATTCTCAATATCATCACTGGGAATAACTTAACTTTTCTTTAAAAGAATAGCTGAACAAAGTTAAAACTGACATTGTAAACAATATGCAATATGTTTTCATCACTATATAAATACTGAACATAGAGCCCTTTAAAATAATTAAGCTGGTTTTTTCAAGATGGGTGACTAGAGATCTTGGTTGCTAGTTCTTCTGAGAAAGAAAAATCAAAGGTTTTCTTTGATTCTTCAAAGACACAAGAGCTGAGATTCCCTGGGCAGGGTAGCTGTGGAAACACACTCCTTGAAGTAACAGGCATGGGCCTCACCCTTTCTGCAAGCCTGGGCATGGTTGGAATGCCATCACTGGGGGTATGGCTGGCCACCCTAATGCTATGGAATGACCATCCCCCAGTGCACCTGTGCCAACCTCCCATTCCCCTGCCAGGGAATCTCAGCCCTTGTGTTTCCACGTCACTGGACCCCCAGCAAACATTCCCCAGCACCCACTCAGACTGCAGCTGCCAGAGGGTGCCAGCAGGTCCCACAGGATTCCTAAAGTTCTCACATTCAGGGTAGGCTTCCCCTAGGGGAGAGGGCAGGACCTCTCCTGCCCTGCAGGACCCTGGGGTGCTGCTTGGGACAAAGGAGACTAGAGCATGTGCTCTATTTCACTTGATCGTTCCCTACTAGCGAGCTGAGGTGTCTGCTCTTCCCTCAGCAGAGAAGCAGGCACAATGCTGCACTCTGAAGAGGAGAACAGATCTGGTCCAGCAACCAGGTGGCACTGGTGCCCAGGAACGAATGTGGAGTTAGGCCTTTGAGGAGGGTCCCCGTCTCTACAATTTTTACTTCCGGTGTAGGCACGTTGGATTCCTACGCAGATCTGGCTGTCCGTGCCTTGTGCCCACAGGGGAACCCTCAGTCCCAATGCCCCTTCAGATGGCTGCATGATTCCCACTGGATGAGATGTAGCCCAAGATGGGGCGGCCTTTGCCTTGGAATAAAAGTGGTGTTTCCTTTCTTTGCCACTTTGCTCTTCCTTGATGGGGGCTGCGGGGTATGTGCTCTACTTACTTACTGAGTTCCTGGGGTCAAGGCTGTGGGGCCCGGTAGCAGCGCAGAACTCTTGGCTCCTTCTGTTTCCCAGGGAAGAAGGCACTAGGGATTGGGTGGGTGCAGGTGGGGGAGCCATAGTGGTCCCAGTGGTTGAAGGTGGGGCTGTTTCCACTTCTCGAAGAACTTTTACCTTTCGGGCAAGATTCCCCGATCTTGCCTGGTACTCCAGCCCCAGGGCCTGTGTGATCCCAGGTATGCCTGGCTTCTCCCTGACGTTCTTGAGGCCTTCAGTGCCCCCTTGGGAGCAGCCCTGTGGTCACTGTCAGTCTGGGAATAGCCCAGACCTGCGTCTGAAACACGTGCTTCGCTGCGCCTGCCCTTCTGGATCCCATTGCCCCCAGTGGCCTCACTGTGGTCACCTTTACAGCCCTTGGGACTTGTCTGGGCCAATGTTTCCACTTTTGTTGAGCATCGGTGGGGACAAGCAAGGGCACCCGGCATTGGAGAACAGGGCGATATCTGGTAGGCCCAGGTCCCAGAGAGGCAGGGGACACAAAGATCAGTGAATTGTCAGCTAACCCCTGCCCTTGGGAACTCTGGTAACCTCAGGTTTCCCAACCACACCAGGTCCCCTCGCCACATTTCACCCCCACCACGACATGAGCCCATACCTGCCCACACCATCCAACCCGAAATCGATGCAAAGGGGACTGCCACTGTGCTCACCTCACCCTGAAGCTGGGCCTCCACCGGAACCGACCCAGGGCTCGGCTCCAAGGGGTCCTGAGAGCAGGATGGTTAGGGTCTGGCCCTCGGTCCCCGCCGCAGCCGTCTTGGCCCTCTAAGTTACCCCTCACCTGCATCTCATGCTCCATCGGCAGCACACCCCCACCCCCACCGCGAAGTCCTCACATCTCCTGGACAGCGCAAGTGTGCATGGCCGCCAAAGCCTCACTTCCGGGACTCCCCGTCGGCCTTGCAACTGCGCGTGCGCGTGCGCGTGCCTCCAGCCTGGCGCCTGCCAACACAGCAACTGCTGCGGTTGCCTAGCGACCATGTTCCTCAGGCGCCGGGCTCTGGCCTGCCCTTTCCAGCGGTTCGAGGTCGTGGGCCCGGGAGCCCGGGAGCGGCGGAGCGTCGAGCGGGCCCAAGAAGCCTCGTCGGAGGCGCAGGGACTCAACGCAGAATCCATCGCTGCCTCACGCCTGCCTCTCCTGTCGGTGTGCACACGAGTCCCCCCAACGTTGTACCCTCTGTGCCCTAGAGGCCTGGACGGCCTGTGTGCCCCTGGGCTGGTCTGCTTCCCAAGGCGGCTTCCCGGCAGGGTGCAGAACACCGCAGCCTCCGGAGCCACCTGTGTGTTTGTGAGGCTGTGGGAGGGTTTTGGAGGGCGGTGTGTGTGTGTGTGTGTTCGTCTGTTGTTGGCGGGTGGCCTATGGCGGGAGGAATGTGTCTTGGGCGTTAGGTGGGAGAGGGGGAGGGGGGCTCATCTCAAGTTGGCTTTCCCACTGCCGAGCTGTTACTCTCTGTCCACCTGGGCTGCCTGGCCTGTGTGGAAGTCTCTTCTCCTTGTGGCTCCTGCCTGAAGGCCTGGGTGAGATGAGGGCTGACTGGGACTGGCAGGCATAGGAGTAACCTTCCCACAGGAGGGGCCGCTTTTGTCAACCTAAGAAGACCACATCACAGTTGAGGACAGAAAGCTCTAAAGGACCCCCAGCCTTGGCGTGAAGGTCAGGGGCAGATGGACGTCAAGGAAAGTGAAGCTATCTCCATTCCCCTTTTCCCCTGGTGGTCGCACCTGCTCTCCCCATGGCCCCAGGATTGAGAAGCAGAGCATAGGGTAGGGACAGAGTGCTTCCTTCAAAGTGTGGCCTTTGGGGCTACCTCACCCGTGTTGCTCTCCTTCCCTTATCCCCGTTCATGCAGCAGTGGGGAGTGACTTCTCCTGCGTGGGCTCTCACCTCTCCTGGGTCCTCTGTCTTGTTTTCCTGAACCTTTTTCATGGGCCTAGATTTTCTCCTTCTGGGTCCATCTCATTAACAGAATTTCTCCCTGTTCAGCCAGGACAACATTCTGGGGTTATCCTTTTCATGAGGGTTCCTTTCTCTACACATTGTGCTTCCTGGGTAGGCGCGCCAGATTATCAGGCAGATCTGGCTGTCCATGCCTTGTGCCCACAGGAGAACCCTCAGTCCCAGTGCCCCTTCAGATAGCTGCATGATTCCCACTGGATGAGATGTAGCCCAGGATAGGGCAGGCCCTGGCCTTGGCCTTGGAATAAATGTGTTTCCTTTGATCTCCACTTTGCTCTCCCTTGGTGGGGGCTGGGAGGTGTGTGCTCTACTTACTGTGTTTCTCGGGACATGGCTGTGGGGCCCAGGTAGCAGGTGAGAACCCTCTGGCTGCTTCTGCTTCCCCACAGAAGAAGGGACTAGGGATTGGGTAGATACAGGTGGGGGAAACCGCAGTGGTCCCAGTTGTGGAAAGTGGGGCTGTTTCTTCTTCTTGGAGGCTTTTTTGCCTTCAGGCAAGATTCCCTGACTGGCCTGGGACTCCAGCCAACGGCTTGTGTGGTCACTCCTATGCTTGACTTCTCCTTGACGTTCTTGGGGCCTTCAGTGCCCCCTGGAAGCAGACCTGTGGTCGCTGTCAGTCTGGGAATAGCCCAGACTATGTCTGAAACATGTGCTTCTCTCTATCTGCCTTTCTGGGATCCCATTTCCCCCAGTGGCCTATCTGTGGTCCCCATGGCAGCCCCTTACACTTGCGTAGCTCAGTGTTTCCACATTTGCTGAGAAGCGGTGGGGAGAAGCAAGAGCCCCTGGCATTGGAGAACAGGGCAATGCCTGGTAGGCCTAGGTCCCAGAGAGGCAGTAGACACAAGGATCAGTGAATTGTCAGGTAACCTCTGTCCTTGGGGACTGTGATAAGCTGAGGTTCCCCAACCACCTACAGGTGGTTCCCCACTGAGGTTCCCCACCTCCTTACATTTCACCCCCACCACATGAGCCCATACCTGCCCACACCATCCAACTTGAAATCAGATGCAAGGGGACTGCCACTGTTCTCACCTCACCCTGAAGCTAGGCCTCCACCGGGAACAGACCCAGAACTCAGCTCTAAGGGGCCTGAGAACAAGATGGTTAGGGTCCAGCCCTGGGTCCCCGCCTCAGCCTTCTTCCCCCTCCCAGATACTCCCACTGGCATCCCATGCTCCATCCACTGCACACGGCCCTACCTGCACCCCTCTCCAGGACGTCAGGCAGCATCTGGGATTACCTGCCGACCTTGCAGCCATGCTTGTGGGTGTTCCGGGTTTGGGGCCTGCCCTCACAGTGACTGCTGCAGTTGCCTAGGGACCATGTCCCTAAGGCCTTGGGAGCGGCAAACCTCTGTGGTCATGTCTCGGTGCTGGTTGCTGTGAGCTAGGCTGACACCACAGCACTCTAGCCCAGGCAACAGAGTGAGACTCTGTCTCAAAAAAAAAAAATTAATTAATTAGTGAATAACTCAAATTCTTTACTGGTCTGAGTCATTATTCTTCTTCCTTTAAATCTGCTAAGATTACTGTAATCTTGTGAAGCTTTCCAAATAAGTTATTACCCAATACTTAGAAATTATTAAAATAAGTATATCTATACCTCCAGGAAGTATTTAAAAAAAGAGAAATGATGGTTAAGCTTATGATACTAATATATTTTAGACTAGATGTAATATAAGTTTGGTAATGTTTTATAATCTTATTTGTTTCTGTTCAAGGCGTAAGTATTGAGTCATACTAAAACTACTCTAAGTTATTTAAAGGGAATTTGTCTTAATATTTAAAAAATAATTTTCATATTTTTACTAGATATACATATAAAGTGACTCTTAAGTTATCAAAGTAGTAGTCATTGGTTCACTCCCTGCACATACATACATCCTTCATTCTTTCCTAATTAATTTGTTCTGACATGTTTTTATAAATGCTATTCAGATAATTCCCAAAATTCTAACTGGTTCTAACTGTCCAAGATGGTCAAGTTTCCACATCACCAAAATTCACCTCTATACATCTAATCAGATAAAATATGAATATATTGCCCCACACTTTCATTTTCCTCATTACTCTGAAGAATGGTAATGATTTATTCTCTAAAAATTTTAGGCATCAAATGCTTTACTTTTACCCATAGTCAAAAATGGCTCATTCTTTCTGTATGCCAGCAATGTCTTTGTCTGATGATGTCCCAATTGCTAAAGAAGATATCCATAAACTTCTTAAACCAAGTTTACAGCCCACACACAAATAAGACCCCATTTACAGTTCTATCTTATTATATTCTTCCACACAATGTTTAAATCCATACTGAAAGAAAATCAAATAATTCCTTCAAGATAAAGAGCCATTCGTTATATTGTTGAATATGTTATTCTCTGAGCTTTTTATTCATTATCTCTTCAAAGGCCTATGGTGAGTCACCTGACACAAATGATTTTAACTCCTTAAGGGAAAGCCTGTTAAGGAACTTAACTATGTGAATTTGTATATATTCATCCTTATTGTGGAACAGACTAATAAACACTAAATTAATTTTATCACCAAATAGAATGTAACAATTATCACAGCTTTATGAAGGCTCTATATTCAACTTTCATATACACATTATATCATAAGAATTTTCTTTGGGATAATTATGCCACATAAAAGAGTAAAGCTGTCTCACATGTATAGCAAACACAGGGTGTGTGAATCAGTACTCTAATTCCACAAGGCAAAAATCTAACACAAAGTAAATTAAGCAACAAAAAAGGAAATTTATTGGATCACAAAAATAAAAAAGTAAAGGATGGTGTAGACATCAGGTATGATTGGCTCCAGGAGATCAAACAATGTCATCAGATTTCTGTCTGTCCATCTCCATTTTCCTCTGTGTTAGATTTCTCTTTGGGAAGGTTTTCCTCATGGGGTGGCACAAAGTCTACTGGTTAGTTTTTTTTTGAGACAGAGTCTCACTTTTGTTGCCATGGCTAGAGTGCTGTGGCATCAGCCTAGCTCACAGCAACCTCAAACTCCTGGGCTCAAGCCATCCTCCTGCCTCAGCCTCCTGAGTAGCTGGGACTACAGGCATGCGCCACCATGCCCAGCTAATTTTTTCTTTATATTTTTAGGTGCCCAATTAATTTGTTTCTATTTTTAGTAGAGAGGGGGTCTCGCTCTTGCTCAGGCTGGTCTAGAACTCCTGACCTTGCACGAACCTCCAGCCTCAGCCTCCCAGAGTGCTAGGATTACAGGCATGAGCCACCGTGCCCAGCGAACTGGTTAGTTTATAATCTCACTTAATCCTTGAAATTTACAATTCCAGACCAAAAAAAAAAAAAGATCTTATCTCTTACCCATAATAATACCACCAAAGGGCTCTAGATTGATCCAGTCAGACAGGGCCTTTTGCCAATCCTTTCTTAACCACTAGATTGGGGAAAATCATTGGCCAGCCTATGACCAATCCATTGCTGTCCCTGATTAACAGTTTTATCAGAAACATACGCATTGAAGGTGGGGCAAGTCAGGTATACAACAGATCATAAAGTAACAGATGTCTACTACTCAGGATATTTCAAATAATGGATGCTCATGAACTAAAGGCTTTTCCATATTACATTCATAGAATTACTAACCAAAAATAACTCACTGAGATTCAATAAGGTCTCAGTGACTAAATGTTTTCTTTCCTATACTTGTTGTAATCAGAGGTTTTTTCTATTATGCATTCTCTGATGTCGTCTAAGGGCTGAGGCACGGCTAAAATTATTCCCACATTCATTACATTTATAAGGTTTTTCTCCAGCATGAATTCTCTGGTGTAACCTAAGGGACAAGATCTGATGGAAAGCCTTCCCACATTCATTACATTCATAGGGTTTCTCTCCAGTATGTATTCTCTGATGTTGATTAAGGTATGAGCCACAACTGAAGGCTTTCCCACATTTGTTACATTCAAAGGGTTTCTCTCCTGCATGACTTCTCTTATGGTGAATTAGAACTAAAGCATCACTAAAGGCTTTCCCACATTTACTGCATTCAAATGGTCTCTCTCCAGTATGAATTCTATGGTGTCGATTAAGTTGTGAGTCAGTCCTAAAAAACTTTCCACATTTGATGCACTCATAGGGCTTTTCTCCGGTATGGATTCTCTGGTGTTGATTTAGGTGTGAGCGATAGCCAAAGGTCTTCCCACATTCGCTACATTTGAAGGGTTTCTCTCCTGTGTGGATTCTTTGATGGAGAGTAAGGGCTATGCGTCTGCTGAAGGCTTTTCCACATTGATTACATTTGTAGGGTTTTTCTCCAGTGTGAATCCTCTGATGTTGATTAAGATGTGCACTCTGTCTGAAGGCTTTGTTACATTCCTTACATTCATATGGTTTCTCCCCTGTGTGAATTCTCTGATGTTCAACAAGAAACGCATAACGGCTAAAGGCCTTCCCACATTCATTGCATGGAAATGGTTTCTCTCCAGTGTGGATCCTCTGATGTTGAGCAAGGTGTGCACTCTGCCTGAAGGCTTTGTTACATTCCTTACATTCATATGGTTTCTCTCCAATATGAGTTCGCTGATGTTCGCTGAGAAAGAAGTCATGGCTAAAGGCTTTCCCACAGTCATTGCATGCATATGGTTTCTCTCCACTCTGAATTCTCTGAGGTTGGGTAAAGAATGAGTAACAACTAAAAGCATTACCACATTCATCATATCCATGAGGTAATTTTCCAAAATGAGTGGTCTGATGTTGAGTAAATAATGAGTGGAAACTTAAGAGATTCGAAAAATCATTACTTTCATAAGGCTTTTCACCAGAAGGAACTCCTATATCTTTACTGAAGTGTGTACTCTGGTTGAATTCATCACATTCATTACCTATCAAAGACTCCTTCTCAGTATGGAGTCTTTTATATTCAATTATGACTGAATTTTGGGGGAAAAGTTTATCATAAATATCAAATTTATGTACTTTTTCTACGGTAGGAACTTTCTGTTGTGTTAAAAGTACTGACTTCAGGGGGATACTTCTCCCAGAATTATTATATTCATTGTCTCTTTTCCCAGTAGAGATTTCCTCAACAGTTGTTACTTGCCTGACATGCCTCTTTTGATTTCCGTGATGCTGCTCAAATTCATCCTCATATTTCCAGGCTCCTCTGAAACTGGAGCATTCAAGTCCACGACTTAGTCTTTCAATTACCATCCCCTGGTACATTTCTTCTTCCTCAATGAACCATTTTGGAGATAATTCCTTGATTTCACACCAAGATTCCCAGTCTGAAAAATAGCAAGAAATAAAATGTCTCTTTTTTTCCTTTGTGAGGAGAAAGAAAACTGTTATAAAAGAAATTGAAAAATTTAACTAGGGGGAAGGAGAGGAGAAAGCACATGGTTCTAACATCTCCAAAATATAGCCATGCAATATGAACAAAAGACAAAGGAAACATAAAGAATGATGAGAGCTAGTAGGGGAAGGTATATGTATTGGTGATGGGAAGTGGTAATAGGGGAAACAGATAAAAGGCAGGGCATCGAGAGGTAGACAAAGCTAAATGCCAAGCAGATAAAGAATTGAGGATGACTGATTAGATCATAACCACAGTTTCCCTGCCTCTAGTCTTTAAAAACTCTAGTCCGCCCTACACTAGTATTCATAAGACTGAAAGCTCCATCATAGCAGGGCTTGATGTTCACTCCTTTCTCTACCACTGTGTCATCCAGTGCCTTGGACAATGTTAATATGTTATTGAATGAATGAATGCTGCCAGATTAATCTTCTCGTGATAATTTTTTCCACTAATGATGCTCAAAAAAATAGAAAAATTAGCCAGGCACAGTGGTGCACACCTGTAGTCCCAGCTACTCTGGAAACTAAGGAAGATTACTTGAACCAATGAGTTTGAGGATGCCATGCCTGACTCTGCCTCAAAGAAAAAAAGAATAGGTTAGTAGGAACAAGGAGGGTGTAACACTTTTCTAAGGATATATTTTATATAACTCTGATTCTTAGAAGCATAGTATGTTTCAGATATACCCCAAAATAAACAATCAAAACCAACCAGGATGTGATAGAAACCCAAAATGGAATACAAACTAACAAGTAATCCTAAAATAACTAACCTGAGTAAGTTTGGAAAACAGTATTTTAACTGGCTACTATAACACTAAACACAAAAAGAACTATACATTAATACCTAAATTTAGTTAGTAAATTTGTTTCTCACAGAAGAATAGGTCAGAAATTCTGAAACTAGGCCAGGCCTGGTGGTTCACACCTGTAATCCCAGAACTTTGGGAGGCCAAGACAGGAGGATCACTGGAGGCCAGGAGTTCAAGACCAGCCTAGGCAATGTCACAAGACCTGTCTCTACAAAAAAATCTTTTTTAAAAATTAGGCATGCATTGTTGTGCATGCCTATAATTCCAGTATTTGGGAGGCTGAGGCAGGAGGATGACTTAAGATGAGGAATTCAAGGTTACAGTGAGTGGTTACAGTGATCTATTATTGTAGCACTCCACTCCAGCCTAGGCTACAGAGTGAGACCCTCTCTCCAAAAAAAAAAAAAAAAAAAAAGAGAGAGACAGAGAGAGAGAACAAAAGAAATTATAAAACTATGTGTATATGAAAATTGAGCAAATCATATTGCTTCTCATTGTGAGAAAAAAATTAGAAATAAGTAAAGGAGGAAGACTACAATAAACCCTGAAGCAAGACTAGAATCAAGTTGTTAATATAAACTAATAGTTTTAATATATAAAAAGATAGAGGCAGAAATAAACAGAGGGTGTGTGTATGTGTATGTGTACATAAATATATTTCCTAGCTGTATGTGCTGTGAGGGCCTAGATGCAATGACATCCCAGTAACCTAGAACACCCCTAGAACCCAGACTTTGGTTTCTAAACACCATTTCCCAATAAAACTAACCAGGGCTCCTTGAGAAGTGGCTGATTCAAGGCTGGGACAAGAAAAACAAGATGAACCTGGAATACCTTGTGGTGCCAGAGGGCAGGAAGTGCCTAAAAAATGGACTGGGGGAATATCAAAAGGTCAAAGGAACCAATGTGAAAGACATCCAAATGGCCAAAGCTGGAACAATTTGTGCAACAAAATAATGATTCACTGGATTTACTTCATAGGAAAAAATAAAGATCCATAAATTCATAAATATAAAGATAAATCCATTTAAATTCTATGAAGTCATTAAATTCTATGAGGTAAATTGGGTTTACCGCATAGAAAAAAATAAAAGTCTGTACGTCTATAAATATAATTGAATATATAAGTAAATAGGGAAAAGGAAAAGCTCTTTCCTACAGAACAATCCCAATTAATACATGTAAAGAAAAAAGAAATGGAAAAATCAACATTAGGTCAACATCACAGTAATAACTGTTGCAGACAAGATCCAACAATCAATGCTAAAATTAGTGGGCAAAATTTCAGAAGAAACTGAACAGTCTGAAAGTATCTTCACCAAGATATTTTATTAATTACAAATAAAATAGAAACTTTACAATAAAAAAACCAAGCATACACAACCTACACCAAGTGAGCAAATTTAACATCACCTAATAATAAGACATGTCAACATTATGAATCCTTTGGTATGAGGCACTGAGAAGGACACAACATTATTTCTGTGGCATTCTTTTATAAAATGGAATCCCTCAATCTAATCATGAGAAAATATCAGATAAATCCAAATTGAGTGCAAGCAAATGTAATGAGCCATTAGTCCACAGTGAAGCATATCTAAAGATTCCAGGAGAGATTCTCCAAGATGAAAGCAATAGATTGCCTAATGTATCAGAGTGCCTTGAAAGATTTAGACAATTGATGGGGAGTTGGGAATTCAATTAGAAATATGTATATAGAAAATTAAGCAAAAAACCAAGTAGACAAAACCCCCAAATCATTATTAACTGTGGGGAAAATAAAAAGTTGTATCAAAAAGTTGTACCAAGCAATCTTGGTACATGTACAACATGGCTATGACTAGTACTAAATAGCCATAATAATGTAAATACTGTAAAGTGATTAATCAAAATTAAGATATTGATAAAACAGGGTATGAGAAATGTGTATATTTGTATGTCTGCACATGTGTTGGATTCAGGATAAGAAAGCACTAAATCCTTATTTTCTTAGTAAGAAGATATTGAATGAACCTGCAAAAACAATCAAGTAGCAGCAACATACACATGTTTTTAGAGACATGAAGGGAACATCAAAAGAAACTACAAAAGAAAAGAAAGTATACCCCTCTAGGGAGAGGGAAACTGGAGAGCAGGGCAAGAGAATCCCTTTTTTAAGGGCAAAGGCCTTGTAAAACTACTTGACTCTTTTAACAATGTGCATATATAGCCTTGATAATAATTTTGATAAAAATAAAACTCTAAAAAAAATAATCTAGTAATGTATATTATTTTGACCGTAAAGGGAAAAGAAGAGCTGGGAAGGATTGAGATTCAGGGTATAGGTAGAAGACTAGAGAGTATAATTTAATAGAAATAGGGAGAAAAGAAACCCAAGGTGTAGGTGAGGTTTCTAGGGAAGCACATACTAAAGAGATTTCAGTTCCCACCTGAAGCCCAGGGCAGCTTCCTCATGATTATTTGGGCAGATACCTTACAAGAGACCTTCCTGCCTGGTTACCTGTCACTCACCTGCACATTGACTATGTGACACCTCTGTCTCCACCATCCAAGGATCCTTTCCTTGCTCCAGTAAGGAGATCATGTTGGGCTTAGAAATGGAGAGTCCTGTTTCCAGGGGAAGAAAAATGAGAGCGGGAGACAGACAGACAAATCAACATGCTACAGCTGTTCCAGGATGCAGACCCAATCTCTTGGTCATCAGGCAAGAAAGGACATTAGAGGAAGGGCCAGAGAATGGAATGATGCTTGTGTGGATGATGAGGAAGATGAAGCTTCTTCCACAGCAGTGGTTCTCAAAGTGCTATAGCCATCATCTAGGAACTAATTAGAAATGCAAATTCTTAGGCCCAATTCAGAGCTACTGAATCAGAAACATAGTGGCTCTCAAAGTTTAATAGGCATCAGGATCATTTGGAGGGCTTACTAAAACCCAGATTACCAGGCTCATTCACCACAGAGTTTCTGATTTTGTAGGTCTAAAATAGGGCCCTATAATTTGCATTTTAACAAATTCCCAGGTTATGCTGATGTTGCTGTTCCAACCCATCATTCTACAGCAAAGGAACTATTCATTTCAAACTCTATGAAACTATTTCGAAACATTTACTAGGAACAGGAAGTAGAAATTCAACTAAGCATTTTCAAGATGCCTTATATAGTCCCAATGGAGGAAGCAAAAACTCCCCAGAGGGAAGATTTTTAATGATGGGGGAAAAACATCCTTACCAAGCCATACCAAATTCCTGTAGTTCTCCAGCATGACATCTTTGTATAAATCTTTCTGAGAGGGGTCCAGCCATTCCCACTCTTCTTGGGAAAAGTTTAGAGCCACATCTCTGAAGGTCACCAACCCCTGAAATAAAAAAAATTTCTTGTTGACAAGTGCCCAGACATCCACATGGTCCTAGCAAAAGAGATTAATTCTGCCAGAGTTTAAAGCTCTAAGTAATCCAAGGAAAATAATTATTGGAGAACAATTACATGCAAAGGTTGGTCAAATACTTTGAGAGAAAGAAAAATATTAGAAACACACTCGTCTCTTCAAAATTTTACATTTTTATGATAGATATATATAATAAGAAAAAATTATAACATGAAACAGGATATGAACAAGGGCTAACTTGTATGTTATATATACTAAATATAAAGAATTTCTTATGCAGAGAATTCCTTTATATTCCCCAAATTGGGATATCAGGTGGGACACAGTAATGAAGGAAGGCCTTGAATTGGGTTTTTTTTGGTTTTTTTTGAGACAGAGTCTCCCTTTGTTGCCCAAGCTAGAGTGAGTGCCATGGTGTCAGCGTAGCTCACAGCTACCTCAAACTCCTGAGCTCAAGTGATCCTACTGTCTCAGCCTCCCAAGTAGCTGAGACTACAAACATGCACCACCATGCCTGGCTAATTTTTTCTATATATATTAGTTAGCCAATTAATTTCTTTCTATTTATAGTAGAGATGGGGTCTTGCTCTTGTTCAGGCTGGTTTCGAACTCCTGACCTTGAGCAATCCGCCTGTCTTGGCCTCCCAGAGTGCTAGGATTACAGGCATGAGCCACCACGCCCAGCCTGGATTGGGCTTTAACAAAAGGGTATGGTCTGAAATTTAGACTCTAGGTATATAAGGCAAAACTTCCAGGAATGTATCCTGAAGAAATAATGAAGTATATGTGAAGAGATTTAGATAGGATTTTCAATGGCAGGTTATACAAAAAGTCTGGAAAAAACTTACATGTCCAAAAATAGTTTAGAGTGGCTATACCACTGAACTGTAAGCTGCATGAAGAGAAGGATACCTGTTTTACAAACTGATGTATTTCCAGTGTTTATTATAAAACTTACCACATTGTAAACACTCAGTAAGTATCACTCAGTGAATAAATGGTGAGGTTTCCTATGATATATCCATATGAAGAGTATTCAATGCTTAAAAAATGATATGGTTCATTTGTACAGTATGTTCTCATTCTTTATCAAAAATAATGAAATATCAAATATGGTTCTTCTACACAGTAGAAATATAGATGAATAAATATTCATATCAATAAATATTCCATATTCATATGTCTGGAGGAAAAACATTATATAACTATGTAGTGTTGCATAACTTCCATGTGCCCCTCTAGTCTTCTCTGAGTCCAGGGAGGCTGACCTATGTTGACTGCATCAACAAATTGCCTTGTCTCACCACATTTTCAGGTGGGTTCAGCCACATGCAAGAGATGAACGGTAGGTAAGGCAAAATCATTCCTCTGGATCCCTCCTGAAGCACCACACTGGGTGGTCTCTGTTCTTCAATCAAAGCTCATAGCGGCAGTCCAGGGCCCCTTCTCCATACGGCTCTCTGTGTCTCTGGATTCAAGTCTAGGGCTAGTAAAGGAGCTCTGCTGTTATGAGCCCCCGGGTACAACACTATCCTTGGTAGTTTCTCTATATACTGATAATATCTTGTAAATAATGCCTTCTTGAGTTTCTTGTTGGAACTCTGATTGATAAAGTTGTTGACCCAAAGTACTTCTAGCATATGATGTCAGTTCCCTCAGAAGCACTGCAAGACAACTCTACTATACTTCCCAAATAAATTCATTCTCCCATGCTCCTGACAACAATTTCATACCTCTGTCTCTCTCTGAAACCACTAACCCCTCTCTTGTTCTCACTTTGAACTTCCTCATCTTCCTGCCACCATATGTACTTACCAACCCATATCTACACGCATACTTGTATATGTTGTATTCCCTCAGTTACTACAGATAAAACACTAGGCTCCTATCTAAGACCAATCCCTCCACTTGTCCACTCAAGGACATTGTCACCTCTCTCTCATACTACCAGCTCTTCTCACTTTACTGTATCATTCCAATCAGCACAAACTGATGCAGTATCTTCTACCTTATAAATAGATTCTCATTCTGTGTGAATATCTTAATGTAAAATAAATAAATAAATAAATAAATAGATTCCCTTTCATGATCTTATTCTAGCTATTGTCCCATTTCTCTATTCCTCTTAATAATAAAACTCTTCCAAAGAGTTGTGTATACCAGTGATATCCAATAGAAATATGTGAGCCACATATGTAATATACGTCTGAATATGTAAATATTCAGAAATCAATTCTTGATTCCCATCCCACTGCACTCTGTCTTTCCATCTCAGCAAATAGCATGACTATTTATGTAGCTGCTCAGACAAAAATCTTTGCAGTCATTCTGACCTCTTTCTTCCTCTCATACTCCAAAACCAATCCCTCATCACATTATTTTCTATCTCCAGTATATACCCAGAACTTTACTGTTCCAATGCCACCACCATGGTCCAGGCTACTATCACCTCCCACCTGGATTACTGCAATAGTCTCCTGACTGGCTTCCCTGCTTTCATCCTTACTCCCTTGCTATTTTCCTTTTAAAGCACAAATCAAATCACATCAGAAACACTCCAGTGGTTCTCCCTCACACAACAAAACTCAAGGTTCTGATCATGACTTTGAAGGGCCGACATAATTTGGTCCCCAGCTGCCTCACAGTGCTCCTTTCCCTACAGGGATGAGGACTCACTGCTATTCCTGGAACACACCAAACATTCTTCCCCCATAGTAACTTTGTACTTACTATTCCTTCTACTCTTAAAGCTCTTCCCCAGATCTACACAAAAGTTAATTGCTACTTTCACTTAAGTTTGCTTTGCTTAAATGTCACTTCCTCAGAGAGGCCATCTATAACTTCCCTATTTAATAGAGCAAGTGATAATATACTCTAGCCATTACTTCACTTGCATTCATCTCCAACTCAACAAATCATGATCCATCTAAAGAGGACAGTTCCAATTCATCACATATTTGAGTATAACACTGAGTAAAAAAGGTATTAAATGTGTTTTGTAGAAGCATTATATGAACAAAATGTGGAGAGAGAAAAATTGAGAGGGTGCTCACTGGACTCTCCCGCTGGTCCCAAAGTCCTGAAAAATGAGGTAAAATTTATGAAAACATCAACTTACCTGAGACATGGTTTTACAAAGTCCAACAGCCATTCCTCTTTCCTTCTTCAGTTTTCTCTTTTGGAGAAGAACAAAGTCCCAACAAGGGAGAGTTACGGAAGAAAAAAAATGACATCCCAGCCCTATGTTGTTGGTCCAAGATTCAAAAGACAGAACTATTGCCCCTTTATGGTCCCCACCTCCTTACATGAACCAGCCTCATGTTTTCCAAGATCTGAGAAAAAGGCTAATGCTGAACTTAACTCCAGAAGTCTTAAGTTATATCAAGAACACATGGCCTAAACTCAACAAAATCTGGTTTATCCCATGGCCAACAAGGCAGCTGGCTACCCATTTTGACCTCATTGTCTACCCTTCTCTCCCTTGCTCACCCCACTCCAGGCAACAGGTCTCCTTACTGTTCCTCAAACACTGTGTACATGCCTCCTTCAAGGCTGTTGCCTTGCTTTTCCTTGTGCGTGGAAGCCTCTGCTACATATCAGCATGGCTCACTCCCTTTCTTTATTCCTATCTTTGCTCAGGTATCACTACATCAGAGGGTCTTCCCTGAAAATTCTATCTAAAGACAACCCCTCTTCCAGTCACTCCCTTTTGCCTTATCCTGATTTATTTCTCTTCTTAGCATTTATCGCCACTGAATGTGTTACATACCTTTTGGTTTGTTTATTGTTTGTTTTCCCAAACAAGACTAATATCCAAAGGAGCTAGGATTTGTTTGGTTTACTGGTGTGTTCTAGCACTAGAACAATACTAAAACCATGTGGGTGCTCAAAAATATTAGATAAATGAATAAATCTTACTGTGCCTAATATAAATATACAATGTTACTCATGTTGTGTATGTAAGCAGTCTCCAACCTTTTTGGCACCAGGGGCCAATTTCACGGAAGACAATTTTTCCATGGATGGGGTTGGGGGGATGGTTTCAGGATGATTTGAGTGCATTATTGCAGCTGAGTGCATTTATTGTGCAGTCAAACCTCTCTGCTAATGATAATCTGTATTTGCAGCTGCTCCCCAGCACTATAACACCACCGCCTCAGCTCCGCCTCAGATCATCAGGCATTAGACTCTCACAAAGAGCATGTAACCTAGATCCCTAGCATACACAGTTTACAGTAGGGTCCACACTCCTATGAGAATCTAATGCTGCCACTGAGGCAGAGCTTATGCAGTGGTGTGAGCCACGGGGAGCAGCTTCAAATACAGACAAAGCTTCACTGTCTCACCTGCTTCTCACCTCCTACTGTGTGTTCTGGTTCCTAACACACCACAGACCGGTACTGGTCCATGGCCCAGGCATGGGGACCACAGGTGTATATCATTATTTCATTTAATCCTCACAAAACTACAAAGGTAGGTATTATAATTATTTTACTAATAAGTGAAATGGAGGTTCAAGAAGCTTAAACAACCAAGTCAAAGCCATAAGAAGTGTGATTCAAAAACTCAAGAACCAAGATGTCTGAATGGGAAATATTCAACAAAACCAGAGGAACTGATGCCATATATTCCTTAGAAAAGCATCTTTAGATATGGCTGATGTTACCTTTATTACTCGACAAAAATGCAGCCTGAGGGAAGAAGCATTGCTAAATTTTAATACTAAACCAATAATAAATTGTGCAGCCTAAGTTCCTTGTCCTCTCAGAGCCAATATTTCTTCATTCTGAAAATGGAGAAAGTTGTGTTTGACCTACAGTTCAGGATACATGACCCCCTAATTCTGGGCTACTCTGCACTAGCCAACTCAGTCTCTAGGAAAGTTATTTCCTTAGTGCACTACAGCTCGAACTTGATATAAAGCCTCTGCAATCTGAAAAGAGAAACAATGTAGTCTTCTTGGCATCTGGGAGTAGAAGCACCTGCATAAAAGAAATTTGTTTTCAGTTTGTTTGTTCTGTCCTGATACCTGTGTATCCCTTGGGTAATACGTTTCTAAGTTTAAAATGAGCCATCAGTCCTTGAAGAAGGTGTGATGGAAAAAAATTGGGTTTTATTTAGCTTCCAGACACAGGTTGACTCTCCACTCTCTTCCTGGTTGGCTACATGACTTCAGGCAAGTTAATCCATCTCTCAGAACCTTTCTTTCCTCACTGTCAAGATTACATGAGCCAACACCTGGAATAGCAAAGTACCCATCTTTCTGCTTAGATTCTACATACACATTTGGAAATGAAATGAAAACTTTTTATTATTATTAACTGAGAAAGTCAAAACCAAAAACCCAGCTCACTTGGTACATTAAAAAAAGATTCATCGATCCAGACTCTCTCAGCACCAGACATGGAAGAGTATTGACAAGGACAAAGCTAAAATCTGAGGAGATGACTGGGCTTTCTTCCCTCCAAAGCAGCCAATGTGAGGATGGCCTCACTACAATATCTTTAGGTCCTGTGACTCACATAGGGACTAAAGGAAGAGATCCAGATTTAAGTTCCCATGTTCTAACCCAAGAACAGAGACAGTCCTCTCCAACACCCTCAAAATTCAGGGTTCCCATGTGGAAAGATCAAGGGAGTTTAGTAATAAAAAGCTAGAAGTCTAGAGCCAAACTTCTTGGGTTTGAATCCTGGTTCTGTCACTTAAGAACTGTGTGAATTTGGGTAAGTTTAATCTTTCTGTGCCTCACAATCACAGAACAGGTCCCACACAATCACACCCATGACCTGGCATACATACAAATTATCGCCTAATCACAAACATATACATGATTGCATACTTACACCCATAATGCCACACATGTGCACAGCACAGATATGGAGAGATGGTCACACACAATTTTTCCAACAGAAAAACAGTCACACAATCACACACATGGTGGCATACCACACAAGTCATACATCTTGTCACAATTACTTACACTAAATTATACCTGCAGAGACAGGCAGTCATGGTCACACAATCACACTTGCTGTCACACACATTCAAACACAGTTGTATCTGCAGAGACAGGTGGTCAAACATAATCACACACACATTCACAGACACACACACAATGTCACATCCCAGTGTCTCACAAACCCATACACAGTTATACTTGGGGAGACAGTTACACCCAAAACATATATTCACAGTTTTTTCCCCAGAAACAGTCACGCACAAGCACACACAGTGATACACAAGATCACATTCTGTCACACCAGCCTGTCACATAATTATACACAGTAACAAAGTGACACACTGTCATACACACACAACCTCCCTGACGATGCCCGTCGAGTCCCCATCCTTGTCCCCGCCGGTCCACCACCAACCCGGCCCTGCCTCCCGCGCTCGCCCGGCCCGGCCTAACTCACCTCCCAGCGCCCCGGGCTCTGCGAACCGGCCCCGCGACTGGGGCCGCGACGTCACCTCCCAGAACCCTCCGCGAGGTGGAGCGCGGCGAGGACCGAGGCGTGCGGGACTCCGAGCTCTGCGGGAACTCAAGCGGCGACACAGCCTTCCCCTCAGACTCAGCGAACCACGAGCTCCAGAGCGCTTTGCGCCACGGCCTTCTTTGCCGAACTACATTTCCCAGAGGGCCCCACGACCCGCCTCCACTTCGCGCCTGCGCTGTAGGTGCCGGTACAGGGCGGGGGCGGCGTAGGGGGCGGGCCGTTGCGACCCCTGGCCCGCCAGTGACCCCGAGCCGCTGTAGACCTTCGGCCGGGACGCTCACGCCCAGGATGCGGGAGTGACTGTGGGTGAGAGAGGCTGGGGACGTTGGAGGTGACTTTCTGTAACTGTGTTCTTATCCCAGAGGTCGCAGTTTACCTGAGGAAGGCGGCGGAGCTTCTATGTTTCTGGGCTTGCCATTGCAGTGGTCACCAACCTTTTTGGCACCAGGAACCGGTTTGGTGGAAGACACTTTTTCCACGGGGCAGGGGGACGGGGGCTACGCGGGGAGAGGGGGTGAGAGGAGTGAGAGGGAGTGAGAGGAGTGAGAGGGTTATGGTTCTCCCTGAAAGAGGCAGTTGTATGTACTTTGAAACGTTATCAGCTTCTGAGTATCCTACATCAATGATGCATTCTTTCACAATTTCTTCATCACTGAATGGCTTATTCCCCCATCTCCCCCCAGTATGTAAGTTACTTTATAAGTTGCCTCAGTGGCATTATTTCCAGGTCTTATTGCTGCTTGAAAGCATTGTCTTTGCTTTTGCTTCTCATCTTTTAATTTCTGCAATACAGCCTTTCATGCTTCTCCCTTTAAGTATTTGTGATCTTTATGCATGTTTTAATTCTGCTGAACAATGAATTTCTTTAATGTTGATATTGCAGTATCACAAAGCAAGCAAATCATTTTATCTTTATCAGAAATAAGATGATATTGCAATTCCCAGTCCTCATTAAAAAAATCTCTTTTCCTTCTTCAGCATTCTCTTGGTGTTCTTTGACAAAAATGATGGGCTGTTAAGCAAACAGAATTTTAAAAAATACTGTTGAGCTGTGTAACTGTGTCACAAATTCCACTTTAGACAGGAGTTCGGACCAGCCTGGGCAATGTAATGAGACCATGTCTCTACAAAAAAATCTTTTAAAAAATTAGGCATGCATTGTTGTGCATGCCTATAGTTCCAGTACTTGGGAGGCTGAGGCAGGACGATCATTTGAGATGAGGAATTCAAGGTTACAGTGAGTGGTTACAGTAATCTATGATTGTACCTCTATACTCCAGCCTAAGCTAAAGAATGAGACCCTTTCTCTAAAAAAAAGAAGAGAACAGAAGAAATTCTGAAACTATATGTATACTAAAATTGAGTAAATAATATTGCTTCTCATTGTGAGAAAGAAATTATAAATAAGGAGGAAGGCTACAATAAACCCTGAAGCAAGACTAGAGTCAAGTTATTACTTTCCCTGAAGACCTTCCAGTGGGACAAGTGTGGAGGTGGAAGACAGTGATATTGATGATCCATGACCCTGTGTAGGCCTAGGTCATTGTATGTGTTTGTCTTAGTTTTTAATAAAACGTTAAAAAAAAATTTAATAGAAAACAGCTATAGAATAAGGATATACAGCAAGAAAAATATTTTTGTACAGCTTTTCAATGGGTTTATGTTTTAAGCTAAGTGTTATTATAAGAGTCAGATGTTAAAAAAATTTATAAAGTAAAACCATTACAATTGCTAATTTATTATTGAAGAAAGAAAAATATTCTTTTATAAATTTGGTGTAGCCTAAGTGTACAGTGTTTACAAAATTTACAGTAGTGTACAGTAATGTCCTAGGCCTTCACATTTACTCACCAACTCACCCAGAGCAACTTCCAATTCTGCAAACTCCATTCATGGTTAAGTGCCCTATAAAGGTATACCATATTTTATCTTTTATGCCATATTTTTACTATACCTTTTCTATGTTTAGATAGGTTTTGATACATAAATACTTACCAATGTGTTACAATTGCATATAGTATTATTCAGTACAATAACATGCTGTATAGGTTTCCATCATTAGTGTAGCCTACCAGTTTCTACAAACTTGGCCCGACATTAGCTCCATGACCTCAGCTCCTACTCTCTTTGCACACTCACCTGGAGCCACAGTAGCCTCCTCCCTCCTAAGGATTACTTTTACATCCTTTTACAGCATTTGAAATCACTCTTTTCTCTACCTAAAATAATGTTTCTCTAGACATCTGAAAAACTTTCTTTCTCCCTCTCCTCCTCCTGTCTTTCACAAATATCTACTGACAACCCTACTGAAATTCTATTTCCCCCATTAGATTTTATGTTCTTACCTTGCTTGAATTTTTCTCTATAGAATGTATTGATGTTACATATGATGCATTTTACTATGTGTTAACTGTCTTTTCTAATGAATCCAGACATTTTTCATGCCACATCCTGAGACTTAGATAAGTATCTGGCCCCAATGATGATCAGTAATGTCCATAGAAAAAATTAAATGAACCAAAGGGTGCAAGTGATTCCTTACTCAAATACTTAGATTAAGTAAGAGCTTACTATATACCAGGTTCCATTTTAAGGTCTTTTCTTGTACTAGAATATAGAAGTTAAGAAAATATTACAAGTAGGAAACAGTAACTAACATTTATAGATGATAAAATAGAAGCACTGGCAGGTTAGCAGTGTGAAATAATCACACAACTAGGAAATGTCAGAATGAGATGAGGACACTAGAGTTTATCATGAAGAAAATACCATGAAGAAAATACCATGCCCATGTATTTGGATTCTATGAAATAGATGTTCAGTGCCATGGTTGGCTGATTTATTTATTTGGTAATTTTCTTCTGTACCTAGTTTAACTTAGAATGAGAACAGATGTTAATATTGTGTTAGGTATTATGACATTGAACACTTTTTCTGGTACGCATGTGTATATGTGAAGTATTTTTCACTCTAGGATATAGACTGTAAAAATCTAAAAACAACACTTAAGGGAAGGTGTTTCACTTTCAGTTGGGTTTGAATATTTTCCACCAAAAAATAAATCAGTGAGAAGAATGGCATTACTTTATATGTTAGCAAATCTCTTTAATGTCTAGTTTAATAGAAGGTAGCTGGTATTTTATATGTGCACCTGCGTTCAATTTGTCAAGATAGGCCGGGCGCTGTGGCTCACGCCTGTAATCCTAGCTCTTGGGAGGCCGAGGCGGGCGGATTGCTCAAGGTCAGGAGTTCAAAACCAGCCTGAGCAAGAGCGAGACCCCGTCTCTATATTTAAAAAAAAAAAAAAAAAAAAAAAAAAAAAAAAAAAAAAAAAAAATTTGTCAAGATAAATACAGAAAATCTGGCTTCATACAGATATGTAGTTAGAAGACAGAGGAGAATTTTAATGGTATTTTCAGATACTTGTCAATATTATTCTTGTTAGTACATAAAAAGTCAACAAGTAGTAATTTCTTAAAGGTTACATGCAATGTGGAAGTGGACATTCATTTCCTAAATAAAAATCCTTTTGTCTTAAACTTACAGTGGATCTTTTACCCATGCATGATTTTGCAGCATCATGCATGAATAGTCATTTGGAAAATACTGGTTCAATGAGTTAGGCAGATCTTCCAAAGTTGATATATTTTACTACATGGTATTACAAAATCATATTCACTACTATCATCACCAGTCTCATCACAAAGGAAAAATTATTTGGAAGTTGTCAAGTTCACACTAGCATATACTCATTTTTCAAAATTTTAACTTTTTGCTTAAAATTCGAATTAGCAAAAATCACTCAGTTTTTTACTGTCAATTTTAAAAAGTTACTTTATGCTTGACAAAACATCTACTAAATATCCAAATGTGAATCACCACAGTTGATTATCTTTCAAATAAAAATGGTATCTTTTAAATAAAAATTGGTGTCCATAAAAAAGTTTCACTCACCACTCAACCAACCACAGAAATGCATTTCCTTAAAACAATCTATCATTCTTCAACATGCAGAAGAGCTTTATATGCATTTCCCATTTCATCACACAAAATATTTAAAAGATGTACATATATCAAATTCAGTATATTGGTTATGATATTATAGTATAGTTTTTTGCAAGATGTTACCATTGGGGTATACTGGGCAAACAGTACATGGGATCTCTCTCTAATATTCTTACACTTGCAGCTGAAACTACAACTACCTCAAAATAAAAAGCATGGGCTGGGCGCTCGAGGTGGCTCATGCCTATAATCCTAGCACTCTGGGAGGCCGAGGCGGGTGGATCGCTCGAGGTCAAGAGTTCAAAACCAGCCTGAGAAAGAGCGAGAGCCCATCTCTACTATAAATAGAAAGAAATTAATTGGCCAACTAATATATATATATAGAAAAAATCAGCCGAGCATGGTGGCACATGCCTGTAGTCCCAGCTACTCGGGAGGCTGAGGCAGCAGGATTGCTTGAGCCCAGGAGTTTGAGGTTGCTGTGAGCTAGGCTGACCTGATGCCACGACACTCACTCTAGCCTGGGCAACAATGTGAGACTCTGTCTCAAAAAATAATAATAAAAATAAAAAGTATAATTAAAAATTTTTATAATCAAGGGCTGAGATTTAGTAAAAGTTTTACTGCTTTATGAAGAACATTCTTTTTTTCTTTTCTTTTTTTTTTAACCGCAAGTCTCTGATGGTGAAGAATATAATAACCACTAGCAGAAATTGGTGACACTGCCTTGATTTCTGCTAAGGCCCCAGCAGCTTTATCCACTGTTGTTTTTGTACCATCAGTGCAAATTTCAGCACAATGGAAAAACGTAGTACCTTAGTATTATTATAAAATGTGTTTAACTATGCAGAGTCCCTGAAAGGGTCCCAGGGTCCCCAAACATCTCCTGACCATACTTAGATAACCATTTTTAACATAATAATAAATTAAAATAGAATTAAATGTAATAGTTATTTTAAAACTTACTACCACTTCTTTTTAAATGGGACGTTTTAATGGTGACCATAACTGACCTGTGGATTTGAGGTGATATAGTTTCATACTGTTTCCCATGTTTTCTTCAAAATTTTCTCCATGTAGTATAGTCTACTACTTACCATGGGAGTGGTAGGATGGACAGTGGTTGCTCTGGGACATTTTTTCTGTTTGTTTGAAACTTCTAGAGCTGTCACTTCTGAATATGAAAGATGAGGCACTAGTGAATGGCTCTCCGGACATAGATTGGAAAAAAATAAAAACACCAGATGAGAAGAATCCACTTTATACTTATACTATGTGGTACTTGGCTCCTAATCAGTTTTCAAGTTTGCATAAGGATTTAGGTGCCAGGCTAAACCCAGGTGAACAACTCGGGTTACCTGCCCCAATTCTGTCAGTTCTGAGCTATTCTGAGTACAGGGCCTGATGTGGGTTTAAGAATCAGCAGGGCTGGGCCAAAAGATGGGACTCCCTTGTTACCCTTTCTCAGAATATTTCCACTTCTCTCTGGTTTCTCCATAGAAATTGTCTCTTAGGGTTTGTATCTTTTTAAATATACTTGAGTTTTCATGTAGCATTATCTACTCTACTTTTTCTTAAGAGTTTTTAACACTTTAAGGCAAAATCTTTTAGGTTTTTTCATGAGTTAAATTGAAAACCCTGATATTCTTTCTAAAAGTTAAAACACAGTAAACAATATATGTTTAATTTTGAAATCTTTATATTACAAAAGAATAAATTTTAAGACTCAATTTTAAGAATTAAAACTCTAAAGTATTTTTCTATTGAGGAGTAAAAAGCCAGCCCATGAACTGCAATGGGGGAGGGATAGGGTGGGCAGGCCATGCTGGCTGTTTCACCTAAGATAATACTTCATATATATTTTTTTACTAGATCTTCTCACTCTGCTCAGACATACTTAGATATTGAACAAATATAAATTAATACTATTATATCTCATAGCATTTTAGATAGTGATTCCCTAACTCTAACTCCTTTATATTTTGAGACTTTAAGATCTACATGTATTTTTTCCCCTAAATTAATAACCAGTGACCCAAACACTGAATCTCCTAATTGCCATTTTCACTCCAATTTGAAATCCTGTTTTTTCACATTCTAAATGCTCATAGATAGGTATTTCTTTTTGTTTTAGATTGTTCTAAAGATCTATTCTAAATACCAATATTTGGACAAACACATATGTCATTATAGTTTCTACCATGAAACTTCATTTCCCATATAAAATTCCAAATCACTTAGTCAAGTTCCATGAAAAAAATTGGGACCTGATCCAGAATTTTAACTTGTGGGACATTGCCATTTTCAAAAAGAGAGTATTCCCAATCAGAAAAAAATGATGTGTTTTATAATGGTTGGAAAGATTTAAACTCAAGAATTACCTGTGGGATGTTGTATGGTAATTCAAAGGAGAAAAGAAAGTCATTTCATTTGCTATTTCTGCATATTGTATGTTTTCTTCCTAAAGGCACATAGTACACTTCTAATCTAAAATGCATGAATCAATAAAAATATCTTCAGTATGGACTCAACCTGGAAACTAGAGAAAGCCCCAGGAAGCAAGCAAAGGTAGAGTATTTTAAAAAATGGATACCTCTTCCCAAACCCTAGAGCTAGGATATTTGCTGTCTTTCTAGCCTGTCAGCCTGTCCCCGTGAATTCACCCTTCCCCAAACTCTCCCTGAGGCTGACTCTGCAGGGTCATGGTCTGGGAAAGCAAGATAAAATCAGCTATGGTGTCTGCCATGTCTCTTGTTCTGCCAAGTTAGAAGGTCAAAGAGACATGCTCTAGTATTGTTGTTTCTGTAACATCCAGGGTACTGTGAAAGGAGTGTTCAAGTATACTTGGAAAATGACACTGGAATAGTCTTCATTCCTTAATTTTAACCTACTTATATGATCTCCCTCCATCGAATTACTTGACAGACCTTCGACAACCCATCATGCCCACTGGGGAAAGGCAGAGCTCCTGGCCAGGAATTCTCTTTCAGGTGGACTGAAGGTATGACACTTACCAATGGAGGCTCATGCACACCATCACACATAAGATATCTCCACTTTGGTATCTAGCAATGGCTGACTTAAAGCCACAGCCTTGTGTGTGTGTCCTCTGGTGTCTATGGAAGTGTGACTCCTGGCTCAAGGCTTTACTATCCTCCTTGTACACACAAAGTCTCTATCCTGAGTGTGTCTTCTGATGTCTGATGAGGTTTGACTTCCGACTAAAGCACCGCCCACACTTTCTGCAAATGTAAGGCTTCTCTCCCGAATGTGTCCTCTGGTGTCTAATGAGGTGTGACTGCCGGCTAAAGCCTTGCCCACACTCCCTGCACACATGAGGCTTCCCCCCTAAGTGTGCCCTCTGGTGTTTAATGAAAGTTAACTTATCACAAAAGCTTTGCCCACACTCCCTGCACACACAGGAACCTGAGTGTGCCCTCTTGTGCCTAAACAGGTTTGGCTTCTGCCTAAACCTTCTACCACACTCCCTGCACACGAAAGGCTTTTCCCCTGAATGTGTCCTCTGGTGTGAGATGAGGGTCGATTTATCATTAAAGCCTCGCCCACACTCTCTGCACACAAAGGGTTTCTCCCCTGAGTGTGTCCTCTGGTGTGTGATGAGGGTTGATTTCCGGGTAAAGCCTCGCCCACATTCTGTGCATACGAATGGCTTCTCCCCCGTGTGTGACCTCTGGTGTTTGTTGAGGTTCGACTTCAGGCTAAAGCATTGCCCACACTCCAGGCACACGTAAGGTTTAACTCCTGAGTGTGTCCTCTGGTGTGTCTTGAGGTTTGATTTCCAGCTAAAGTGACGCCCACATTCTGTGCATACATAAGGCTTCTCTCCTGTGTGTGTCCGTAAGTGTCTGATGAGGTGTGACTTCTGGCTAAAGGCTTGCTCACACTCCCTGCAAACATAGGGCTTCTCTCCTGAATGGGTCCTCTTGTGTCTGATGAGGTGTGAATGCTGGCGGAAGCCACGCCCACATTCCCTGCAAACGTAAGGTTTCTCCCCAGTGTGTGCCCTCTGGTGCGTGATGAGGTTTGACTTCAGGCTAAAGCTCTGCCCACATTCCTTGCACATGTAAGGCTTGACCCCCGAGTGTGTCCGCTGATGTGTGAAGAGGTTTGACTTCCAAGTAAAGCCTCGTCCACAATCCTTGCACGCATAAGGCTTCTCCCCTGAGTGTGTCCTCTGGTGTGTGATGAGGTTTGACTTCCAGGTAAAGCCTCGCCCACATTCCCCGCACACATAAGGCTTTTCCCCAGAGTGTGTCCTTGGGTTTTTGATGAGCACTGACATACTGCTGAAGCTCTGTCCCCACTCAGTGTACATGTAAGTTGTCTCCCCTGTGTGTGTCTTCTGGAAGCCAAGTAGGTTTGGGTCCTTGATAAAGCCACGCCCAAACTCTTCATATTTGATTGCTCCAAATCCTGAGACTTCTAAATCATGCAATAATTTATCTGTTTCCTCAAGGTCTGCCTTCTGTTCTGGCTTGGGCCCTATATCCACCACTGTGCTGTCTTCCTTGGACCTTACCAGCTGTTCTTCAGGTGGGCTGGAGGATGCCTTTGAAGTGCCACTTTCGCTTACTTTCCCAAATAGGGGTTTGGAGTCGACTTCTCTCTCTTGAATTTCTGCTTTGTCACTCAAGCATGATTGATCAAGAAATTGATCTTGCTGTTGTTTCTGATCTTCTGGATAGTTTTTTCCTGGACAGAGAGGATTTCCTGCACATAAGCTTGAGAACAGTTGAGGGAGATGACTCAGCCACACATGTTGGCTGAGGGCTTGCTGACTGGAGAATATCAGAGGGGAGGAGGGACAAAGTTGAGTTTCTGGCTTTGATCCTGCTGAAGAAAGAACATTTTCAGAAGAGTCATAGGTAGGGCTGCATAGGCCATTCTGGTTTGCCCATTGGTCATTCATAATATATTTACATCACAAGCTATCTCCCACCCAGACATCCTTTCCAATACCTATTATTCATTTCACTTTACACATTACATTTTCTATTTCAGGAGTTGGCAAACCCACCTGACAGGCCAAATTCAGCCTGCAATCTGTTTTTGTGTGACCTGCTAGCTAAAGATATTCAAGATTCTGTCAAATCTTGACAAAATATTTTGCGAAATCTGACAAGGTCATTGTAAAATGTTTATGGAACATCAAAGGGCTAAAACTAACAAACACTGTGAAAAATAAGATGGGAGAACTTAACCTAACAGACATCAAGATTTATTATAAAGCTAATAGTAAATTAAAACAGTGTGATATGGGTGCAAGGATAAGCAAATATACCAGTGAAACACAACAGAGATTCAGAAATTAATCTATACATATACCACACATCTAACTGACAAATATTTCATTTCCAGGAATTATAAAAAAAAAATTCAAAACAAGAAAAAGAAAAGTAGGCAAAATATTTGAATAGGCAATTCACAGAAGAGGAAATACTAAGGCCAATTAATGTATGAACATGTGAAAAGATGCTCAAACTCAATATTAATCAAATTCAAATGTGAGAGGCCATTTCACATCCAAAAGATGGTCAAAAAGTAAGGTCTGATCAAACCAAGTATTAGCAAGGATGCAGAGCAAGTAGAATTCTCATACACTGCTATGTGAGTGTAAGCAACTGCTATGCACTGAATTTTGTTTCCCCAAAAGAGATATGTTAGAGTCAAAACTCTCAGTACCTCAGAAGGTATTTGGAAACAGAGTTGTTGCAAATGTAATTAGTTAATATGAGGTCATTAGAGTGGACTCTAATCCAATATGACTAGTGTCCTTGTAAACAAGGGAAAATCTGACATACAGACACACACACACACACACAGGGAGATGAAGACAGAGATCAGGGTGATGCTCCTACATACCAAGGAGCACCAAAGGTTGCCAGCAAACCATCAGAAGCTAGAAGAAAGGCATGGAACAGATTCTTCCTCATAGCCCTCAAAAGGAACCAACCCTACCAACACCCCAATCTCTACTTCTACCTCCAAAACTGTGAGAAAATAAATTTCTGTTCTTTAAACCACTTAGTATGTGTACTTCGTTATGACAGCCCTAGCAAACTAATATAACTTTGGAGAACAATTTGGCATTACCTAGTCACATTGAACAAGTGCATATTCTTTCACTCAAGTATTCCACTCTTAGGTATATATCCTAGACAAATAAGTACTTATGTGTCTAAGGACACATGTATGAGAATGTTCATAGCAGAATTCTTTAATTGATAAAAAAAATGGTAAAAACATAAATGCCCAACAAAAATGGAATGGATAAATGAACTGTATTATAATTATGCATGTAATACAATATTATATAGCATATTATATAGCAATGAAAATGAAGCAGAGCTACATATATCAACATGGTTGAATCTTATAAAATTAGTCAGTGAAGAAAGCAAACTACCGAATAATATACACAATATGATTGATATATAATGTTTAAAGCTTAAAAATATGCCAAACAACAATATAGATGATTGAGGGATCCATATGTATGAAGTAAAGAAGAAAATCACACATGGGAATTATAAATCCCTAATATTTAAAAACAGTTCCCGGCCGGGCGCGGTGACTCACGCCTGTAATCCTAGCACTCTGGGAGGCCGAGGCGGGCGGATTGCTCGAGGTTGGGAGTTCGAAACCAGCCTGAGCGAGACCCCGTCTCTACTAAAAATAGAAAGAAATTAATTGACCAACTAAAAATATATATACAAAAATTAGCTGGGCATGGTGGTGCATGCCTGTAGTCCCAGCTACTTGGGAGGCTGAGGCAGGAGGATCGCTTGAGCCCAGGAGTTTGAGGTTGCTGTGAGCTAGGCTGACGCCACGGCACTCACTCTAGCCTGGGCAACAAAGTGAGACTCTGTCTCAAAATAAATAAATAAAAAATAAATAAAAATAAAAACAGTTCCCTTTCACCCCCTGCTCAAAGGGCATGGGGAGGTATAGGACACAATCTGGGAAGGAGAAATGGAGGCTTCAACTGTGGTGTTTTACTTCTCAAGCCAGGGTGTTAACACATTAGTATGTATTTTATTATTATTATTATTAGCTTGCTATAATCTTAAGTATTATATAATATTTTTTTAAATTATGGGAATTGAGAGGTGGAGATAATCAGTTAATCTTAACATAAGAGAAACTGGAAAGTATCCAGAAGGGTTGTAGATTTCATGGTAATGAGGTGGGTGCAGTTTTTAACATCAGGAGGAGAGAGAGCAAGCCATGAATGAGAAAAGACTAAGCATTATGGAGAAGGCACGACAAGGGAGAAAGGGAAGCTTCCTGGTGGAAGAAAGAGACAAGGAAACCAGGGAAGTCCCTCCCTCAACTGAAGATTATATCCCAAAAGGAAGGCCATGCCAAGCAGCCTTACCAGTGGCCTAAGAAGCCTGGAGAGGAGCTTCCTTACAGTACCTGAGAGATCCCTTCTCCTTCCCTACCTGCCAAGCTGTACACTACCCAGTCCACGCCGTGCTCATACTCACCCGGACGGACGTCCAGCAGACATTTTCTCTCCTCCCTCCAGGGCTCTTCTCCTTGCTCCAGCTGAGTAATAAGTTTTGGTTTGGAAAACAGAATTTCTGTTCATAGGGAAGAAAACAAGGAGATTCTTGGTTATGGGCTCAAGAGGCCATTCAGAACTCAGAGCTAAAATAAGTGGATAAATCTAGAAGTTACAAAAGGCCTACGAACTCCTATCTCTCTGAAGGAGAAGAGTTAAATAAGGAAAAGTGATTCCAATCATAAGGACAGCATAGTAACACTTGGTAGATGAAAAATCTCCTGGGTTTGGAGCAAGATAAAGGAAAAAGAGAGGCCCAGCCTTGGGAAAGAGGCCTGGAAATGCAGTGCCATGCGTAACATGAATAAACCAATCTATCTGCCTTCAAATCTACTAAATCCAGATTTACCCAGAGGAAAAAAGCAAACTATTGTTTTTTAAGCCTAACTTTAAGGCAAAAGTGCTCCATAGGTAGCCTTTCTTCACCATGAGTGGAAAATGCCTTGTGGGGCAAATTTTAAGTGCTAAGGGAAAGCCATTCTTACCCAGTGAGACCAGGTGGTTATAGGTCTCCAGCATCACTTCCCTGTGCAGCGTCCTCTGAGCAGGGCTCAACAACCTCCACTCCTCCTGGGTGAAGTCCACAGCCACATCCCTGAACGCCACGAACACCTTGAACACAAAACACACCCCTGCTCATCCAGGAGTCTGCCTTTCTCACAGCTTACGGTGACAGGTCAAAAGGCTTCCCTGAGGGAGGTAGGAAATATTTCTACACCCTACTTTGGATTGTGACTATGGGGCCCAGGGGTCAAAGACCATTATTCTTATATCTCTATCCGGCCAGCATCATTTGTGCACCTATGACTGTCAAAATCCCAGGCTAGCTGCTTCGAAGGATAAAACCAAAACAAAATAAAAGTTCCTACATGCAGGGAGCCTTAAAACTAGGCAGGGAGAAGAGGATCATACACACACACACACACACACACACACACACACACACACACAAACAAAAACAAATAATCATCTTGGTGAGTTTGAAAATGTTTGAGACTGCTGAGTCTAAGCATTTATGTTCTAATTGAAGAAGCAGAGCCTCGGGGTAGGGATGGTAAATAACCCACCAATACATACACTTCATACAACAGGACTCACTCCTTCCTCTCCCTCACACTACCACTCACCTGCTCAGGACTAATAAGGCAAAGTGGGTGGTGGTAAAGAGAGTGGGCTGAAATCATTGTCTGTGACCTTTAACCCATCTCCGTCTCCTGCGAGTGTAACCTCTGGCAAATTATTAATAGTTTAACCAATAGCACTGCAGTTTCTCCTTCTGTGAACTGAGAATAACAGTGCTTACCTCACGGGGTTGTGGTGAGGATTAGATGAGTTGATGATTACAAAGAACTCGGGCAAATGATGGTTGCTGCATACCGTAAGTGCTCAGGGAGGACTTCCCTGGCCATTCTGTATAAAATGCCTTCCCCTCACTCCGGTGAGTCTTAGTCCCCTCTCCTGCTTTATTCCCTTAGCTCTAAGATATAACATGTGTTATTCACTTTGACTTTCTGACTCCCACTAGACTATAAGTTCCATGTGCATGGTTCACTGCTATTGTTCTGGTGTCTAGAACAGAATCTAGACAGAATCTTAGCAAATATTTTTAAATGACTGAAAATGATTTATTATTATTCCACCAACCAAGTTTCAAATGAACCTCTGCTACCTACAAAGCTGTACTTTGGAGGGTGGGAATATATACTGTTCCTTGGTATGGAAGTTTGTTAAAGTTCCCAGGCCCAAATGAGCCTCAAAATCTAGTTGTTGGATTCTTCCCAGCCAACACTTACTGTGTCTTTTAAAACAGGACACAATCTGCAGTCTGTAACTTGGTTTAGTCTGATCCACACACTACTTTTTTTTTTTTGAGACAGAGTCTCATTCTGTTGCCTGGGCTATAATGCTGTGGCATCAGCCTAGCTCACAGTAACCTCAAACTCCTGGGTTCAAGCGATCCTCCTGCCTCAGCCTTCCAAGTAGCTGGGAACAAGCATGCACCACCATGACCAGCTAATTTATTCTATATATATTAGTTGGCCAATTAATTTATTTCGATTTATAGTAGAGATGGGGTCTTGCTCAGGCTGGTTTTTTTTTTTTTTTTTTTTTTTTTTTTTTTTTTGAGACAGAGTCTCACTTTGTTGTCCAGGCTAGAGTGAGTGCCGTGGCGTCAGCCTAGCTCACAGCAACCTCAAACTCCTGGGCTTGAGTGATCCTTCTGCCTCAGCCTCCCGAATAGCTGGGACTACAGGCATGCGCCACCATGCCCGGCTAATTTTTTACATATATATATCAGTTGGCCAATTAATTTCTTTCTATTTATAGTAGAGACGGGGTCTCGCTCTTGCTCAGGCTGGTTTTGAACTCCTGACCTTGAGCAATCCGCCCGCCTCGGCCTCCCAAGAGCTAGGATTACAGGCGTGAGCCACAGCGCCCGGCCTCAGGCTGGTTTTGAACTCCTGACCTTGAGCAATCCGCCCCCCTCAGCCTCCCAGAGTGCTAGGATTACAGGCATAAGCCACCATGCCCAGCCCCGCACACTACTTTAAAACTTTTGTTTATATCAATTAAATATTGGAAGAGTTCATATGAAAATCTCAATTTAGGGGTCCTGCTGAAAAATATATAAATCTGACCATCCTGGACTTTGCATTACTGCAGGACTACATTTGGCTGAAGGTGACTTACACTGGGGGTCCTCTAATCAAGATCTGCTATTGGCAGATTGCCTTGTCAGCTTCATTCATTATATTATACACTCCTTGTCTCTTTGGTGATTTGATTTCACATCCCCTTCTCAGAATGCCATCCATCACTCCTTGAGGGTACGACACTTGTCTCTCAAACTAATCCCATGCTATACCCTCCCCAGGGGTCTTCCCCTCTTGGGGACACTTCCCTAAATTTCCTGTCCCCTACCAGCTCAAATGTTCTACACTGGCTGGGCTGTGGAATGGCCTTAAGGCTCTACCCATACTGCCATACCCTTATATTAATAGCTGTCCCCAAATCCAACCAGTTCCAATGTACTTAATCACAAATAAAGAGTATGGAAGAGTGAGGGCTGTGGTTCTCACCCCTGATCTCTGGCTGTACTTTAGAGCTACCTGGGTATTTTATAGATTCCTGGGTCCCACCACAAATCAAAAAGGTCAGAATCTCTGGGGTTGGGACTTTTGTACGTTTAAAGGCTCATAAAAGTATAATTATAATTGTGAAACACTGGGTCAGAGGAATTTCAAAAGGGAGAGATCACTGTAGGATAGAGAGATCAGAACATGTTCAATGAGAAGGAGGTATTCACTGTCAAACTGAGGTGGTAGATATATGAGTATGCAATGGACAAATCTATTTTTTTTCTTTTATGTTTAAAACTGTTCATAATTAAATGCTAGAGAGAAAATGACTATTCCAGTACCTGCCTAGTCCTTATGCTGATTTGACTTTATAACTACTTCTTAGAACATACACACACACACCCCTTGAAAATCTCCAATGAAGCAACTACTTCAGAAACCAACCTACATTACTTCAACAAATTTAACACAACTGGTTAGCTTGTCAATTGGTTTCGACCTCAGTATGAAGGAGATCGTAGAAAGGGCAGTATATAGACCCTGTGGGTCCTGTCCAAATGATGAAGAAAGACATTGTTCAGTTCAGATTGCCTGACACCAAACAACAGTGCAAACTTAGGACAGATGTATTTTCAGAGAAGCAGACAATCCAGAACTTATGGTGAAATCTCCCGATTATTAAATGCTGAAAATGCTTGCAAATGTAAAATTTGGGTCAGACCATATCCAACTCCTCCCTGTTCTATGTGTGGATAGCTAGTCTCCATCTTCACCTGTACATATTTAAAAATCAACCTTAAGTCAGTCACCATAATTCTCTGACACTATGGCAAGGGCAGTGTGCCCAGTGGCCCAGCCTCTCAGACTAACCATGCTTCCTGCCCTTCTCCCACTAGTGTGTCTTCCCCCAACCCTCCAACATTCTCAAACCGTTCAGGGGCAGCTGAGACAGCTCTACTTCTGGGAGTCCTCCTTAACCATTTCAAATTCAAATCTCTGCTGTCCTTGCCCTTTACTCATATCGCTAGACAGTTAAACATGGATGTCCCTGTACTTTTATTTAAACTCTTCCATGTGTGTTGTTCACAATTAACTACTTTGTGAATGACTGAGGTATGGACACAGTATAAAGGAATGCTGATGGAAGAGTCCATATAAGATGGAGCCAGGAATGAACTTTGCCCAATACCAACAAGGCAGCCTCCAGGGCAAGAAAAGGTACCGGGGATCCATCCTGTTGACAGCCAAGATGGAATTACAGGTAATTCTCACCTCTTTTTTGGCTCTCAGGAGCCCCGTGGCCATTTTCCTGGTCTCCTGAGTGCTCTCCTTGGAGAAGGGCAAAGCCTCAGAAGATAGATCTGGGGATGTGAAGAGAAATGAGAGAGTGCCTAGGTGGAAACTTCCTCCCCACAAGGTGAAGCACTGGAGTCTGCTCCAGAGCCCCACACAGGGGATTTGGGGACAGCACAGAAATCACCAGCGCAGCCCAATTCCCGTCCACAGTCCGGGAAAAGGGACCCAGGATGACCCAGCATCCTCAAGCTCAGCCCCAAGCTCTGGCCAGGGAGTGAAGCCCTTGTCCCTCAGCAACGAAGTGAGGGTTTGTCTCTAACCCTGTGGGCTCGAATGAAAAGGAAAATGGCCTGGAGGCGCCCACAGGGGAGCGCCCGAGTTCAGGGACAGCGCTGCCTCTCCCAGCCTGTGTCGCCGGGACCAAAACCGGACGGGCAGAAGGACGTGCTGACTGACTGTAGGGCACTCACGGAACTCGGGGGCACGGTGCAGACGCCGAGGCCGAGGGGCGGGTAACCAGGTGCAGGGGTGCGGGAAAGACCCCAGCAGGCAGGCCTGCTCCGGGACCCACCAGCCAGCTTAACTGGCCAACCCCAGCGACCGGAAGTGCTCCTTATGCCAACGCTCCACGCCTATGGTGAGGGCTACAGGGGCGGGCGGAAGTGACCGCACAGGCCTCTGGGGAATGTAGTTTTGGAGAGAGAGAGGCGGAGGGGCTGGCTTTGTACATGCAGGGTGACTCCGACGCCGGCGCCACTCACGCGACCAAGTCTGGGAGCCCATTGTTAAGATGGCCAGGCACCGAGGTTCTCAGGTTTCTCCTCCCGGGGCCAGTGAGATCTGCTGTCTGTGAGAGCGAAGAGGTCTGGAAAACGTGGTCCTGGCGCTCTCCTGGGGTTTCGGTGGCCGGTGGCCAGACTGTGCACGCCGACCTGCAGCGGAGCAGCCGAGCTGAGCTCACCCACTAAAGTCTCCGCCCTGGTGCGCCCTTCCCTGAGCAGAAGCCAAGGTCCGGACAGGTGTGGTTCAAGGCAAGGCACTTGGGGGGTGAGCCAGGGGGGTGATGCTCTGCTGGGACTCCTGGTTTCAGGGCGACACTGATTAGATTCAGGAGTTCCATTCACTTACAACACTGATTGGATCTGGGAAGGGATGCTGGGTTGCTGAAGACCTTGTGGATTTTAATCCTGGAAACTAACACACTCTCTCATCAAAGTGCAAAATGAGTCTTTCTCACCAAGCCATAAATGCCTGTTTCAAAAGTCACTTTCCCCCACTAAGCCTTAAATGTCTGTTTACTCCAAGGCTCCGATTAGAAATCTGTCTTCTTATTCTTTATATATGAGAACATTTCTTGAAGACGATAGTTGTCATTATCTTGCCTCAGAAACACTAAAAGTGAATTATTGAATGATTTAGTTTTCTTTATGGCATGATTAAAATATGGTTAATCATGAATATGGTTAAAATAATGAATGTTAAAATATTGAATGGTTAGAATACCAGATATGTTTTTTATTTTATTTAACTGTTTTTGAGTTATTTCATAGGAGGAATAAAATGTCAGTAGTCATTTCAAAAATCCCTTTCAATACAAAAACAGAGGAGAGTCACCCCAGATGACTACAGTTCAAATTCCACTCCCAACAGTCCCAGGGATGTCCTGAGACCACCTCTATTGCCTTACCTTTCCACTGCAAGGGAGCAAAGAGCCACAGGAGTCACATGCTGCCAACCCAAGGTCCAACAGCAGTAGGTACCTGCCGCCTGCCACATCCATCCTGGAGGGGATTTGTGGTTGTTGCTTAGACCTGCCCCAGGCTGAGTGACTTCAAGACATGGTGATAAGCCTTGGGGAAGCCCAGGCTGCAGGTCCTTTGAGCCCACCATCAGCAGAATCCTGTGACCTCCTGGAGGCTCAGATTGATGCACAAATCTCCCTGGATTGGCATTAAAAGGAGCATTCAGGTATCTCATGCTGTTGTTTCCCAGAAAGTGTTCTCTACAGCTCAGACATTTTTGAGTCTTTTATCTTTGAAGCCAAGGGTTTCCTACGCATTCACATCTCTCAAGAAAAACCTGAAATGACTTCACAACCACCAAACCTCCATCCCTCTAAACAGGGACTTTGTTCATTCCCGTAGCTTCTGTAGACATCTAGGTGCTCAAACTTCTGACTTTAATCAGGATTCTTCTCTAGAACTTTGGGGACAATATATCCACGAATTTTGAACCTCTCCACATAGACGTCGCATTGGCAATAACCACACAGCACGGTCAGAACACTACTCAAGCCACGAGGGTCGGGAGGCAGGCGGTGCTGTTGAGTATTTTGCCTTGCGGGGAGTCTCCTCTGCGACCCCGTGAAATTAAAAACGTCAGGCCGGGTGAGTCATCCTGATGAGGGACCCCCTGGCAGGCCCTCACAGAAGAGGCTGCGCATACGACAACAGCGCTAATGCTCACAACTGCTGCTCCCCTGTGGCAAAGGCAGTGGCTTCCTGGGAGCAAGACCTATAGCTGTGGCAGCTCCAGCAGCCCGTGTGGATATTAAAAGGCTGTCTGGTGGCCAGGCTCGGTGGCTCACGTCTGTAATCCTAGCAGTCTGGGAGGCCAAGGGAGGCGGGTGGATTGCTCAAGGTCAGGAGTTCGAAACCAGCCTGAGTGAGACCGGCTCTACTAAAAATAGAAATTAATTGACCAACTAAAAATATACATACAAAAAATTAGCTGGGCATGATGGTGCATGCCTGTAGTCCCAGCTACTAGGGAGGCTGAGGTAGGAGGATCACTTGAGCCCAGGAGTTTGAGGTTGCTGTGAGCTAGGCTGATGCCAGGGCACTCTAACCTGGGCAACAAAGAGACTCTGTCTCAAAAAAAAAAGCTGGTGAGTGTATGGGATTCCTGAATCTAGTTATTGGGACAAAGCAGGATTACATGTATTTAGATCAAATGATATGTAGATTAGATTGGATAAAATATAGGTTTTCTCACATGACAAAGCCGTAATCTGATTACAGTGTGATTGTGGAACAGTATAAAAGGCCTTGCAAGCCTCAAAAGTAGAACATTTATATTGTACAATACTGTTAACCAGGCTACACAAGTTATCTCATTTTTACTAGTGTGTACGTGCACATCATGTATAGTTCTATGCAATTTGACTTCAGGTATAGATTCCTGTAGCCACCACCATGATCAGGATACAGAACAGTTCCTGGAAAGTCTGTGTTGAGACATCCTCTTGTCTCGGGTTCTGCTACTAAACTTCATAGTCTATGTAAACTCACATTATTTTTATATGTATTTTTTTATTATTTCAATATATTTAGGGGATACAAGTACAGTTTTGTTACATGTATATATGGTACTATGGTGAAATGTGAGCTTTTAGTGTACCTATCACCAGAATGGTATACATTGAACCCAAAGGGTAATTTTTCATCCCTTATGTCCTAACTGTCCTGCTTTCTTTATCTACATGTGAGATAAAATTGTATAGAATTATACAGACACACCTCTACAAGGGCATATAAAACTGGTGAAATCTGATAATACCTATGGATTTTACCAATGTCAAATTTGATATTTTACTATTGTTATGTAAGATGTTACCATTAGGAGAAACTAGATGGAGGGTACACAAACTAGTACTATGGGGTATTATTTCTATAACTTCCTATAAATCTGTAATTATGTCTTAATTAAAACATGTTTTAAAGGTGCAGGAGAAAAAACAAACTATAAGAATGGACTATTCACAGAAAAAAAATGAGTCACCATAAATGTTTTAAAGGCCTCACCATAAACCATTTGTTGAACAGGAAAAAGTGAGCTTTTCACATCCACTGGGCTCTTACCTGGCACACATAAAATCACTAGCATCTGCATCCCCATTTAAGGATCTAGAAATCAAAGAAAGCTTTGTTAGATTTAAATTGCCCCCACTCTAATGCTGGTAACTATCCTTGGCTTGACATATTAAGACTGCTAACCACATTTCACAATGTATATGAATGTTTTCTTTCCCTCACCTGAAAACCAATCCAAATGTAGGCTGATTTTTTTTCTAAGTGGAGAGTCAATTATCCCAACAAATAAATAATTCTTTTTCCCCACTGCTTTCAACTAGGGGAAAAACTTGTGTTTAAGATAAAAATTATTTAAAAATTTGAAAGTTGGCCTAAAACAAATGCTATGTACTTATTTTCATTATCCCAATTAACATTTTGAAGAGAAGGTAAAAAAAAAAAAATAATACCTTGTCAGGCTTGTTTTGTGTATGGTAAAGAGAATTTATTTTATAAATGTTATTATCAATCAAGAATAAGTATGCATTTTTAAATTGTGGCTTTCCCCAACCCCCCAGGTTTCCCTAACCACTTGATTCTTATTTTAGAGAAACTAGTAAAATAAATGTAGGCAAGAAAGGATTTTGAAAAACCAATATAATTTTGACAACCAGAATTATCACCATTGTCATATTTGCTTTCTTTTTTTATTAAATAAATATTACAGGTAAATATAACAACTCTCAGCAAATCTTTCCAGCATCCCAAAAGGCAACCAATGTCATATATGGATGTCCAATACATCATACTGTTCTTTGTACCATCTTATTAAATTATACAAATGCTATACAATATTTCATTGTGCATTGTTTTTCTCTCAGTATTATATGATGCGATCTATCCATGTAACAGTATGTAAATTTTGTTTTCTAAATACTGTATTCTATCAGAGAACAAAATCACATTATATTGATCTATGCCTCTATTGATGGAAATTTGTTACATCCAACTTAGACAAACCATGATGCAGTGAACAGTTACATATATCTCTTTGCACACATATGTGGGTGCCTATGAGGCCAAAACACAATAGAATCGATTGTTCCACATTTATGTGTTTTTAAGAAAATCTGTTACTCTAATAAATATATACTATTTTCATAATAGTGTGAGAATTTTGCTTTTGATACTCTGGTCATCAATATATTTGCGTCTTATTTTTGTATATGGTGTAAGGTAGACAACTAACTTTTTTCTCATATGGACCTTTCATTTATTGAATATGCCATTAATTCCACAATTACTTCAATAGCATTATCACACACAACATTCCCATATCTTCTTTGATTTTTGTATCAATATTCAATATTTATTGTTTCTACTGATTAATTTATTCTCTCAATAAGTTTAAATGACATCTTTAAATAAGTATATGATGATATATAATAGAGTGTCTTCCCTATTTGTTTTGCTTTTTCAAATGTTTTAGCTATTTGTGTCTTCTACTTTTCCATATAAAATTTATAAATCAGTTTGTGAAGTCCCTTAAAATATAACTTATATAAATTTTAAGAGTAAGTAGATTAAACTTATAGATTTGGGAGAGAACTTAGATTTTTACAAAGTCAAGTCTTTTGGGACATAATGTTCTTCTGTGCCCTTCAAGATGATTTATAATTTTATTTATATGTCTCATAAATCATTGTGATCTTAGATCATTATTCTTAGATATTTTCTATCTACACATTTTTGAATTAACTATTTCTTATATAGAAGGTTATTTTAAGAGTTCCTCTTTTTTCCCAGTCTTCTCTTTCTTACTTAAGACATTGGCTGGGAGTTCAAGTATTATGTTGATATGCTGATAGCAGATATCTTGTTTCAGATTTTAATGAGAATTCCTATTAAATATTATGGATAAGTTAAATGTCTGCTTAAGGTTTTAGATAATCAGCTTTTTCATTACGCAATTTGTCAACCTGATAAGAATTCTGTTTTGAAAGTTTGTGACTTCTTCAGACAGCTTTCTGACATTCATGGTTTTCTGCTCTAGAACCATTTGTGTAATGTGCAATGAGGTGTTAATCCCTTCCAAAGGCTTTCTCATATTCACAATAGTCACATAATTTCTAATGAGTATGAATTCTCTGGTGTCTAACAAGGTGTGATTTTTGGCTGAAAGCCTTGCCACACTCATTACAGTGATAAGGCTTTTCACCTGTATGTTTTCTCATATGCAGTGTAAGAGATGAGATTTGAGAGAATGCTTTTCCACACTTAGTACAGTCAAAGGGTTTCTCACCTGTATGGCCTCGTATATGTATAGTAAGGGATGAGCTTTGAGAGAAGGCTTTTCCACATTTATTACATTCATAGGGTTTCTCACCTGTATGACCTCTCATGTGCACAATAAGGGAAGTTCTTTGAGAGAAGGCTTTTCCACATTCATTACATACATAGGGCTTCTCACCTGTATGACTTCTCATATGTAAATTAAGCAGTGAGCACTGAGAGAAGGCTTTTCCACATTTATCACATTCATAAGGCTTTTCCCCTGTGTGACTTCTCAAATGAAGAGTAAGGGATGCAATTTGAGAGAAGGCTTTACCACACTCATTACAATCATAAGGTTTCTCTCCAGTATGAACTTTCTGATGTGTAATAAAATTTTGCTTTTGGCTGAAGGCTTTACCACATTCATTGCATTCATAGGGTTTTTCTCCAGAATGAATTTTTTCATGAGCAATGAGATTTGATTTCTGGCTAAAGGCTTTTCCACATTCCTTACATATATAGGGTTTTTCCCCAGTATGAATTCTCTGGTGTCTAACAAGATTTGACATTTGAATGAAAGCCTTCCCACATTCATTACATTCATAAGGTTTCTCTCTAGTATGAATTTTCTGGTGTGTAATGAAGTTTTTCTTATGGCTGAAGGCTTTTCTACATTCGTTACATTCGTAGGGTTTCTCACCAGTGTGACTTCTCAAATGTACAGTAAGGGCTGAGCTTTGAGAGAAGGCTTTTCCACATTCATTACATTCATAAGGTTTCTCACCTGTATGAATTCGAACATGTATAATAAGCATGGAAAACTGAGAGAAGGCTTTGCCACATTTATCACATTTATAAGGTTTTTCCCCTGTATGACTTCTCATATGAAGAGCAAGGGATGCAATTCGAGGAAATGCCTTACCACATTCATTACATGCATAAGGTTTCTCCCCAGTATGAACTTTCTGATGTGCAATAAGGCTTTGTTTCTGGCTGAATGCTTTTCCACATTCATTACATTCATAAGGTTTCTCTCCAGTATGAATTTTTTCATGATCAATGAGATTTGATTTCTGGCTGAAGGATTTCCCACATTCCTTACATGAATATGGTTTCTCTCCAGTATGAATTCTTTGATGTCTAATGAGATTTGACATTTTAATGAAAGCTTTCCCACATTCATTACATTCAAAAGACTGCTCCTGACTATGAATTTGATAATGTTTAATGAGTTTCTCCTTGTGGCTGAAGGCTTTTCTACAGTTATTACATTCATAGAGCTTTTCTCCAGTATGAATTCTCAGGTGTCTGATGAGGTCCAATGTTTGATTGAAGCCTTTTCCACAATGATTACACTTAAATGGGGTTACTCCAAGATCGGATGAGCTATTACCATATGATTTCACAGGTTCGATATATTCACAATGTTTCTTTCTTATAAGGCATTCCACATTATAGCAGTCAAAATTATGTTCTAAACACTTTCCAAATAAGTTATATTCATAGAGATTCTGTCCAGAAGGAACAAAATCTGAGTTCAGAGGAAATACATTTACAAATCTCTTATGACATTTATTGACTTTTTCTTCAGTCAGTGTTTTCTTGAATTTACCTTCAACTTGTCTCAAAAGTCTGTTCTGGTTTTTCTGATTCTCATCAATTCCCCATATTTCTCCTAAAATAGATTGCAAACAAATATCACTTGTGAACTTTTTTCCAATATCATAAAACCAAGAAAATTAAAAACAAAATTCTATTAAGGGATTGATTCTTGCTTTAAGACCTACTCTCCCATTATTAAACAAATTTCAAATTTATGTATCTCCTATCTCCTAATTTTTGAGAAGAAAATTCCAGGAAAGAAAATATAAGTAGAGGCAGATATAAATAAAAATAGCTTTGATTGCTCTTATAAGGTATCTGAAAGACAAAAAAATAACTATTAGGTAAATGCAGAATAACTTTTAGGGGGATGCAGAATGTACAAATAAAGTTAAGAAATAATGGCACAGAAAAAAATAAAAAATGGGAAGATAAAACATCATAAGATCATTTTGCAGTACTCTATTGAAATACATTTTTATAAACTGACATGAATGCTTTTCTGGAAAATGCAAATTAACAACACTGACTATAGAAATGCAGAAAACTTATCAAGACAAATTTCCATAAAATGAACAGAAAGATATTAAAACCGACTCCCTAAAACAAAACAAAAAGATCCAAAGAGATTCACATGGGAATTCTAACAAAGATTTAAGGAACAACTAACATTATGCAAAATGCTATAAAAGAAAAAAGAGAGGAGAATATTTTCTGTTTGAAACAAACATAATATTAACACCAGAACCTGAAAAAGAGGACAAACAAATAAAGCAAACTATTGACCAATTTCATTTACCCAATGAAAATAATATATGTAAAACATCAAAATGACCCAGAAGAAAAAAGTGTCCCAGAAGCACAGCAAACATACCTGAGTAGATTTTTTCCAGGAATATGTATTAAAATTAGAAAATATATTATATAAAAAGAAATATATTAATGGGTAAAAAATTAAAAATCAAGCAATCATTTCCATACATATGAAAAAGATGAAAAAACTCAGTATCTATTTTCATTTAAAAATCCTTTACAAAATAGGAATAGACAAGACATTCACTTAACTTGAGAATAAAGTACAGTACAATCCAAACACCCGCACTATCTTAAGGGGAAAAAAACAGAAGCATTCACATTAAAGTCAGGAATAAGAAAAGATGAGTACTATTGCCACTATTATTACAGCGGAGGGTAGTGCAATTAAATGAAAGAAATAAATCAGAGGAATAATAAATTGGAAAAGAAAGATAAAATAAGTATTTGTCAACAATAAAACTGTCTAACGGAAAAATCAAGTCATGAGCCTTAGTCAGCAGCCCTAGTAAACTAAGACAAAAGGCATAACACATTTTGGAAAACAACATTCAGCAGCATAAAGATGGTATTCACAAGTTAATCAATCAATTTAAAGTTGTTTCAATAAAAACGTTTGAAAATACAAGTCATAGTGCAAAGGAAAATGACACACTAGGGTTGTCATCATGGAGGGGAAATGAGTAAGAGAAGAAGAATTACTTTTCAACTTAAAATTTTTATGCTATAAAAAAAAATTTTATGCTATGAGCAGCATGTGTTATATATTCAAAAAGGAAAACATATAAAATTGTTCTAAACACTGTAGTAATCAATGAAATGAGAAAAAATAATGGAAAGGTAAAAACTGAATGAAAGGATTGGAACATAAGACTGGAGGTGCCCACCTAGGTTGATAGGATAGGCAGCAAATATACTAAGCAGAGTAAGAAAAACAGTAAGAAACTGAAGTTAAACAGCATAATAAATACATGAGTTTATCTCTGACTCCACCGAAAATCACACTAATATGGGATACTTTAAAAGGTATAAACTAACAAAAGCAAAGACCATAAGAGATAATAATAGACAATAGATGTAAACATAATTGTAGCAGATGGAAGAAGATTAAGGACTATTACATGACATGACAACCTAGAAAGCTGAAACCCAAGTGCCTGCAGAGGAAGATGTCAAAAAACAAAACCGAATTCCTACTACATAACTAAAGAAAGGCTCAGGAATTAGAGAAATCATGTACCATGAAAGGTGGGAATGATGGAGGAGTTAAAAATAAGAGAAAGATTGGAAGTCTATATGGCAAACAGATGTCTGCATTGTATAATGAGGTGCCTATCACTAACTCCTCTACTCTAGAGAAGATGGGAGACTACTCTCGAGTTTCTAGACTCTAGTCTCTAGACTACTCTCGAGGCTCTAGAGTCAGGGACACCAGGTAGAAGAATATAGTGAGAACAAACTGGCCCAAATATAGGGAGAATAAGTGAAAGTCTACATACTGAAGGAGGAAACATGAAGTCTCCTATTGCTGCTTACCTCCAATGAGAAAATGGAGATTTTTCCTTCCTTTCTCTTAGATTGAGAATGAAGTGAGGGAAAAATTCCTGTGAAGCTGTCCTGTAAACAGGTAAAGTTAGAGACTTGGTTGCAGGTTATAAATGTAGAAAAGAAGGGAGAATGCTAAGCTCTTTGATCATTTCAGTTATAGTGAAAAAGAGAAGAGCAATTAAGCAAAAGATGGTGAGGGAGAAGGTAACATCAGGTCATCATTATATATCAAGCCGAAGAGAATTTCAAAGGCAAGATCAAAATATCAAAAGTGACTATAATGACTTATGTTTCAAGATGGTGGATTTTAAAAGTCTGTGATATCTTTTCCTTGCTATAAACAAGGAGAATGAAAAGTCATTGATTCTTCAATGATCTGAGGAGATAGCTGTAAACCCAATTATAAGAAATGAATTAGTGATGACAAATACAGTGAAGACTAGAACACAGGAAGAAGGATTCCAAAAGAGGACAGCTGTACATGCTGATTTGAGAATAGCAAGCAGTTGACAATGTCAAAAGAGATATCATACCCTGAAGGTCAGAATTAATAAACCAATGTTTACAATGTGAAAATTTGGGAGTGTAGAGTGGTTACAAAATATTTGATATCCTAAAATGTCTGAGAAGCTAGATCTGAAAGGAAAACTACAACATATGTTGTTTTAGGAAGAACTCTGTTGTGGTAAGGATGTAAGATTCAGAGTTATGCAATTTTATAGAAGGCACATCAATATGTGGGAAATTTTTGCAGATACAGAGCAAATTTAAATATTGATGGCCATTATTTGGTCAACTCTGTGAAAATTAATTTAAAAAGTAAGATTAAGTGGATAATCTCCTAGAAAAATATAACCTGTTGTGAAAAAGTAATGCCAAAAGAGAAACAAATATCTACATAGAACAGTTATAAAAGAAACAATGAAAACAGTTGCCAAGGAAAGTTCCCTCAAAAATCCACAAGGTCTAAATATTTCAACAGGAAATATCTACCAAATTTTTAAGGGAGTTATAACACCATTGCTATATAAGTGTTCTAGAACATGAAGGAAAGCTTCCAAATTCTATTTATGAAACCAGCATAATATTTCCATCAAAGCCTTAAAGAGTTGAAACAATTATTTAAATTTTTAGCAAACATGAAAGGATGAGTCATTATTAAGAAATACATAAATATAATTCACCTATATATATGAAAGGAAAAAATTATATAATATATAGTAAAAGATTGTTTTAATTATATGAACATTAAAAAAAGTCAAGATGGCAAAAAGTACTTCAAAAAGGAATGACTTCTTTGGGAAAAAATACAACAAAAACATATGGCAGGTAAAAGGCCAATCACCATAATGTGTTGAGTTCATACAAATAAAGACTCAATGGAAAAAAAGGCAAAAGAAAAAAACTGTTCATAAAAAAAGAAATATAGATTTTAAACATATGAAAAGATGCTTGCTTTCACTCAAAGTAAATGTTAATTCAAACTATAATTGGTTATAATTTTTCATCTAGCATATTGGCAAAGATTTAAAAACATGCTAATAGACTGTTGATAGAAATATAAATTATTACAGTCTCCTGGAGAGCAAAAAATATTTTATCAAATTAGAAATATATGTATATGGATGTAATATGTGCATGGATGTATGTATATATGGATGTATATGTATATACACATACATACATCACACATACACATGAATATATACATGAAAAATACAGCAGAAAATGGGAGCTAATAAAAGATCAGCACTTATGTAAAACTTTTATTGAAGGAAAAGGGTGGTAGTGATTACTGAAGTATGCGAGCAAAAGCTAAAAATACAGTAGGAAGTGTGACTATGCGTATAAAATATAATGCTAAGGCATTTAGAATGGAAGAAAAAAGGCCAGGTGTGGTGGCTCACGCCTGTAATCCTAGCACTTTGGGAGGCCGTGGTGGACGGATCACTCCAGGTCAGGAGTTGGAAACCAGCCTGAGCGAGACCCCGTCTCTATCAAAAATAGAAAGAAATTAATCGACCAACTAAAAATATATATACAAAAAAATTAGCCGGGTATGGTGGCACATGCCTGTAGTCCCAGCTACTCAGGAGGCTGAGGCAGTAGGATCACTTTAGCCCAGGAGATTGAGGTTGCTGTGAGCTAGGCTGACGCCATGGCACTCACTCACTCTAGCCTGGGCAACAAAGTGAGACTCTGTCTCAAAAAAAAAAAGAGAAAGTAAAGGACTAGAAATGTCAACAAGGTTTATTAGAACAACTGCAAATCCATGAATGTCTGTATATAAAAGGAAAGGATCCTGTGTATAAAGGTGGGTAGAGAGACTGAACATGCTAATAATAGAATGATTATCAAAGTAAGGCTGAAAACTAATAAGAAAATTTGGTACCCAGCACATAGGTAAGAAAGCCAACCAGACCTCCGAAGTGACATATTAGGCATATAAAGAGTATACACTGGCTGGGGGAGGTAGCTCACATCTGTAATCCTAGCTCTCTGGGAGGCCTAGGCAGAAAGGTAGAGGTCAAGAGTCAAGAGTTCAGGACCAGCCTGAGCAAGAGCGAGACACTGCCTCTACTAAAAAAATAGAAAGAAATTAATTGGCCAAGTAAAAAATATATATAGAAAATTAGCCGGGCATGGTGGCGCATGCCTGTAGTCCCAGTTACTCGGGAGGCTGAGGCAAAAGGATTGTTTGAGCCCAGGAGTTTGAGGTTGCTGTGAGCTAGGCTGATGCCATGGCACTCTAGCTCGGGCAACAGAGTGAGACTCTGTCTCAAAAAAAAAAAAAAAAATAGAGTCCTGACCCCTCCTTACCTGTCAATTTCCCTTCCACTAACCTGGACAGTGTCTCCTCAATACTTCTTCCTCTAGCACCCATGGTTCTTCTTCTTGCTCCAATTTGAAAATTACATCAGGTTTGGTGAATGGACAGCCTAGCAAAGAGAAGTGACACAGATTTGGGCAAATGTACTTACTAGGAACAAAGATCCACCCAAGAATTGAGGCTGCATAAGGGAAATCAGGCTTTCTGAAGGACAAGAAAATGTGGTTTCTGGGGGTGCTGCCTACTGAAATATAACCAAGGATGACCTCTGCTCTGAAAGCTGCAGCATGGACATTGACATGAGCAGAGGCCTCTCAAGGCTAAACTCACTCTTGCATTTAAAAGTTCCACACAGGCTGGGCGCGGTGGCTCATGCCTGTAATCCTAGCACTCTGGGAGGGCGAGGCAGGCGGATTGCTCAAGGTCAGGAGTTTGAAACCAGCCTGAGCAAGAGCGAGACCCTGTCGCTACTATAAATAGAAAGAAATTAATTGGCCAGCTAATATACATAGAAAAAAATTAGCCAGGCATGGTGGCACATGCCTGTAGTCCCAGCTACTTGGGAGGCTGAGGCAGTAGAACTGCTTGAGCCCAGGAATTTGAGGTTGCTGTGAGCTAGGCTGACGCCTGCCATGGCACTCACTCTAGCTTGGGCAACAAAGCGAGACTCTGTCTCAATCAATCAATCAATCAATCAATCAATAAATAAATACAAAAGTTCCACACATTTCAGAAACACTGAAGAAAAAAATGCACTTTATTTCCAGAGTTTGAATTATATAGTAAATTACTCTTACCTACTGTGATTAAGTTGTTATAGTTTTCTAGCATTACATTCCGATACAGGTTCCTCTGAGCAGGATCCAATTGCTTCCACTCCTCCTGGGTGAAGTCAATAGCCACATCTTTGAATGTCACTGTTTCCTGTAACAATACACTCCTACTCAATTTGAAGTTACCCATCTTAGTTGATGTAGACAAAACATACAGAACCTTGTTCTTATATTACTTAGAGGTTATTAAAAAACTTTACCTGGTTTTATCATTTTTGAAAAAAAGAAAAACATCATATTAGCAACATTCTGTCAATTTATATTCATTCACTAATTTAGCAAGCATATATCTTTAATAACTACCATGGGTTAAAGAGGAGATCTTGGGCACCAATTTATACTGAGTGTAAAAGAAAGAGAAAAATAAAACTTTACTCAGGTTAATTGGTTAGGGAACTCCTAAGATAACAAAGGCAGGAAAAAATGAAAGCAGGAATTGAGTAGAAGCAGAAACAGGGAGAGAATGATAGGCAAAACTTGGAGTATGGTAGGACATCCAACTAAAGATATCCGTTGATGTAGCAGTTGGACATATTGTTCATGAGATCAAGAGAAATCTACACTGGAAGTCATTAGCCTACAGTATGTGTCTGCAGCCATGAAAATGGTATATGACTGCTCAAAGAGCTTACACATATAGAAAAAAGAGGGCTAAAGATGGGAATCCTACATATAACAACAAAGAAAAGAGGCCTTGATGGAGATTTATTTTTTAATGATCAAAATTAGAATTATAACTGGAACTATATATGAAGAAAGCTATAGAAAGAGATTCAGAAATGAGAAACTGGTGAAAAAATTCTTGAAAGCAATGTGATTTGAATACAGAAATCTAAGGCACCATTACTAGTTCAAAACTGAAATGCCCAAAAGAATATGAACATAAGAAAAAAATAGTCAACAGCACTGGAAAAATGTGAGAGAGAAATCCACCTTTCCTATTTTTGAGGATTTTCTACCAGAGATGGGGTAAGATAAAAGGAAGTCTACAATAGTTAATTCACAATTAATGTTTCTAAGAATTTATTTCTAGGTCCTATCAGGATCCAATGAACATGAATATCCATTAACACGAAGCATTCAGAAAAAGCTGTGGGACTGATGGTAGATACGTCCTGGAACCCTTTCCTGCTGAAGATCATAGCATTTGAAATAAACAAGAAGCCAAAGGTAAAGTGTTGGGCAAAAAAAAAATTCCCTGAAATCCAGTGGGGTTTTAAGGTTTTCCCTTACACCTGGGAGAAGATAAAAATATGCATGGATAAACACTTGGTGGGAAAGTGGGGCTGAGGAGAAAACATGATATGACAAGCTGACCCTGGTTTCACCAATCACAGTGAAGGACATTGGCACATAAGATACATTCTTCCTGGGTCTACCTCAGCCTTAGATTTTTCCTCAGAAAGCTGCATTTTCCTCAGGAAGTCAGATCATTAAACTAGTAAATAAATTTTAGAAACCAACATGAAAGATTTTGCAAGAAAATCCTAATTGTACACAGCTCAAGAGTGAGAGAATCCAAAAGGAAATCATTAAAATAAATGTGAAGAAAATGCTTAAGAAAAATAATCTAGTAAATGTGAATGCAGAAATTATCTTAAAAATGAGAATTCTAAAACTTATATACATAAATATCCATATTTAAAAGATATTTTTAAGAATAATGAATTAGGCAAATGTTTAATAAGTTTAATGAAGAAAAACAAACATCCAAAATTAGGAAAAGCTATTAAAACAAGCTGACAGTTAAAACAGTATGTATCTGTCTATGGCTGAAATTTTTAAAATCAGAATGAAATGAATAATTCAAAAGGAAACCTAAAGCAAATATTGATTTAAAAAAAGGAAATCCCAAACAATGCAATATTATTACACACACTATTACTCTTCTACTTCAATATCTATTCCTTATTGTCCCAATTTTTGGCTTGCTAAAATAGGTATTTTATTTATTTATTTATTTATTTTTGAGACAGAGTCTCGCTTTGTTGCCCAGGCTAGAGTGAGTGCCATGGCGTCAGCCTAGCTCACAGCAACCTCGAACTCCTGGGCTCAAGCAATTCTACTGCCTCAGCCTCCCGAGTAGCTAGGACTACAGGCATGCTCCATCATGCCCAACTAATTAGTTGGCCAATTAATTTCTTTGTATTTATAGTAGAGACTGGGTCTTGCTCTTGCTCAGGCTGGTTTCGAATTCCTGACCTCAAGCAATCCATCCGCCTCAGCCTCCCACAGTGCTAGAATTACAGGCGTGAGCCACCATGCCTGGCCAGGTATTTTATTTTATTGATATATAACATTTTATATACTCATGGGGTATATGTGATATTTTGATACATGCCTAAAATGTTTAATAATCAAGTCATGGAATTTAGGGTATTTCAAGTGTCCACCACTTTGATTATTTCCATGTGTTGGGAACACTTCAAGTCCTCTATTCTAGCCACCTTGAAATACATAATTTATTATTGTTAACAATATTCATTCCTCTCTGCTGTTGAATGATACAACTTATACCCTCTATTTGTACCCTTTCATCTACCTCTCTTCATCTGCCCTCTAAGTCATCCACCCTTCCCAGCCTCTACTATCATTCCACTCTTTACCTTTACGAGATCTGTAGGGTATGGGTCTAGAAGAAAGGATGGATTGATGGAAAGAACACGAGCAAGGTGAATGAAAGGTCAGGTGAAAACACATGCCCAAAGCTGCCTGTTTGTTCTGAAAAGATCAGCTGGCCTGTATAGAAGCTGTGAAAGATATTACAAAACGTCCTTACCCTTTGTAAATAAATACGGGGAGGAAGATAGCCGAGAAGGCCATTTTCTCCTTTAGATTTTGGCCTCTCCCCTTCTCTCTAAACACTGTGTGTTTTGAGTGATTATTCATTCCTTTCTTCACTACCAAGCTCAGGAGTGAAAAAGCAGCCATAACATAATCCCAGGTCATTATGATTTTCTCCTACATTTTCTTTTTTTTTTTTTTTTTTTTGAGACAGAGTCTCACTTTGTTGCCCAGGCTAGAGTGAGTGCCGTGGCGTCAGCCTAGCTCACAGCAACCTCAAACTCCTGGGCTTGAGTGATCCTTCTGCCTCAGCCTCCCGAGTAGCTGGGACTACAGGTGTGTGCCTCCACGCCAATTAATTTCTTTCTATTTATAGTAGAGACGGGGTCTCGCTCTTGCTCAGGCTGGTTTCGAACTCCTGACCTTGAGCAATCCACCCACCTCGGCCTCCCAAGAGCTAGGATTACAGGCGTGAGCCACCGCGCCCGGCCTCCTACATTTTCTTTAAAAATTGTTATTGTTTTATATTTGAAATTTAGATCTATAATACATTTTGAGGTAATTTTTATATAAATTAGGAGATTTGTCAAGGTTTTCATATATAGATGACTAGTTCCAACATTATTTGCTAAAAAGGTCATAATTCATTGAATTGATTTTGCATCTTTGATAAATATAAAATGGTTGTATTTGTGTGAGTCTCTTTTTGAGCTATATTCTTTTCCATTAATCTATCTTTCTTTCTTTTCACCTGACATACTATCTTGACTACTTAAGGTTTCTCAACCTCAGCACTATTGATATTTAGAGCTGGATAATTCCTTGTTGTAATGAGCTACATTTTTATACATTTTATACATTTATAGACATGTATACCTACCAGCCAAGTCAAAACACAGAACATTTTCAGCACTCCAGATTGCCTCATTCATTTTCCTAGTAAACACCCTCTTGAGAGGTAACCATCACTCTGACTTCTATCACAATATATTAGTTTTTCCAGTTTCAACTTCATATAAATGGAACCATATGGTACATACTTTGTTGTTTCTGGCTTCTTTCACTCTATGTGTGACCCATCCATGCTGTGTGTAGCCATCATCTTGTTCTTATTCATTGTTATGTAGTACGCCACCATGGGAAATACTATAATTTATTCCTTTTGGGTTTTTTTTTCTAATACTGGGCTATTTTGACAAATACTCTTTGTTTTATCCTTGATCAAAACAGACTATTAAACAAGCTAGGTTTATCAATTACAAGAAGTCACACTATAATGTTTTCATTGACCTAGGTGCCAAAGAAAAGCTTATTTTTGTTAAGAAATTTTTTTTATCTTTATATAAAAATTATTTAACAAATTTTGGCAGAAATTTCTGCTCTGGTTTGCTTTACCAATAAAAATTAAATTTTAAGTTTGAAGCCCAACTTGAATCTCTCCAAATGAACATGTTTCATTTAAAAAAACCACATTTTAACTCTTCCTTAGTTTTGATTTTCCAATTTCATTTCCTCTGAAAATGTTCTCTGTAAATAGGCCTTTCTAATTTACTGTATGGCTTACTACAATACCCTTAAATTGCACTGTAGAATAAGGTAGGAAGCAAATACACTATTTAATATTTACCTGGGACTCAGTCATCTCCTCTTCTCTCTGGGAAGGGACAGGGTCTGAGGAGATAGAACTGGAGAAGAGAATACAAGTCATTAGAACAAGCTTATCTTGTAGTTTCAAAAACTTGTACCCACAAGGTCACTTTGTAGCAGAATGATACTTGGATCCATCAAAAAGGCCAAGAATATTCACACCACAGAGGTGGTGATAGGTGTAGGTATAAGGATGACCATGTGGAATCTATGCGTAGGGTAGATAGGAATACAAGTGCATATGTGAGAGACGCCCCATGAATTTATCAGTAGCTCTCTAACAGAAAATACATATAGTTTCATGAAAGCATACACCCAAGAAAATTATGAAACTGACAAAACACTTAAAGTATTTTAATGTATTGAGACAGTTTAAAAAGAAATAATTAAGTAGCAATTAAATAAGAATTTAATTTAAAAGTTGACATAATTAGATTTTGAGGCAAAAGGGAAAATTTTTGTGGGTAATGTGGTATGAGAGGTATTGATGTTAAGAGAATTAAATCCTTACTTTCTATAGTAAAAAAAAAAATCTAAAACTGAAAAATGTTAAATAATAACAGGATAAGTATATGATTTAGAAAAGTGGAATAAATACAAGTAGTTACAGTTAAGAGTTGAAAGTAGGTCCCTCTAGGGACAGGAATTAGGAATGGTGGAAAAAAAAGAAATCAGGTACAGTTGCTTACGAATGTTATCATAATTATAAGCTTAGTAGCACTATTTTATTCTTTAAAATAAATTCACAGTTTTGCCAAAAATACAAATTTAATGAAAAAAATACATACCATTGCAATAGATCTGAGTAATACTACAGTGGAGAAGGAACCCTTGATTATCACGTAATGTCTCTATCCCTGACGATATTCCTTGGTCTAAAGTCTACTTTGTCTAATATTAAAATGGTTTTCCATCTTTCTTTTGATCAGTATTCTGTGGTATTTTTTTCTCTATCATTCACTTTTTTTTTCTTCCCAGGAAAAGGCAGTGAGATATCATTCACTTTTAATGTATCTATCTTTATACTTAAAATGGGTTTCTTCTAGATAGCATTAAGATAAATATTGCTCTTTTATCCAGTGTGATGAGTTCTATCTTTATAATTGGTGTTTAGAACAATGATATTTAAATTGATTATTGATATGGTTGGATTAAGACCTACCATCTTCCTAGCTGTAGTCTATTTACTCCTTTGTTCCATTCCCCACCCCTTCTTCCTTGGTTTGGTTTAACTGAACATTTTTTATTATTCTATTTTATCTCCTCTATTGAATTATTGTTGATACCACTTTTTAAAAAAATTAGGGGTTCCCTAGGGTCTTAAATACTATTTCTTATTAATCTGAGTTTACCTTAAAAAAAAAAAAAGTACAAGCCGGGCGCGGTGGCTCACGCCTGTAATCCTAGCACTCTGGGAGGCTGAGGTGGGCGGATTGCTCGAGGTCAGGAGTTCGAAACCAGCCTGAGCAAGAGCAAGACCCCGTCTCTACTATAAATAGAAAGAAATTAATTGGCCAACTAATATATATAGAAAATTAGCCGGGCATGGTGGCGCATGCCTGTAGTCCCAGCTACTCGGGAGGCTGAGGCAGTAGGATTGCTTGAGCCCAGGAGTTTGAGGTTGCTGTGAGCTAGGCTGACGCCAAGGCACTCACTCTAGCCTGGTCAACAAGCAAGACTCTGTCTCAAAAAAAAAAAAAAAAAAAACAACACTGCTTCACTTGCAGTAAAAGACCTTACAACAGTATATTCCAAATTCCTCCCTCCCATCCTTAGTGCTAAACTTATTATATATTTTACTGTTATCTGTGGAATAAACAAAAACAGGTAAAATTTTTTACTTTAGGCAATCACTTAACGTTTAGAGCAATTAAAAACAAGAAATTTAAAAATTTTATTTCATCCTTTATTTATTCCTTCATTTCTCTCTTCATTTCTCTGTGCAGATACAAGTTTCTAACTGACTTTATATTCTACCTAAAAGACTTCCTAAATTTAGCATTTCTGCTGTAAATGAATTCTCCTAGTTTTGTCTGAGGGAAGTCTTTATTCTTCTTTCATTTTCAATTTATTTCCCCAGAAACAACATGAAATCTACCCTCTTAATCAATTTTTAAGTGCGTAATACATTATTGTTGACTATGAGTACAATGTTATATAGCAGCAGCTCTCTAGAGTTTGTTAATCTTGCTTAATTGAAACATTATGCCCAGTGATTAGTATAACTCCCCATTTTCCCCTCTCCCCAACCTCTGGTAACCACCATTCCACTCTTTGATTCTATGAATTTGACTATTTTAAATACCTCATATATGTGAAATCATGCAGTAGTTATCTTTCTGTGACTGGATTATTTCACTTAGCATAAAGTCCTCAAGTTTCATTCCTGTTGTTGTATACTGCAGAAATTCCTTCTTTTTAAAATCTGAATAATATTCCATTCTATATACATACACATTTTCTTTATCCATTCATCTGTCCATGGACATTGACATTGTTTCCATATCTTGGCTACTGCAAATAGTGCTGCAACGAACTCAGTACTGCTACTATGTCTTCAAGATCCTGAATTCAGTTATTTTGGATATATACTCAGCAAGGAGCATGATGGATCATGTGGCAGTTCTATTTTATTTTTTGAGGAAACTCCATACTGTTTTCTATAATGGCTGCACCATTTTACATTCCCACTAACAGTGTGCAAGAGTTCCAATTTCTCCACATCCTCACCAATACTTGTCTTTTTGGGTTTTTTTGTTCTTTTTTTTGTTTGTTTTTGCTAATAGCCATCTTGACAGCTGTGACGTGATATCTCATTGTGGTTTTCATTAGTATTTTCCTTAATAATTAATGTTGTGGAGCACTTTTTCATATACCTGCTGGCCATTTGTATGTATTCTTCATAGAAATGTCTATTCAAGCCTTCAGCCCATTTTTAAATTCAGTTATTAGTTTTGTTATCCATTGAGTTGTAGGGGTTCCTTATATATTTTGGATATTAACTCCTTTTCAGATATATGGTTTATAAAAAATTTCTCTCTTTCCATAGGTTAACTTTTTTTCTCTATAAATTATTTCCTTTTCTGTGCAAAAATTTTTAGTTTGATGTCGTTCTACTTGTTTATTTTCGTTTTTTCTTCCTGTGCCTTTGAAGTCATATCCATGAATCATGAACAAATCAAGTAATAAAGATTTTACTCCGTGTTTTCATCTAAGAGAGTTACACTTTCAGGCCTAACATTTCAGTCTTTAATCTATTTTTAGTTGATTTTTTTGTGTGTACATTAAAAATAATAATAATAATAATTTACTTACCTTGTTTATTATCTGGCCCACAACAATGTAAGTACCATGATAGCAGGGGGTTTGTCTCTTTTGTTCACTGCTATATCCCAAGCACCTAGAAGTGTGCCTGTTATACAGACAGCATTCAGTAAATGGCCAATCTATGAATGAATGAATCCTCAATACATGAAGAACTCTGGAAAAGAAATCTGAAAATAGAATACTACTTTAGAAAACATATAATTCACAAAAGAGATTTTTTTTTAATTCTTGACTTCAGTACTAATAAAACAACTGCATATTTCTTTTCTTTTTTTTGAGATAGAGTCTCACTTTGTTGCCCAGGCTAGGGTGAGTGCGGTGGCGTCAGCCTAGCTCACAGCAACCTCAAACTCCTGGGCTCAAGCAATCCTTCTGCCTCAGCCTCCCGAATAGCGGGGACTACAGCCATGTGCCACCATGCCCAGCTAAGTTTTTTCTATATATATATATTAGTTGGCCAATTAATTTCTTTCTATTTATAGTAGAGACAGGGTCTCGCTTTTGCTCAGGCTGGTTTTGAACTCCTGACCTCGAGCAATCCGCCCTCCTTGGCCTCAGAGAGTGCTAGGATTATAGGGGTGAGCCATGGCGCCCTGTCATAACTGTATATTTAAAAAAAATTATTAGGCCGGGCGCGGTGGCTCACGCCTGTAATCCTAGCACTCTGGGAGGCCGAGGCGGGCGGATTGCTCAAGGTCAGGAGTTCAAAACCAGCCTGAGCGAGACCCCGTCTCTACCATAAAAATAGAAACAAATTAATTGGCCAACTAATATATATAATATAAAAAAAATCAGCCGGGCAAGGTGGCACATGCCTGTAGTCCCAGCTACTCGGGAGGCTGAGGCAGGAGGATTGCTTGAGCCCAGGAGTTTGAGGTTGCTGCGAGCTAGGCTGATGCCACGGCACTCACTCTAGCCTGGGCAAGAAAGCGAGACTCTGTCTCAAAAAAAAAAAATAAAAAAAATTATTTTATTGCCATGAGGTTAAAGATTACTAATATTTATGATATCCCCTGTTAGAAAGGGTTTATGGATATAGGTAGTCTTATAGTATGTTAATAATCCCGTAGACTATTGGAACCTTACAGGAGAATATTTAGACAGATTTAGGGAGCCTTTAATAAGAGCATACATTTTGACCTATCAATTCTATTTCTAGGAGCCTGCCCTTTCCTCAAAAAAAGTAAGAAAACTGCATTATAATATGTGCCAAATAGTTGTTGATAAACATACTGTTTATAATTGCAAGAATCTGAAAAGAACCAAATTACCCATCAATAGGGGTAAATGAATACTATGAAAAACTTTAAAATGATGGCATGGATTTCTAACTGTTTAGGTGGAAAGATATTAAACATGTATTGTGAAATGAGAAAGGTAGGTTACAAAACTGTACGTATAGTGTGGTTGCAATTTTAAAGCCATTATGTACATAAATAAGAACACATGAATGTATGTGTATGAATTCACAAAGGGAGGGGTGAAAAGATGGGAAGTAAATTTTGACAGTGGTCGAATGGCTGGTAGAATTGTAAATGATCTTTGTTCTTTGAGCCTTTCTGTATTTTGCGATTTGGGGAATGGAGTAGGGGGGCAAGGAGAATGAATTTAGTATGCACACAAAACAACGTGGCTAATACACAACAATAAAATTAAAAATAGATATTAACATGTTGGGGCTATTGATGTTTCATACAAAAATATACCATTACCGAAGAAATGCAGCACTAGTACAAACAGTCTCACACATCTACACCCACCAAGACACCCTATCTTCCACCCTCGGCGTTTCTCATTCATTCAGGATCCCACAGTCACGCGTGTTTGCACCCACGCTCATATTGAAAGAGAACAGGGAAAGCGCCTGCACAAAATCCGCTTGCACACACGGTCCCACGGCCACATTCAGCCAGACAAATGCCTAGCAAATTGCGGTCACATCCCGCCAGACTCTCGCAGTCACTCCCACGCCAGTCCCGTGGCGCCAGGGAACCACGGGGGCAGGCCCCGCCCCGCCCCGCGTCCTCTCCCAAAGATCCGGGCTCGGGGTCTGCAGGCCCCGACTCCCACCCAGCACAAAGAGTCCCGGGCTCGGAGTTCGCGGCTTCCCGAGGACTCACCACCGAGCCCGAGGACGCAGGCCCCGATTCCACACCCCAGCGAGCCCGGCAGCGCAGCCGGTGGGGGCTGAGACAGGCGCGCGGCCGAGGGCGGCCCCGAGCCTCGGTCCGCCAGCCGCGAGGCAGCACTCCCAGAGGCCCCCGCGGCTCACCGGCAGGACGGCTCTCCTGAGGCGAGCGGCGAGAACGCCGAGCGCGGGCGTCAGGGCGCACGGCCTCCGCGGGAGGCTCGGCCCCGGGTTCTGCCGGCGCGGCCTCCCCTGCGCCCCGCACGCAGAAGCCGGGAGTGCAACTTGCTACTGAGGAGACTCCGAGCAGTTCCGCTGATTTCTTGCTCCGGACTACATTTCCCAGAGGCCTTCGCGGCCCCAGACTACTTTTTTTCTTTGTTTTTTTTGTTTTTGTTTTTGTTGAGTTGGTTTTTTGGTTCCGCCCACCCCCACCCCGCAAAAAGGGCACCCCTTCCTTCTTAGGGTTGGCTGGATCTTCAGGTTCGCAGGGTTAGGATGCCTGGGCGGCGAAGAAGCCGTCTGGTCGGGTCTCCACCCAGGACTGGACTACACCGGGGTGAAGGTGGTGGAAAGATCGGAGGTGCAGGTGGGGGCCGGTCACCTCGAGCTCAAGCTCTTGGCAGCAGTCAGTAGAGGGGAGAGTGACACTGTGTATGAGAGAGACTTCGACCGTGGAATTTGGGGTTTGCAGTTTATGGGGCCTAGAGACTCTGAAGACCAGTGACATTTGAATTTGAGGTCGTGGGAATCTGGTACTTTTTGGGTGACCGTTGTATGTTCCTGGGACAGTTTGATTCTGACCCAGCAATTTTGTCAGAGACAGTGTGCTTGTGTCTGTTCTTTCTGGACTTCGTGACTGTGACTGTGACAGTGCCATTGAACTGACTGACCTGGGATTGTGAGCGTGATTGATAGGAAGAGTAGTGTGGCCAGACCGCCTGGATTCTAAACAGACCCAGCCATAGAAGCTTGTCATCTCTGACTAGTTATTTAAACTCTCTGTGCCTTTGGTCTTAATACTCTTAATAAAGAGACAATAGGCCGGGCGTGGTGGCTCACGCCTGTAATCCTAGCACTTTGGGAGGCCGAGGCGGGCGGATTGCTCAAGGTCAGGAGTTCGAAACCAGCCTGAGCGAGACCCCGTCTCTACCAAAAATAGAAAGAAATTAATTGACCAACTAAAAATATATATACAAAAAATTAGCCGGGCATGGTGGCGCATGCCTGTAGTCCCAGCTACTCGGGAGGCTGAGGCAGTAGGATCGCTGAGCCCCAGAGACTGAGGTTGCTGTGAGCCAGGCTGACGCCACGGCACTCACTCTAGCCTGGGCAACAAAGTGAGACTCTGTCTCAAAAAAAAAAGAGAGACAATAATAATTACCTCCTAGGGTTTTGTTGAGCATCGAAAGAGTTAATTTGTGTGAAGCTCAGTTTTTAGGAGTGTGACAGTTCACATTTGAGCCATAATTTAAAGACTTGATCAGAAGTTTAGATCAAATCAGAAGTTTAGACCTCAGTCATCCCCTAGAGAAGGCTGTCTGAGAAGAAAGGAAGCCCAAATATCAAGAATTCCTTCATTTCTCCCTAACACAGATGTTCCATTAGGAACCCTACGTGAGCCAAATATACTTTAGAACCTACAGTAACTCCAGTCCAGAGTGCTCCTCAGGGGGGCTACTGTGAATTTGGAGAAGAATCCAGCCTCTCAAAGCAAGGACCTTAACCTTTCTTTTTTATAATAAGGGACAGAATTGTTTTAATCTCTCTTACCTTCTTTTTCATGCAGGTGTTTGGACTTGGAGCAGACCATCTGGCTTAGTCTGTGGGAGAGTTGCAAGGAAGGCTGGTGTCTCGAGGCTCTTACTTCCTCAGCTCTACTTTTCTGCAAGAGAGGAATCACAGGAGGAAAGAAAAAGGCATTACACCTCTCAAAAAGTTTTATCTAAGACACTGGGTGTTTCCTCTTTTTTTTCAATTAAATTACTACACACACACACAAACCCACTGGGGCCAGAAGCCCTCACACACTGGCACCCGGGCAGTTCCTGAGGCGTCCAGAGCCTCCCAGGGGTACCCGGGCAGTCCAGCCTTCCCATACGCAGGGGCAACAAGTTTCAGGGAGACTCACGTCCATACCCGCAAGGCGGGTGTGAGACAGCGATCGATGGATCCAAAGATCGTTCCCGAGGTGCTTGCCGGCTGCCTCGAGGGAGGGTTCTTCGTTCAGCCTGGTGGGCCCTCGTCCTCCCCTCCTAGGAATGTGGGACCATCGCGGACTGCGGGAGAAGACAAGCCTGGCCACAGAAAGCGGGAACCTCTGGCAAAGGCCTCTAGGCAACAGCCGCTGTCTTTGAGGCAACAGCAGCTGTCTGTATGGCGACTCGACTCGCGCATGCGCAGTCGCCAGATTGAACTGAGGCTCTGGCCTAAGAAATCAGGCGGCTGCAGAGGTGCAATTGGGCACGGGCAGGAGGGAGGATTGAGGGGGCGACCGGGCTGGGGCTGTGGTGACTGGTAGGATGGAAAGAAAATAATAGAATACTAAATACTATTTACAATTTTTAAGTGTACAATTCAGTGGCCTTAAGAATATTCACAATGTTGTACAATTACCTCCACTATCTCTTTCCAAAACTTCTTTATCACCCTAAACAGAAACTTTGTAATCACTGAGCAATAATTTCCTATTCCTTCTTTGCCCGAAACCCTGGTAACCTTTAAGCTCTTCTGTCTTTATGAATTTGCCTAATCCAGATATTTCATGTAAGGCGAATCAAACAATGTTTGTCCTTTTGTGACTTGTTATTTCCCCTTGCATCATATTTTCAGAGTTCATCTGTGTCATAGCATGTATTAGAATTTCATTCTTTTCTACGGCTGAATACTATTACATGTATGTATATACCACATTTTGTTTATCCACTGTTAATTAACACATAGCTTGTTTCCACTTTTTGGCTACTTTGAATAATACTGCAATGATCATTGGCACACAAGTATCTGTTTAAGTTCCTGCTTTCAATTGATTTGGGTATATAACTAAGAGTGAAATTGCTGGGTCACATGTTAATTACATGCTTAGATTTTTGAGGAAGTGTCAAACTGGTTTTCCATAGCTTCTGCACCATTTTAGATTCACAAAAATATTGTACAAGGGTTCTCCACATCCTCACCAACACTTGTTATTTTTACTTATTTGGATAATAGCCATCCTAGTAGGTGTGAAGTGGTATCTTGGTTTTGGTTTGCATTTTCCTATTTAATAATGATGTTGAGCATCTCTTCATATGCCTATTGGTCATTTGTATTTAATAAATCTTCTTTGAAGAAATGTTTATTAAAGTTCTTTATTTGCTCATTTATTTATTTATTTATTTTTTGATCTGCAAATGAATAACTTTGTCAAAATTTTGCTCATTTTTTAACTGGGTTTCTCATTTTATTGTTGAGTTTTCAGCAGTTCTTTATATATTCTGGATATTAAACCCTTATTAAACATATGATTTACAAATAAGTTCTCCTATTCTGTAAGTTGTCTTTTCACTTTCTTGACAATATCCTTCGATTCCACAAAGTTTTTAATTTTGATGAAGTCTAATTTATTTTTTCTTTTGTTGCTCATGCTTTTAGTGTCATATTCAAGAATCTATTGCCAAATCCCAGGTCATTACAGCTTTCTTCTGATCAGCATTAGCATTGTGTATCTTTTTCCATACTTATACTTTTAACTTATTGGTATCATATTTAAAGTGAATTTCCCATAGGCATTGTGAAGTAAAATAAAACTTTAACTTCACCCCCACCAGCTGACTGAATGGACCCCCTTGTGGCCAAAAGGAATATCTTAAAATTAAATTGTCTGCCAGGAGGAGGGAGGTCAGACATGCCTCATCATGTCCCCCTCCCTTCTTGGGGACTTGCTTTGTAACCCATTAACAGGCCTAAGGGTATGCAAGAAAAACCTAGAGGTCCTCAATTTACACTAAGTTAGGTGGCTTATCTCTGAGAATACCTCCTTATGTTAAAACATTCCAAGCCTTTAGACAAAGCTTAATGTTTTTAACCAATTACAAGCCAAGGAATCTTTAAACCCACCTATAACCTGTAAGCACCACCCCCCCTTCGAGATGTCCCACCTTTTTGGGCCAAACCAATGTATGCCTCCATGTATTGTTGGATGACTTTACCTGGAACACCCCCCCACTTCCTGAAATGTCTAAAAAACAAACTGTAGGAGGCCGGGCGCGGTGGCTCACGCCTGTAATCCTAGCTCTCTGGGAGGCCGAGGCGGGCGGATTGCTCGAGGTCGGGAGTTCAAAACCAGCCTGAGCAAGAGCGAGACCCCGTCTCTACTATAAATAGAAAGAAACTAATTGGCCAACTAATATATATAGAAAAAAAAAATTAGCCGGGCATGGTGGCGAATGCCTGTAGTCCCAGCTACTTGGGAGGCTGAGACAGAAGGATTGCTTGAGCCCAGGAGTTTGAGGTTGCTGTGAGCTAGGCTGACGCCACGGCACTCACTCTAGCCTAGGCAACAAAGCGAGACTCTGTCTCAAAAAAAAAAAAAAAAAAAAAAACTGTAGGGAGGGGGGAGGGGGGCGGGTATATACATATATAATGAGTGAGATGTGCACCATCTGGGAGATGGTCATGCTGGAGACTCAGACTTGTGGGGGGACGGGGAAATGGACATTTATTGAAACCTTAAAATCTGTACCCCCATAATATGCCAAAATAAAAAATAAAAAAATAAAAAACTGTAACCCAGTCACACTGAGGCCACTTGCCCAAGGCCTCTTGGCAGTGGCTCCGGGTCATGGTCCTCAAATTTGGCTCAGAATAAATCTCTTTAGAATTATTTTACAGAGTTTGGCTTTTTTCCATTGACAGCATCATATGGTTGAGTCATGCTTTTTAGTAAATCTGACACTCATTGCCTTTTAATTAGGTATTTAGATCATTCGTATTTGATTATTGATAGAAACCTTTTATCTTGCTATTGTTTCTGTCAACGGAAAAAAGCCAAACCCACCCACACGCAAAATCACAATCAGGTGACAGAAACTTGTTGTGGGCCAGCGATAAACAAATCACTTAAAATATAAGTGCCATGTGGCCTAAGGAAGTATAGAGTCACACTAAGGAGCTATGGAGTGCCAGGAAAAGAGGTGGGATCAGAGAGGTCCTCTTTGGAGATGTGACATTTGTATCTGAATATACGAAGGAAGGGAATCTTGAACATATCTGGCAGAAGACCCATTTTAGGAAGAGGAGACACATTCGCACCCACCATCGCATCAAAAACACAGGAACCACATGCAAAGGGCGACACTATCTGCCCTAAACTACTTCTCCCCTCTTCCAGGTAACCACCCCCGCAGCAATAACACCTTAGGGTGCGGGAAGTGGGAGACTAGGCAGAAGCGTCATGTGCCCGCACACTCCACCTGCCTGACTCCCCCAACTATTTTCGGGTGTCCCAGCACGAACACAGGCACTTGACGTTCACCGACTTTGTGTAGACGCGCGCGCAACGGCGCGTTCCCACACACAAACCCTTCCCCCGCGGCTAACCCGCGGCTCTAAGTTCCCAGTTGCTGAGGGAGGTGGTGGGCCGCGCACTTGTGCCTGCGCAGTTCAATCGCAGTCGGCCTAGCGACGCCGGGCCCAGTCCCCGTGGCTGACCCAGGCTCAGAACTGAAAGGAATCGAGCCTTTCGGGCTCCGCTTTGGAAGACCTGGCAGAGGCTAGCGTAAAAGGGCTCGGTGTGGAGACGCCGGCGTTACGCACCGGGAGCGGACCTGCTCCAGGGCTGTCACAGCCCGCGGCGCCGCGGCCTCTTCTGCTCCGGACTACGTTTCCCAGCGGCCCCCGCGGGAGCTGGCCCGGCGGCCCCTTTGTGTCCTCCGGAGGCCGAGGCGGTGGCGGCGGCGCTTCTGTGCCCGCCCTCTGGGGCTGGGTTCTTCCAGTTCTTAGGGTGGCGAGGTGAGGCCCGAGTGGAAATTCCTCGAGTCTTCCGAGCTGGAATGGGGTCTTTCCGCAGTTCACTTCTGCAGGTAGGTAGTGAACTGAGCGGTGGCTCTCGAACGCCGGTCCCTCGGCCCTCTGTGTGACCCTACGTGTGAGACAGTGGCTAGTACCGTACGGTGTGAGACAGTCACCAGCCGTGCCAGTCCACGTCGGATCTGTGTGACTGTGGGTGCAAGTGAGTCAATGATGCCGAAGAGTGTGAGACTGTGAGTGGGCGCGTGAGTGGGCGGGTACCTGCCCCCTTTTACCGGCACCTGCGGCCTCTTTGTGACTGGGATGTGAGTGAGGGTGTGGGTTGTGATACGCTAGTGTTTGAATCTTAGGGGCATGGGAAAGAGCGTCCGTGTGAGACAGTCTTTACCCATGGCATCTAACTGTAATGTGTGTAAGACGGTTGTTGGCACTGTAGTTTTTAAGACACTGGGTATGTGTGGGGACTGAGTGAGATTGTGTGCCACCCAGTTTTTAAAGCTAGCCAAGTGCTGTCATTGTGCCACCAAGATTCAGAGTCACTGATCTATTGAAGAGGAGGACTGTGGAGTCAGGCAGACCTTTATTTGATCTTGGTCCTCTTATTTATTAGTTGTGAGTCTTTATTTGTAAAATCTACAAAATCTATTAATGAATTAGGAAGTGACTTAAACATGGATTAAATCGTATGCAAACATTCCTAGGTCTCCATTATGCTTTCTCTATCGGAGGGAAGATTGCAACATGGGGAAAGAGAAGCCTAAAAAGTTTAGACTGGTGATTCTGGATGCTGCAAGGAGAGCCTAGTTTCTCATGTTCTCTTCCCTATCTCAGTCATCTGAGGACACTGCCATTTCCCAAGAGAAGAGCCAGGAGGAAGAAAGAATGGCTTTTAGACTTCTTAAAGCTATGTACCAGGTATGTTGTTATGCGTTTCTCCAGCATAGTTCAGCTGTGCATGGTACAGGCATAGAGTAAGCTGAGAAATGGTTGTGGTTTTTAACCAAGTGAGTACAGTTGAGTGAGGGGCAGGGAAGTTAAGGACATATGCAGGGGGTGATTATAATGAATGGTGGTGTTAGGAAGTGAGGATGTGGGGATGAGGAACAGTGAGAACATGGTGAGACCAATTAATTGTAGGTGGGGTCAGAGAATTATCCTGATTGGGGTATCACAGAGTTGGCACTTACTGGTAATAACAATGTCTGGGTCATGACTATGGAAGTGAATGACTGTAGAAGTGTGGAGGACAAAATTATTGAAGGAGAAGGGGTAAGAGTCCAAGTTGTTGGGATAATTACTTATATGGATATTGAAATAACTGAAGATTATACTAGGAGGGACATTAGAGAGAATGACAATGAGCCATGCGCTAAAGGGTTCAAGGAATGACAGAGAATTGGTTATCTACCAGGAATTGGTAGATAACTAAAACAAGGAGAGATTGTGATTGGTATAGTCTGATTTCATAAGATTTAAAACTGGGTGGGAGGAGGTAGAAGGAGATCGTCTGGAAACAAGTGTGAGGAACAAAGAGGTCACCTGCTTCACTTCCTGGTGCTGTGGTACAAGGAACTTGGGGAATAAAACAGTTAAAAAATGACAAGGCTTCAGGATAAGTATTCCTCTCAGCTGGAAGCCATGTTTCTATAAGGGCAAAAATGTGAATAATTGTTTTGCTTCAGACTGGTTTGATAATAATTATGAATGAATTTTGAAACCAAGTATTTCATTTGTTAGGGATCCAGTATTTTAAGGTTAGAATTTAAGCTTCTTATATTGACATTGTGCTTATTTTTGTTTACCGTGTAAATTAACTTATATCAAAGAATCAGTGAAAATATGTTTATGTCATATATAAATTTTTATACATTTATTATATATATTTATATAAACTAAGGAAAACATTTTAGGAAGCCTATATGTATATAACATACAAACCAAACTGTTACTAGAAGCAGAAGAGAGATTTACATACTACTTGATATAATTAAATAAGAAAAATATTACTGAGTGTTGAAAAACGCTTCAAGAATTTTGCTTCTGTGAAGGCAGTTTCTTTTTTTTTTTTTTTTTTTTTTTTTTTTTGAGACAGAGTCTCGCTTTGTTGTCCAGGCTAGAGTGAGTGCCGTGGCGTCAGCCTAGCTCACAGCAACCTCAAACTCCTGGGCTCGAGCAATCCTTCTGCCTCAGCCTCCCGAGTAGCTGGGACTACAGGCATGCGCCACCATGCCCGGCTAATTTTTTTTTTTATATATATATCAGTTGGCCAATTAATTTCTTTCTATTTATAGTAGAGACGGGGTCTTGCTCTTGCTCAGGCTGGTTTTGAACTCCTGACCTTGAGCAATCCGCCCAACTCGGCCTCCCAGAGAGCTAGGATTACAGGCGTGAGCCACCGCGCCCGGCCAGTTTCTTTAATCATGACAAAATTGTGTCAAAAGCAAAAAAAAAGTTACTGTAAGGTTTTTCAGTGGCAGTGAGAAGACAAGACAGAGAGAGACAGAAAGAGTGGGGGCCAAACCATGTGGCTTTATTATACACTCCTGGATGAGGTTCTGGAGTCCCAAGAGAGGGGGTCCCAGAAGTTGTCTTTGTTTGAAGAGGCTGAGGCCTTTTATACCCTTTGAGACTGGCTAGGGACTTTTGGCAGGAAGAGCTGGGCTTTTTCCATTGTGACCTTGGGTGGTCATTGAGAAATAGGAGGGACTGGAGGTATTTGTGAAATCCAGGAGCAGAAACTTTCTTATCCAGGTGGACATCTGGGTGTGGTTACTCTCAGCGGGGTCTGGCAGTTTTGTCTCTGGCAGTTTTGTCCTTGGCTGGTCTGGTCTCATGAGCCTTTTGTTTTTTGATTTAGGGAGGGGAGGGAGCCGGCCACCAGCCTTACAATTACATCTTTCATTACCTTGATAGAGTCAAATCTTTTAATTTTGTAGAAAATTAAATTTAATCAAAAAATACACACACACACACACACACACACACACACACACACACACACAATGTATGTTAGTTTCATCAGCAGGTGGTCACAAACCCAAAATCCACTTAATCCCAGCATAGCTCCAAGTTCTTAAGAACTTTTCCTAACCCCTGTAGGCGGCAGCAGTATTATGAATGAAATACCCATTTCTTTACACAAAATTTTAAGAACTCTGGATTAAAGTATTCGAATTTTAATGAAATTGATGATTTGCTCTGCTTGACCTAGCACAGTTTTCAGAGCTGTAACAAGCACTTTCTGTGGTCGTTTTCAATACCCTTATAGGTACCTGAAATTTTTTCAAACCATTTGTTCATTAATTCAATTTAAGGCAATGACTATTTGATTGACTTATATAGGCCAGATACTGTTCTGTAACTGGGAATATAGAAGTGGCCAAAACAAAAGCATATTCTGCCCTCATGGGGCTTACATATTAGTTGTGGGGTGGTGAAGGAGTAGGGAATAAATAACAAAATAATAAAGTGCTGTGAAGAAAAATAAATCAGGGTTAGGGGAATAAGGAATTGGGGTAAGAGCATTGCCGTTTTATATAGAATGATCTGAGAAGTACAAAGTCCCTGAGGGTGACATGGTTGACATATTTGAGGATACAATGTCAGGGAGAGTCCCGTATTCCTAGGACAGAGTAAATGAGGTGAGTATAGTAAGAGATGAGATTACTTAATTTCATTTATTTCATTTCAGGAGTTGGTGAGCTTTAGAGATGTGGCTGTAGACTTCTCCCAAGAGGAGTGGGATTGTCTGGATTCTTCTCAAAAGCATCTGTATAGTAATGTGATGTTGGAGAACTATAAGATCTTGGTCTCACTGGGTAAGGATATCTTCCTCTGGAATATTGAGCTTCTTAGGGTAAAGTCTAGAAAAATTAAAGTTAAAAATAAATTAATTAATTAAAAAATTTGAGCTTCTACTTACTCATAGGATGCTCTTTGCTACCACTGCTGTGAAATTTTGGTTAGCATCTGCAAAGCTTGACTGATTGTCTGCTGCTTGTGCCAAACAAATGATTTAATACTCACGGAGTTGGCAGTGGACAAGTCTACTATTGACCTGTGCCTGAAGCTTCATCTTCCCTATCCTTCTTTTTTGTTTTTTTGAGACAGAGTCTAGCTTTGTTGCCCAGGCTAGGGTGAGTGCTGTGGCGTCAGCCTAGCTCACAGCAACCTTAAACCCCTGGGCTTAAGCAATCCTCCTGCCTCAGCCTCCCGAGTAGATGGGACTACAAGCATGCGCCACCATACCCAGCTGATTTTTTCTATATATATTAGTTGGCCAATTAATTTCTTTATATTTATAGTAGAGACGGGGTCTCACTCTTGCTGAGGCTGGTTTTGAACTCCTGACCTGGAGCAATCCGCCTGCCTTGGCCTCCCAGAGTGCTAGGTTTACAGGCGTGAGCCACCGCGCCTGGCCATTCCCTATCCTTCTGAATACATGTACTTTACACATTTTTCTTGGGCTTCCTGTAAGCTCCCTCTTCCCTGATGATCAAAGGATTTCATGTGATTTCTGGGATATCCACAGCATGACCAAATTCTACTTCTTTTTTATATGCAGGACTTTGCTTTTCCAAGCCAAGTGTGATACTGTTGTTGGAACAAGGAAAAGAGCCCTGGATGGTCAAGAGAGAGCTGACAAAAAGCTTGTTCTCAGGTTAGTGAAGAGGAAATAGGCAGGCAAAAACCCTTTGCAGGTAACAGCTCATCTTAACTCAAAGGTATCACCTCTTCACTCTTCTTTGTGAGCATGTTCTTCTCAAATGTTGTAGAAGTCTTTTAGGATGTTCTCCACAGTTGTTATTCTTAATTATCTTCCTTCTCACACTTTGCCCTCTCCTTTCTAATAACTCATTTATCTATTCTCTGAGTCCCATTCCTTCTCAGTTTCATAAACCTCTTCTAATTTTTTTTTTTAAAAAACCTTTCCTAGTCTTATAAACTTTTGAGCTCTACAGACAGCTATAAATGAAATACTAGGTTGAAATCCTGATACTTATGGACAGTGAAATTTTAGGAAAGTGACTTAACTTCTCTGTGCTTTTGTTTTATCATCTGTAAAATGGGATAATACTTTTCAAGTGCTTTGAACAGTTCCATCTCATAGTATGAACTCAATAGTTGTTAGCTGCTATTAGTAGCAATATACCTCCAAATACCTCATTTTTGTCTGAATGGTTAGTTCATTTATCTTTCATTCCTTTAATCAACATTTATTGAATTTTTACTTTAAATAGGGTACTTGCAAGGTGCTAAGGTGTTATACTTGTATAGATAGAATCAAACAATTGATAGGCTAAGCAGCAGAGGTGCAACATAGCTATAAATGGCATGTGTGATGAAAAGCTGACATAAAGGAAGCTCAAAAGATGACTGGGAAGACAATGGTCTTTAACAAAAACAGATCAGCAGCTAGAAGACATTTGAGGAAGAAGAGTAAGAGTTTTACCTTTGCAGTATGGGTTGACATAGGAAGCATTAAGGTAAAATAGACTAACGTTCTGTCCTTGTAAACATCTCTGTAAACACCACTCCCTCGCCTACCTGCCCCTTTACACTGCCTCTTCCCAATCTTCATGTGTTTGTTCTAAGGAAATATTTGATATAAAACTGTAATGTCAAAGAGTATATGATTATATTTTATTTATTAATTAGTATTAAATAAATCATAAATATAAACATAGATTAGCATATATATGTAACTTAAATAATAATAGAACAAAAACCGATGTACCTATTTCTTAAGCTAAGAAATAGAAAATTGTCAATGTCTTGAGGGCCCCTGCCTAATGATACACAGTGGCCTATGCATTGCTCACCCCAGACTCCTCACTGGTGTAACCATTATCCTACAGTGTTTCATATCATTTCCTGATTTTTCTTTATCATTGTGAGATTATATATATTTTGATTTTATGTATGTGGGTGAATGTATATATATACATATTAACAAAATGTTTATGCATATTCTCATTTTTTTATGGATGGAAATATATTGTGCATGTGAATTCTGTAACCTTTTTTTAACTCAAAATTATATTTCTGATAGTTTATTGATTTTTTTTTTAACTAATGAAATGTAATATATCATTCCATTGTGTAAACTACGATTTATCCACTGATGGTCATTTGAGTTGTACGAGTTTTATGCTATTATAAATGCCACTGCTATGACATGTTGACCTAAAGGAAGAAACTGAGGTACAAAATATAATTTTAAAGACCGAAAGGAAGAATCTGAGATACGAAACATAATTTTAAAGAGTTTACTTGTGGGCCGGGTGGGATGGCTTGTGCCTGTAATCCTAGCACTCTGGGAGGCCAAGGCGGGTGGATTGCTCAAGGTTAGGAGTTCGAAACCAGCCTGAGCAAGAGTGAGACCCCTTCTCTACTAAAAATAGAAATAAATTAATTGGCCAACTAATATATATAGAAAAAATTAGCCAGGCATAGTGGTCCATGCCTGTAGTCCCAGCTACTCGGGAGGCTGAGACAGCAGGATTGCTAGAGCCCAGGAGTTTGCTGTGAGCTAGGCTGATGCCACAACACTCACTCTGGCCTGGGCAACAAAATAAGACTCTGTCTCAAAAAAAAAAGAGTTTACTTGTGCCAAGATGAGGACAGCTGCCCTGAAGACTCACACCCAAGAGACCTTGGCTTGGATATGAGCTCTATTGGATCTTTGTCACAACTCAGGAGCATGCTAATGGCTGATGGCTAGCAGCTCCTAGGTAGCTTCAGGATGAGGGCTGTTCACTAGAAAGACTAAGGCATAACTGCAGGGTTGGGACTTTCAACCCCAACCCCTAACCACAGGGGAATGGATTGGGTGCGCCTGAAGGTTAAGTTGTTCACTAATGGGCAGTGATTTCATCACTCATGCCTATGTAATGACATTTCCATAAAATCCCAAAAGGACTGGGTTCAAAGAATTTCTAGATAGCTGAACACTTGGAGGTTCCTGGAGTGTGGTTTGCCAGGGGAGGGCATGGAAGCTCCTGACCCTTCCCCCATACCTCTCCTTATGCATCTCATCATCTGTATCCTTTGTAATATCCTTTACAATTTCTACCAGGAAACAACAAAAAGCTATTGACTTTTGATTCACACTTACTTATTCTATACTAGATTTTGGAAATTTTTCTATTTATTACCATGGTATAGCTCTCTGTTAAGGGGTTTTTTTCAGTGTTATTTCCATCATAAAGGCTAATTTTTCTCCATAAAGGTTAATCCATATCTTCTATTAGATTAATTCCAAACATCTTAGTTTTGTTACTGTGCTGTTATCTGTATTTTCTGTTTGTTCATATATAAAAATGAAATTAACTTTATACATTGACCTTATATCTGGCAACCTTGCCAAACTATCCTGTTAATACTAGTAATATGGAGATTTCCTTGGATTTTCTGTGTGGGTAGACATATTCTGGATAATGGCAATTTCTTCATTTTAAATTCTTACGCTTTTTTTTGAGATAGTCTTGCTCTATCTCCCTGTGTAGAGTACATTGGCATCATCATAGCTCACTGCAACCTCAAATTCCTGGGCTCAAGTTACCCTCCTGCCTCAGCCTACCAAGTAGCTGGGACTACAGGCACGAGCCACCATGCCTAGCTAATTTTTCTATTTTTGATAGAGACAGGGTCTTACTGTTGCTCAGCTGGTCTCAAACTCCTCCCCTCAAGCAGTCCTCCTGCCTTGGCCTCCTAGAGTGCTGGGATTACAAGAATGGGCCACCACATCTGGTCATAATTTTTATACTTTTAATTTCATTTTTTCTGTTGCCCTGTCTTTTATCACCAGTATAATATGAATCAAAGTAGGGATAGCAGGCATTCTTGTCCACTTCTGGTCTCAATAAGAATATGTTAATATTTTGTTATTAATAATTCTGATGTTTAAAAGGTTTTGGTAAATACCCTTTCATTCATGTTTGTTAGTTTTTTTGTTTTTTTGTTTTGTTTTTTTTTTGAGACAGAGTCTCACTTGTTGCCCAGGCTAGAGAGAGTGCCGTGGCGTCAGCCTAGCTCACAGCAACCTCAATCTCCTGGGCTCAAGTAATCCTGCTGCCTCAGCCTCCCGAGTAGCTGGGACTACAGGCATGCGCCACCATGCCCGGCTAATTTTATATATATATTAGTTGGCCAATTAATTTCTTTCTATTTATAGTAGAGACAGGGTCTCGCTCTTGCTCAGGCTGGTTTCGAACTCCTGACCTCGAGCAATCCGCCCGCCTCAGCCTCCCAGAGTGCTAGGATTACAGGCGTGAGCCACCGCCCGGCTCGTGTTTGTTAGTTTTAATTGTGAAAAGCTTTTGAATTTTAACAAATATCAAGACACAATGATTAAATGGTTTTAGTTTTTCATCTGTTAATGCAGTGAATTAACATAATGTTAAACCATCATTGTGTTCCTGAGAAAAACCCACCTTTATATCTTTTCCATTTATTGCTAATTGCTATCTGCCAGTATATTTTGTTTGGGTGTTTTGTGTCTGTATTTATCACTTAGTTTGGCCTTCAGTTTTCCCTTTGTTTACTCTTGTCAGATTTTGCAAACAAGGTTATATTACTCTCATAAACTCCTTTTTTCTTCTTTAGAAGAATTTATATAAAATCAAAATTATTTGTTTTTTGAATGTTTCGTAGAACTTTGTTCATCTTAGTCTGGGATTTTCTTTGTGAAAAGATTTTAACCTAATAATTCAATATGGTATATTCTGAAATTCTTGGTTTTAGAATATATAAATTCTATAATTCACCTATAGTCAGTTATAGTTTTTTCTCTAAGAAATGTATAGTTTTCATGTAAGTTTTCAAATTTATTGGATGAAGTTGTGCATCATTTTCTCTTATTTAGTTGGTAGTATACGTAATTATGACCCCTTTTTTCTTTCAAAAATGGAGAAAAAATTTTTTCAAGAGTTTATCAGTTTTTAGTATTTTCAGACATTTTTCACTTCATTCATCCTCTATAATTTGTCTTTCTAAAGTTTCATGTATTTCTCTTTTTTATTTTTTAATTCCTCATACATTTATTTATCCTAACCTCTTTTTTTAATTTTTAAAGTTAGATAATTCATTGTTTTCGAGGCTTTTCTTTCCTATAATAAGCATTTTATTTCTAAAATAACATAAGGATATGTTAGCAATATATCCCATGTTTTGATATGTATTATTTTATTTTCATGCATATCTAAGCTTTTCTAATTCTCATTGATTTCTTCTTGACTCATGAATTATTTGGAAGTTTTAAGTTCTAAATTTAAGATTTTTGTTTGATATTAATTGCATTGTTATTAGAGAATGTGGTCTGTTTAATACACATTGTTTGAAATTTTTTAAAACTTGCTTTATGTCTTAGGAGCTAGTTTGGTAAATATTCTATGTGTCCTTGAAAATAATGTATATTTTCTGGTTGTTGAGTAGAGTATTTGATATGTGTTTGTTGGAATAAGCTCATTAACTGTGCTAGTCAAATTTTCTGTTGATTTTCATTATTGATTTTTTTTTAAATAGCTTTTAATGGCAGGCTGAGGAGGGTGGATTGCTCGAGGTCAGGAGTTCAAAACCAGCCTGAGTGAGACTTCATCTCTACTAAAAATAGAAAGAAATTAATTGACCAACTAAAAATATATATACAAAAAATTAGCCGGGCATGGTGGCACATGCCTGTAGTCCCAGCTACTTGGGAGGCTGAGGCAGAAGGATCGCTTGAGCCCAGGAGTTTGAGCTTGCTTTGAGCTAGGCTGATGCCACGGCACTCACTGTAGCCTGGGCAACAAAGTGAGACTCTGTCTCAAAAAAAAAAAAAAAAAAAAAAACCTTTTAGCAGCTAATTACTAGGAGATGTGTTAAAAACTTGTTCTCTGGTAATAAATACATAAATTTTGTCTTGTAATTCTAACAACTTTTTTTTATATTTTGAAGGTATTTTATTTCGTCTATGTTTTTGGAATTTTTTTCAACTTTCTAGTGAATTGTTCCTTGTGTTGTTATCTTCTTTAAATCTAGTGATAATCTGATTAAGTAAAAATGTTTCCTTCATATAGCTATGTTAGCCTTCTTTTGTTAATATTTACTTGGTGTACTTTTTTCTACTCCTCTACTGTCTGATTTTCTATGTGTTTCTCTTATAAACAGTATACATCTAAATGCATTTTTAAAAGTCTAGTCTGATAATCTTTATCTTTTAGTTAAATTGTCATCAAATTTTTTGGTATTACTAATAGAGTTTAATTTATTTATTTTCTTTTATATATATATATATTTTTTTTATAAAAACCAACCAAAATGTATTTATTTAATATACATCACAAGGGCTAAACCAGAGACTTAATTTAAAAATCAGAAACAAAACAATAACAACACAGCTCAAGATACAGAGTCCTATACAGACATCTTGGAAAGGACAGACCATCTAAGGAAAAAAAAGACAACACAGGGAGAGTCCGGATAGCCCTTGTCAGGGCTCCTGGCTAGACACCTGCTTTGAGTAGGTTTCCTGCAGGTACTTCTTAAAAGCTGTGGGGTTTTTCCAGAGCTCGGCAGCATGTATATTCAAAGGACTATCAATGTTGGGTTCTCCTAGCAGGCTCTGAATGGAAAGCAGGATGGTCCTGACATCATATAGGGCAGACCACTTGTCCTTCAGGATGTCCAGCAGATGTTACCCTGGGTGTCCACATTGGGGTGGTAGCAGGGTGTGAGGAACTTCACCGTGGGTGCGTTGTAAGAGTAACCACTGGGAAACTCTAGGGAGAGCTTATACCTCAGGTCTTCATATACGGTGCCAGCTGCTCCATGGATGGTCCCTACCCATTTGAAAAGGTGGTCTGATTCAAGAAAGGCAGAAATTCCTTTGTCACCTTACAGCTCCTGCTGTAACGTTTTGCCCACGGAGCCCTGGGCGGCTCCCCCGCTAGTCTTGGCTCCTTTATGGGCTGCCCCGATGTGGCGGCAGCCGTTGGGCAGCCGGGTCGCGGTTTTGAGAGGCCATCCCGGTGAAACTAGCAAGAAGACAGCTTTCTTTTATAAATTCTGCTTTTACAATTTTTCCTTGTTCCCTGATTTCTCTCCATCTGCTAATTTGAACGTTAAAATCTATTTTTGTTCTGTGCTGATTAATTTAGAAAATTTAGCATTTATAATCACCTTAATGAAATCTAAAGTTGATCCTTATGTTTATTTTCCTCCCTTAATAATACAAGAACCTTAGACTGTCTTAACTTCACTTATCCTCATTTCAGGTCCTCCTTGTTTCCTTTTTATTTATTTATTTTGAGACAGAGTCTCACTTTGTTGCCCAGGCTAGAGTGAGTGCGGTGGTGTCAGCCTAGCTCATAGCAACCTCAAACTCCTGGGCTCAAGCAATCCTGCTGCCTCAGCCTCCCGAGTAGCTGGGACTACAGGCATGCACCACCATGCGCGGCTAATTTTTCCTATATATATTAGTTGGCCAATTAATTTCTTTCTATTTATAGTAGAGATGGGATCTCGCTCTTGTTCAGGCTGGTTTCGAACTCCTGACCTCGAGCAATCCGCCCGCCTCACCGCCTCGGCCTCCCAGAGAGCTAATATTACAGGCGTGAGCCACCGCGCCCGGCCTACCTCCTTGTTTCTTTTAATTTCATAAACTATTATTTTGTTTTATGAAGTTATACAGTTAGACTATTATTTTGTTTAGTAAGTGTTGTTTAAATTTATTGATGTTTGTCATTGTTTTTGTTCTCCGTCTCAGAACTTTTTCCTGATATAAATTCTTCACAAATACTTAGAGATATACTATTCATATAAACTGTTTTATAATTGTTGTTATTGCTTTGTTCATTTGTTTTATATTTTTATTTTGCTAACATGCATCCAGGAACCTTTTTCTGTATATACAGTTATGGATTGACAGTTATTATTTTTATCAGAACTTTAAAGATATCATTCAGTACTTTTCTGGCTTCTGTTGCTGTTGAGAAGTCAGTTTTCATTAATATATTCTTCCTTGCAACTTTTAAGAAGTTCTTTCTCCTTGCCCTTGTTAATCTATATTTTCACAATGATGTATCTAAATGTAAATTTCATTTTGGCTGCTCTACTTGGGATTTATTGTCATTTTTGTATCTGACTATTCTGTCATTAACAGGCTTTAAAATAATGATCATATTTCTATCAAGTAAGATCTAATAAAAAAGAAAGAAAAATAATAATCATTAAACAAGTTGATTTTTGTTATAACCTTTAATATGTGGTTATCAGCCTTGATTTCTTTTTCTTTACATTTTCTCCTTAATCTCTTTTGCTTATTTCTTCTCTCTTGCCAAAGATCTTAATGTTGGAGTGCTCTAGCATTCATTTCTTGCTCTTTCTTATTCTTTTTTTTTTAATCTACATTCATTCTCTTGGTAATATATTCTCTTTAAATACTATCTATATGCTGACAGCTCCCAGTTTTAAATCTCTAATTCAGTCCTCTCTTAAACTCCAGTGTCACATGGGCAGCTGCCTACTCAGTATCTCCTTTTCAAAGTCTAAATGATGACTTAAATTTAATATGCTCAAAACTGAACTCCAGATTTTTCATACCTAGCCACCCAAACCTCTTCTACCATTGGCCTTCCCACCTCTGTTGATGGCTGTTTTACCCTTGCAGTGCTCAGACCATAAACTTTGAAGGAATGCTTATTTTACCTCTATCACATTCCACATCCAATCTTTCAGGATATTCTCACAGAGTTACCTATAAAATACACCTAGGATCTGACCACCTCACTATACCTCTCTTGCTGTCTCCTGGTCTGATTCACTGTCATTCTTCACCTAGATTACTATTAATATAATAATAAATCATATATGATAATTGCTTCTTCCTTTGTTTCCCACCTTTCAGTGTTTTGATAAAATAACAATCAGATATCACTCCTCTACTCAAAACACTTCAGTGGCTCTCCATCCCACTCAGAATCAGAGCCAAATTCCTTAGAATCCCTATAAAACTTAACCTGGTTACCCTTTACCATCTGACTTCATCTTCTAGTACTCACTCCTCTCTATCCACACTGGCCCTCTTACTATTCCCCAAACATAGTGGACATGCTTCTTCTGTTGGGCCTTTAAACTAGCTGTTTCTTCTGCCACGAATGCTTTTTTCCCCAGAAATCTGTATGACTGACTCCTTCCCTTCCTTCAAATCTTTTGTTAACTTTTTAATGATTCCTATCTTTGATTCTGCCAGTATACCTGATATCCCTTTCCCTGCTTTTCTTTTTCTGAAGTTCTTAGTACCTAATAATATATAATAACATTTACTTATTTATCATTTATTTTCTGTCTCTTCTAAAAAAATAAGATCCATGAAGGTAAAGATCTTTACTTTATGATATTGAAAGCATCTAGAACTGTACCTGGCACAAGTTAAATATTTGTTCAATAAATGTTCTTGAACAAAGTAGCTATAAGAATGGAGACAATTTCAGTATGTGTATTCTTCATACTGGCATAAAATTATAACTGGGTCCAGCCACATCCATAATTCCTTCTTCCCCTGAGATTTATCTTACTGATTTTCTTATAATTTTAATCATTTATCCTCAAGTTTCTATATGAGGAGGAATGATTCAATTCAGTTTCAGTTTCTGTTCTTGCACACTTCAAAAGTACAAAAGCCAATGTTCTTGTGTGTTTCTTTGCTTTTAAGTAAAATATTTTACTTTACAGATATACTTTCATAAATGTATTTTTGGTACTCAATAGAGGAGACATTTTTTTCTTATTATTACTTTTCAGACTGGGAACCTATATGTGAGACTGAAGAATTAACCCCAAAGCAGGACCTTTTTGAAGAACAACAATCCCAGAAGATAATAGAAAAACTTACAAGCTATGGCCTTGAGTACTCCAGTTTGAGAGAAGAGTGGAAATGTGAGGGCCATTTTGAGAAGCAACCAGGGAATCAGAAGGCATGTTTCAAGGAAGAGATAATCATTCATGAAGAAGCCCTTGTTGAAAGAGAACAAGAATATAACAAATCTTGGGGAAGTTTTCATCATCAGAACACACTGCTTCATACACAACAGATCATCCCCCAAGAGGAGAAAGTATATAAACATGACACTCATAAGAAAATCTTTAAAAAGAATTTAATGGCCATTAAGCCCAAGAGTGTCTGTGCAGAGAAGAAACTTTTGAAATGTTATGCCTGTGAAAAAGTCTTCAGCCAGAGTTCATCCCTTACTCTTCATCAAAGAATTCATACTGGAGAAAAACCCTATAAATGTGTGGAATGTGGAAAAGCTTTCAGCCAGAGATCAAATCTTGTTCAACATCAACGGATTCATACTGGAGAGAAACCCTATGAATGTAAGGAATGTAGGAAAGCCTTCAGTCAGAATGCACATCTAGTTCAACATCTGAGAGTTCATACTGGAGAAAAACCTTATGAATGTAAGGTATGTAGGAAAGCCTTCAGCCAGTTTGCCTACCTTGCTCAACATCAGAGAGTGCATACTGGAGAGAAACCCTATGAATGTATTGAATGTGGGAAAGCATTTAGCAATAGATCATCCATTGCTCAACACCAGAGAGTTCATACTGGAGAAAAACCTTATGAATGTAATGTCTGTGGGAAAGCATTTAGCCTTCGTGCATACCTTACTGTACATCAGAGAATACATACTGGGGAGAGACCCTATGAGTGTAAGGAATGTGGGAAGGCCTTCAGCCAGAATTCACACCTTGCTCAACATCAGAGAATTCATACTGGAGAAAAACCATATAAATGTCAGGAATGTAGGAAAGCATTCAGCCAGATTGCTTACCTTGCTCAACATCAAAGAGTTCATACTGGAGAGAAACCCTATGAATGTATTAAATGTGGGAAGGCTTTTAGCAATGACTCATCCCTTACTCAACATCAGAGAGTTCATACCGGAGAAAAACCTTATGAATGTAATGTTTGTGGAAAGGCTTTTAGTTACTGTGGATCCCTGGCCCAACATCAGAGAATACATACTGGAGAGAGACCCTATGAATGCAAGGAATGCAAGAAAACCTTCAGGCAACATGCACACCTTGCTCATCATCAGAGAATTCACATTGGGGAGTCACTGTCACCACCCAATCCAGTCAATCACCATGTCCTGTAGATCCTATCTCCTAAATATTTCTGGAATTTATACTCTTCTCTATTTTTAATGTTGTCACCCTAGTCTATGAATCTTCTAAACTAGATCACTGATAAAGCTTTCTAACAGGTCTTCTTATATGCATTTTTGCTACCCTTAAATCCACTTCCCACAATGCACTCCAACTGACCTTTTTAAAATATAAGAATATGCACATTACTGTCTCCAGTTAAAACTTTTGCTTGCAATTGTTCTCAGACTAACATCCAAAGCCTTTAAAATTGTCTGAGAGGCTCTCTGTATGTGGTTCTTACACACCATTCAGCCTTATTTTATTCCAGTCTCCTTCTTTGGGTACTAGGCACTTCCCAGTACTGAGAGCTAGTCTCTGGAAAACCATAGCTCTACCATTACTTTGGCATTATGTGACTTTGAGCAACTTGCTTGACTTATCTAAGCCTCAGGGTTTTCTTTAATTCTTAAAATAGGGATAATAAAGAATACTCTACTGTAGATGTGATTATTAAATGAAATAATGTCTGTTGTAGATTGATGCATATTAAATGAGAAATTTGCATGTAAAGTACTTCACATAGTATATCACATATAGCAGATAGTCAATAAATAATAATAGCTAACATGTATAGAGTGCCTACTCTTCACCATTCACTGTCCTACATACTCAACATGTATTAACTCATTTATTCCTCACAGCGAAAACAAGATTCTTTATTGGGTAATGGAAAGCATCCCAGGGAAGCACCAGATCAGAACTGGGAAAACCTAATTATTTTAGAATCTGGTGGGAGTCTTAGTACTCTAGGTGAGTAATTGATGTAGACATAGGTAGTAGAACCATAACACTTATTACCAGTTTTAGGAAGTTTTGGAGGAGAATGAATTGGATAAACCAGTTAAAATAAGGACAATACAATTTACTGGGAAGGACACAAAACTTACGTTTAGGTCAAGGGAGGAATAGAAATGATCACAATTGGCTGGGCACGGTGGCTCACGCCTGTAATCCCAGCACTCTGGGAGGCCAAGGCGGGCAGATTGCTCGAGGTCAGGAGTTCAAAACCAGCCTGAGCACGAGCGAGACCCCGTCTCTACAATAAATAGAAATTAATTGGCCAACTAACATATATAGAAAAAATTAGCTGGGCATGGTGGCACATGCCTGTAGTCCCAGCTACTCAAGAGGCTGAGGCAGAAGGATTGCTTGAGCCCAGGAGTTTGAGGTTGTTGTGAACTAGGCTGACACCATGGCACTCATTCTAGCCTGGGCAACAAAATGAGACTCTGTCTCAAAAAAAAAAAAAAAAAAAAAAAGAAAAGAAAAGAAATGATCACAACTAACTAAAAAACCAATTAACATACAAATGTATAAGATTCCATAAATAGGCACCATACCTAGGTAATCATGGAGGTGAATTCAGGTAATTTTGAGATCATGTAAATTGTTCCATACTATAGAAAAAAATGTAAAGTTTCTTAAGTTTTTTTATCCAGTGGTTGTAAAATTGAAATCAAAAGGGGATTGAGGTAGGAAAACCATAGATACAGGTTTTCATTCATTGGTGAATATTGAGTAGGTACTATTTGCCAGACACTGTTTTAGGTATGAGCCAACAATGGGCAATACAAAGACTACATTCTCATGGAGTTAAATTCCAGAGGCTGAGACAGTTAAATCAATAAAACACAAAGTGATATATTTTCTAAACTCAGAAAATGGAAGAATAACTAGATCTAGGAGCATCATATATCCTAGACTGAAGAACTCAATAAATTGGCAATTCTTCCTAATATACAAGTTCACTGCATTTCCAACCAGAATTCTTCAGTGGACCATTTTGCACTTTAATTTCACAAGTTTGTTCTGAAATTCATTTATGAAGTGTAAATTCTTAAAAGCAGCAAAAAAAATTATTGAATCTAATATATTTGTAGAAACTTTCCATATAGTTATGACTCATACCAGGAGAGAAAGGTTGGATTTGGGATTATTAGAAAAATTGTATGCATCACTAATAGTAAGGGAAGTTTAACAAAAACAAACTATTGGCAAAATCATCATAGTGCCAATTACTGGAAAGATATGGAGCAATGGGAACATTCATATAGTTTATTGGAAGTAGTCATATTAGGCATAATTCAGCAATATCTAGGAAAGTTGAAGGTATGAATACTTTTATTTTCATTCTTTATTTATTTGTTTATTTATTTATTTTAGAGACAGGCTATCCATATCTTGCCCAGGCTGGAGTGCAGTGGTGTTATCATAGCTCACTGCAGCCTCAAACTTCTGGGCTTTAAACAATCCTCCTTCCTCAGCCTCCCAAGTAGCTGATGCTACAAGCATACACCACCATGCCTAGCTAATTTTTTAAATTTTCTGCAGAGATGGGGTATTGCTATATTGCCCAGGCTGGTCTTAAACTCCTGATCTCAAGCAGTCCTGCCTCAGCCTTCTAAAATGCTGGTAGTACAGGCTTGAGCGACCACACGCAGACATGTCTATTCTTTGATCCAGCAATTCCACACATAAGCCTCTATATAGTCTCTCTTCATGTTTCAGACAGATGTACATTATGGTCCATTGCAGTATTCTTTGTGAGAATGAAAAGTTGAACACAATCTAAATAACTATTAGTCTGAATAAAAGCTAGAATGCAAATTAAAAGGAATAACTAGAGATACTTCTACCAACATAGATAAATCTCTAAAGTACTATTAATGAAATTGAACTACAGAGTATACTATAGTGCCATTTATTTCTATAAAGTTTAAAAACATGCAATCCATGTTTTTATATTGTCCATTGGTAGATGCTATATAGAAAGAGTATAAAAGCATTCATGGAAATAATCATGAAATTTAAAATAGTGGTGACCTCTAGGGAGGAAGAAAAATGAATTTGGGGAAAGAATACAAAGGAAAATACCTTTAATTATGTATTTCTTTTAAAAATAATCCAATAGTGTGTAGCCAACTCTTATAATTTGGTAAAGCTTGTTGTGGGTATATGGGTCAGTTCTTATTCCCTGTATCTTTCTGTATATTTAAACTTCATAATTAAAGAAAAAGAACATTTAAATGATGCTTGCTTTTGTTATTTCCTTACTATGCCCAAGGCATGTCACTGGTGTTCCCATATTCATCATTTTCTTCAGAAAGAAGTTCACATATAATCTACTTCCAGAGGCAACTACTGTTAATAATTTTAAAACTATGTCTGAGTGTTTTGAGAATGACTGTTTTTATTTATAAATGAATTTTATAAGCCTATTTAATTTTCCCATCATCCTTCTTAATATTTGCTGGGCCCCATTCTATATGTACCATGATGTATTACTTATTCATAATTTTCTGTTATACTTAAATGAAGAGTCTAGAATTTTTGTGGGCCAATTAGTATCCTTGCTGAACTCACTTTTCTCAGATGTTAAAGGATGTCTTTGTCTTAGAACTATTACATGAATTTATCATAATATTAAATTCCTAGCAGTATTTAATGGTTTCTATTATTTTATAAAATACATTGGGGATATGAAAGGAAATGGGAGAAGGAAAATAGTGTGAGGCCATTATAGTACAAATGGGGTAGACACAAATTTACTTTAGATAGCTAAGTAGCTAGCATACAGGAACAAAGATACACAGTAACACTGGATTAAGAGATGTATGCTTAAATTAACGACGACTGTGGTTATAATCAGTATCTAGTAGAATTTTTCATAGTTTAAAATTTATTATATTTTTCTGATTTACAAGTCAAATGAAAAACATGAGCAATTAAGAATATCAAAGTGGCCGGGCACGGTGGCCCACACATGTAATCCTAGCACTCTGGGAGGCCAAGGCCGGAGGATTGCACAAGGTCAGGAGTTCGAAACCAGCCTGAGCAAGAGCGAGACCCCATCTCTACTAAAAATACAAAGAAATTAATTGGCCAACTAAAAATACATAGAAAAAATTAGCTGAGTATGGTGGCACATGCCTGTAGTCCCAGCTACTCAGGAGGTTGAGGCAGAAGGATTTGCTTGAGCCTGGGAGTTTGAGGTTGCTGTGAGCCAGGCTGATGCCATGGCACTCACCATAGCCTGGGCAACAAAGCGAGACTCTGTCTCAAAAAAAAAAAAAAAAAAAAAAAATCAAAAAAAAAAAAAAAAAAAAAAAGAATATCAAAGAAATTGTCTACCACTGCCACTGTCTGAACTTAAGAGAGGCCTCAGACCTAGGTACCTGAATGATTGAAAGTATCAACAGGAAACAGGATGGCAAAATAAGGGAAAGTGCTTGCCTAACACACTCCAACACAGTGGACTGAAAGTTAACACAGTAAATAAAAATTAAAGCCCTCTTCTTCCCTATTTCCTCATTAATATCTTTGAGATATGTATGTGATCTTAGCTACAGCTCAGTGTCTTAAAATGGTTAAGGAATTAAGTGCTCAGCTTATATTCTTTTCTCATACTCCCTAAGATAGGGAATATCATTGTGCCACATAAATCGAATTTTCATAAATAGCTCTGAGGTGGGCTGTATTCACCAGGGAGCCAGTACTTGAACAGGACTATACTCCATGGATTATAGACTGGCAAGTGGGTACAAAGGATAGTGGGTGTGAAGTGGTACTACTTACGGTTTTTATTTGCATTTCCCTAATGACTGATGGTGTTGAGGATCATTTCATGTGGTTATTGGACATTGTATATCTTCTTTGGGGAAATGTCTATTCAAATACATTTTAAATTTTTAAATTTGGATTATCTTTTATTGTTGAATTGTAAGAATTCTTTATATATTCTGAATACAAGTACCTTAACAGATATACTATTTGCAAACATTTTCTCCCATTTTGTAAATTGTAAAAGTAAAACAATTTCCTAATGGGGCCCTTTGAAGAAAAAAAGTTTTTAGTTTTGATGAAGTCCAATTTATCTATTTTTTCTTTTGTTACTTGTGTTTTTGGTATCATATCCAAGAAACCATTAATCCAAGGTCACAAAGATTTATGACTATCTTTTGTTCTAAGAGATTTACAGTTTCAGCTCTTACAATTTTTCTGCATCAATTAAAATAATCATGTATTTTTTCACTTTATTCTATTTATGTGATGTATTACATTAATTTTCATATATTGAAACAGCCTCATATGAATAAATTCCTTTTGGTCATGGTATATAATTTTTTTTTTTTTTTGAGACAGAGTCTCGCTTGTTGCCCAGGCTAGAGTGAGTGCCGTAGCATCAGTCTAGCTCACAGCAACCTCAAACTCCTGGGCTCAAGCAATCCTTCTGCCTCAGCCTCCCGAGTAGCTGGGACTACAGGCATGCACCACCATGCCGGCTAATTTTTATATATATATATATATTAGTTGGCCAATTAATTTCTTTCTATTTATAGTAGAGACGGGGTCTTGCTCTTGCTCAGGCTGGTTTTGAACTCCTGACCTCGAGCAATCCGCCCACCTCGGCCTCCCAGAGTGCTAGGATTACAGGCTTGAGCCACCGCACTAGAGTGTCATGGCATCAGCCTCGCTCACAGCAACCTCAAACTTCCCGGCTCAAGCAATCCTCTGCCTCAGTCTCCTGAGTAGCTGGGACTACAGGCATGTGCCACTATGCCCAGCTAATTTTTTCTATGTTTTTTTAATTGGCCAATTAATTTCTTTGTATTTTTAGTAGAGATGGGGTCTCGCTCTTGCTCAGGCTGGTTTCGAACTCCTGACCTTGAGCAATCCTCCGGCCTTTGCCTCCCAGAGTGCTAGGATTACAGGTGTGAGCCACCTCGCCCGTCTGGTATATAATATTTTTAATATGTCTCTCAGTTTGCTAGTATTTATTTAATTGAGGATCTTTGCGTCTGTATTGACCTATAGTCATAAGTAATATTGGCTTGTAGTTTTAGTTTCTTGTAGTGTCTTTGTCTGGCTTGGTATGTTCCATACCTCCATACCAAGAGGAAGTGTTCCTTCCTCTTAAATTTTTTGGAAGAATTCGAGGAGTGTTTGTGTTAATTCTTCTTTAAATGGTTGGTAGAATTTACCAGTGAAGTCATCTGATCCTGGATTTTTTTTGTTATTTTGAGAGGTATTTAAATTAGATTCTGATTAATTTTCTTGTTATACAATAAGTCTATTAAGATTTTCCCTTTCCTTTTCAGTTGGGTTTTGTAGTTTGTGTGTTCCTAGGAGTTCGCCCATTTCATCAAGATTATCAAATCTGTTAACTTTACAATTGTTCATGGTGTTCTCTTAAAATCCTTTTTATTTCTGTAAAATTGGTAGTAATGCCTCCACTTTCATTTCTGAATTTAGTAACTTGAGTCTTCTCTCTTTTTTTATAGTCAATCTAATTCAAAGTGTGTAGATTTTTTTGATATTTTTGAAGAACTAACTTCTGGATTTGATGACTTTTTTTATTTTCTATTTTGCTTATCTCTGCTCTAACCCTTTATTATTTCTTTCCTTCTAACAACTCTAGGTTTAGTTCGTTTTTCTTTTGTGTAGTTACATATGGTATAAAGTTAAGTTATTTATTTATTTATTTTTATTTTTGAGGCAGAGTCTCACTCTGTTGCCCTGGCTAGAGTGGGTGTTGTGGAGCCTGCCTAGCTCACAGCAACCTCAAACCTAGGCTCAAGCAATCCCTCTGCCTCAGTCTCCTGAGTAGCTGGGACTACAGGCACGTGCCACCATGCTCAGCTAATATTTTATATATATGCTTTTAGTTGGCCAATTAATTTCTTATTTTTGGTAGAGTCACACCATTCCTCATGTCAAGTCGGTTCTCTGTAACTCTTACAGCTGCCTCAGAAAAAGTTTTCCTTTGCGGTACAGGAGCGCCGCCTAGGAGAGGCCGCGCCCATTGCACGTAAGAAGCGGTAAAAATGTGCGCCGCCATCTTGCCGGGCGGCTGGAGACAAAGGAAGCTCAGCTTCGAGGTTCGGGCGCCGCCACATTTGTCACAGGAGGTTTGAGCGTCTGAGATAGTAAGCGCAGCGGCGACAGCTGTGTTTAGGGACGCAGGGACACTTGCTTCTCTCTGCCCTGAAATAGTCTAACCCGCTGGTCCAGCAAAAGGTTTGGTCATCCGTTGTACGGCACAGCTTTAAACATGGCCGCTCCCAGCCAGAGGTTGTCAAGCGGGCGCGGCCATCATACCTCCCATAAAAGCACTAAAAAAACCAGAATCCTGTTTCGTGGAATTTAGCTGGGTGGCGGCTGACAGACTTAAAGTCGCAACTGAGTCTGCGCACCGGGCCTCGGAATAGGAAGAACCTGTATCGCGGTGAGGCTTTGTGGTCGGGCGATCAATTTCGGGTTGAGGGCGCGGAGACAGGATAAAAGGGAAGGGTTGATTTGAGAAATGTTCGAACCTTGAAGCCTGTGGAAGATGGTGTCCGGGCGACTACGGTGGCCCGACTGGGTCAGTTATGGATGCTCGCAAGGGTCAACAACGAGGCGACTGAAGGGTTAAGTGAATGGGCGTCTGAGATTTGTAGGGGCTCCGTGTTGGCGAGCAGAGGTTCGTGGGAGTCAGTGGCGGGGTTTTTGTGAAGAAGATGGATTAGGAGTGTGTGGGAGTTAATAAATGAGAGTTCTGTGAAATGTCTTGATTGGCGGGGTGCGTGGGCGTCACTTATAGTGGTCTTAATGGGTCTGGGCCAGGTGAGGTTCTTCAACCACGCTGATTTGGAGAGCATTAGGGCTCAGTGATTGGGGGTTGTAAGTTCTGTGGGCAGTAATAGTTTCGATACTGGACTTGATGATTGTGGAAACTTTGGGGTTCAATTTGGTCCCTCAGTGATCGAGATTTCCTTCAGATCATCGATGGAGTATCTGAGAGTTTTAATGATTGGACTTTTCTAGATGAGAGAATGGGAAATAGAGGCATCAATGAGGTTCATTTATTGGGACTGTCTGTTATGGGTAGGGATGGGACTGTGGGGTCCACAACTGCTCCCCAGTCGTTGGGATATCATTGGAGATAAGTGTGGGTTCTTGATTGGGAGTTGTGTAATTCACTGTTTAGCAATCAGATTGAATCAGGAAGCTTTGTAGTTACTGGCCAGTAGCCTTTGGTGGTCAGATCTGGACATATGAGGGTATCAGTGACTATGAAAACCTCTGCAGGTTGGAGATTGGGGGACTGTGATTGGTGACACCATCTGTGGCTATGATTAGGATGCTTGGTGTTGAGGAGGCTCATGAAATTCAGAGGTTGAGCATGGGAAAGTCAGGGATTTGATGCTGCAACCCTGCATAATGGGAACACATTTCACCCAGGTGATGCTCCCTACCTGTAAGTAGCCAGTTTATCTTCGCCAAGGCCCACCTCAAAACTCTTTCGAAAATCTCCCCTTTTTTGTTTTTCTGCAAAATAATGAAAATTATTTGAAAGCATCATATGCTGAACTTATCTAAGGTAACATGTTATTAAAGATGTGGCTTCCATTGCTCTTATCAAGGATCTAATGTATACTTCTCATGTTTCCTTTAAGGGTCTTTCTGGCAAAGGTAATGACATGCTCATCTTTGACAGTATCCCAAGAGTGAGCCTGGTTTCTGGAAATCCATTCTGGTTCAATGGCAGCTAGGATAGATGTGACCCTTGCCTGTGGTTAGAAAACAAAGAGTTTACTGAGTGAGTATCTAAAATGATAATGTAAAAGATTTAGCTAAAAGAGCAAACTGAGAGTGTTTGGAAAATACTTCTTTGTACGCTTAACTTAAAAACATTATCAAAGGAAGAGGAAACTTAAACTTATTTTTAGAAACTGTTTTTCACTGAAATTAAAGTTGAATAGTCATAAAAATGGCTAAGATTGCAAATAAATTGGAAATAAGATCTTTGACCATTAGCCTAATAAAAAGATGCAATACTGAAAAAATATTTTAACTGTTTTTAAAATTATTATATTTGATACTTATATAATCTTAAGAAACAAAGGAAGCCAACAGCTAAGGCAGGTAACATCTTTCAGAATCCATACAAGTCAAGTTTTAGTCCTGATTTTTAATTGCACAGAATCAAAGACAGGTAACTGCTTTGCATACTGAAATCATAAGCCAGAGTAAGGGATTTGAGCATTTCTTCTTTCTCCAAGCCACTTTCCTTCATCACCTACACTGTGCTCAGTGCCAGGTTTGGGAACAAATAATTTGTCTTTAAATGTCTTTTTAACCTAAGCCTTTTATTGAGATATAAGATACTTACCAAATGTACATAAATATAAGCACAAAGGGACACCCCTGGTAATGCACTCAGATCAGAAACACCACTGTAGCACCATGAAAGCCCTCGTGTCATTACCCTGCCAAGGGGAACCATTCTCCCAGCTTCTAACATCACAGATTAGTTTTGCCTGTTTTTAACTCTAATTTAATGGAATATTCATTGGGAGGGCATCCCAAGGGAGAGCCAGGATATGCTCTGTCTGAACAAATTTTCAAATTTTAATTTGATGCGAGTAATTTCATTTCATTTATATAACAGACATGTTTTCAGATCATTAAATGTTCTTTATTTAAAAATTGAGGTATACACACAGTTAAGTGTGCTTATCTTAAGGATACAGCTCAATGATTTTACATTACAGAATCATGTAAGCACAGCCTAGATCAAGATATTTATCACTTGCATCACCTGGAAGGCTTCCTTACCGGCCAATATTCACAGCCACCCCAGGGTAACTTGGCTCTAATACAATAAATTAGTTTTTCCTATAACTGAATTTGAATTAATCATATATTCCATTATTCCAATTAATATGAATGCATTTAACTGATTCATATTCATTGAATTTGATATGATTCAATTTGAATCATATAAATAATGTGTATGCCAAGAGATTCATACCATGAGAACAGTTTGTCTGAAATTCTGAAACCAAACAAACACCAGACAAAATTTGAACCTAAAGTCCTGGCTTGGCCATCCTGATATATCTGGGAAGGCAGCTAACCTCTTTCTTCAGCTCACAGTTCTTTCCAACATGCTTATCTTTTCACAAAAATAAGGGATTTTCCCTTGTTTTGTTTTTTTGGTTTTTTTGAGATAGAGTCTCACTCTGTTGCCCAGGCTAGAGTGCTGTGGTGTTAGCCTTGCACACAGCAACCTCAAATTCCTGGGCTCAAGCGAATCTTCTGCCTCAGCCTCCCGAGTAGCTGGGACTACAGACATACACCACTATGCCTGGCTAATTTTTTTCTATATATTTTAGTTGCCAATTAATTTCTTTCTATTTTTAGTAGAGACGGGGTCTTGCTCTTGCTCAGGCTGGTTTCGAACTCATGACCTTAAGCGATCCACACTCTTTGGCCTCCCAGAGTGCTAGGATCAGAGGCATGAGCCACTGTACCCAGCCTGTTTTTGTTTTTAAATAATTTCAGATTTAGAAAAGTCACAAGAATAATATAAAAATTCCTATTAAGTCATTCACCCAGATTCCTCAATTTTTAACATTTTGCTATGTGTGCAAATAATTTTTTTCTTTGTATATGTACAAATTTATTTTTTATTCTGAACCATGTGATAGTAAGTTGGAGACACAATAATCCTTTACCTCTAACATATATTTCTTAGGCACAAGGATATTTTCTTGTGTGACCACAATATAATTATGAAAATCAGGAAAGTTAATTTTAAACTGATATTATCTAATCCACAGACCTTGTTTAGATTTCTCCACTTCTCCCAGTAATGTCCTTTATGGCAATTCTTTTTTCTGGCCCATGTTTCTAATCTAGTATTACATGTTGCGTTTAGTTGTCATGTGTCTTTAAATTCCTTTAATTTGGAATAATTTCTCAGTCATTTTTAACCTCTTTTGGCCTTGACATTTATGAGAAGTACAGGCCAGTTATTTTTATAGTGTGTCCCTCAATTTGAGTTTTTCTGATTTTTCCTCATGATTAGAGTCATGTTGTACATTTTCGACAGGAATACTATAGAAGTGATGTTGTGGCCTTCTCAATGTACTATATCAGGAGGTACATGTTTGTCACACTGATGGTGATATTACCTTTGATCACTTGGTTATGTCCACCAGGGTTCTCCACTATAAAGTTATGTTATTATAAATCTCTGTGGAGAGAAATTTTGAGACTAGGTAAATAACCTCACACTTTCATCTACTAGTGTTAGTATCCATTAATGATTTTTGTCTGAATCAATTACTACTATTAATGGTTACCAAATGGTGATTTTCTAATTGCATTTTTTTTTTTTTGAGACAAAGTCTCGCTTTGTTGCCCAGGCTAGAGTGAGTGCCATGGCGTCAGCCTAGCTCACAGCAACCTCAAACTCCTGGGCTCAAGCAATCCTGCTGCCTCAGCCTCCCAAGTGGCTGAGACTACAGACATGCGCCACCATGCCCGGCTAATTTTTTCTATATATATTAGTTGGCCAATTAATTTCTTTCTATTTATAGTAGAGACAGGGTCTGCTCTTGCTCAGGCTGGTTTTAACTCTGACTTGAGCAATCTGCCTGCCTTGGCCTCCCAGAGTGCTAGGATTACAGGCGTGAGCCACCACACCCGGCCTCTAATTGCATTATTCTTTCAACATTATGGTAGAAGCTTTCCCTTATCCTCCATGTGTTTATTAGCATAAATGTAGTAATGTGTCCTATTTACATAGAAGATAGGGGATGCACATTGGAAACTTACAAATCTGTTTAAAATGTTAGATTAGACCATAAGCTAAAGCTCAGACTTTCTGAATCATAAGGAAAACATCTCAGGAGATTGACTAGTTACAGAGAAGGAGTTGTCACATCATGTGACAAAAATGACCCATCTACACAACCATAGAATGGTTGAGTTCTTTGGCAGCTTCTCCTGTATTTATAAGAAGTTCAGCTTCCATGATTGCTCTCAATTGGTTGTTGTCAACTTCCGATGACCACTGGGCTCCTCATCTCCAAGGCTCTTGTCTCCTTTGCAAAACTTCTTGAACCCCCACTGCACTGTGCATTCGTTAGCAGTTCCTAGGCCAAATGCCTTATTGATGTTGCGAGTTGTCTCCGCTGCTTTATGACCCATTTTTGAACTAGAATAAGAAAATCGCCTCAATTGCTTTTGTCTAACTTCATTCTCATAGTCTAAAAACATATAATAGCCGGGCGCGGTGGCTCACGCCTGTAATCCTAGCTCTTGGGAGGCCGAGGCGGGCGGATTGCTCAAGGTCAGGAGTTCAAAACCAGCCTGAGCAAGAGCAAGACCCCGTCTCTACTATAAATAGAAAGAAATTAATTGGCCATGATATATATACTATAAAGTTAGCCGGGCATGGTGGCGCATGCCTGTAGTCCAGCTACTCGGAGCTGAGGCAGAAGGATCGCTCGAGCCCAGGAGTTTGAGGTTGCTGTGAGCTAGGCTGACGCCACGGCACTCACTCTAGCCTGGACAACAAAGCGAGACTCTGTCTCAAAAAAAAATAAATAAAAATAAAATAAAATATAAAATAATATATAATAAATAACAAGCAATAAGTCATTAGCAAAAAAACATAAACGAGAATGCACATTAAATGATTTTTAACATAACCACATTTAAGAACGTATACCAATATCAAATGGCAGATTTCAACAGTGCTAAAACCACAATTACTTTTGAACCAAACAATACCAGGATTTAATTTTTTTCTTTTATAATTTAGTCATACAGTTATTTCTTAAACATCTTGGTTAAAAGTAACATAGTTGTTTTCATCTGTTGAAAATTATTTTTAATGAGAACACTCCTTGTGGATAATAAGGTTTAGCCTTTCAGTAAGTATTTTTGATCACAGACTGAGTATATTTTACTAATGTTATACCGTTATTTTATTTGCTTTGGTTCTTTGTAGCATTTTCTAACAGTTATAGAAGCCCTTGTTCAGTATATACTTGGGTCTTATTATTTAAGTTTTAAGGGTATTTGTTTTTTGAAACTTTCAGTTATTTCTTGGCAGCCAACTTTACTTCCTGGAAGGTCTGTATTCATGGTCTAAGTAAATGGTACCATTTGTTTTCTACACCGGTGATTTAAGCATGGATTTTTTTTTTTTTTTTTTTGAGACAGAGTCTCACTTTGTTGCCCAGCTAGAGTGGAGTGCCGTGGCGTCAGCCTAGCTCACAGCAACCTCAAACTCCTGGGCTCGAGTGATCTTCTTGCCTCAGCCTCCGGTACTGGGATACAGGCATGCGCCACCATGCCCGCTAATTTTTTTATATATAATATAGTTGGCCAATTAATTTCTTTCTATTTATAGTAGAGACGGGGTCTCGCTCTTGCTCAGGCTGGTTTTGAACTCCTGACCTTGAGCAATCCACCCCCTCGGCCTCCCAGAGAGCTAGGATTACAGGCGTGAGCCACAGCGCCCGGCCAAAGCATGGATTTTTGATATAAGATTTACATAGGGAATTTGCAAGTTCCAAGACAGGGCTAATCCCTCACAGATCTGTTTTGTTTTCTCTCTTTCTCTACCCTCCCTTCCCCAATCTCTGCCTTCAGAGCTCTCGTCTCTTTTTCCAAGAACAGCAGAAGATGATTGAGAACCAGGTAAGTATGGTATTAAGGAGTACTTTTCCCTTCTTGGGAAAACTGTCCTAGAAAAAAAATGTATGCATTGTAAGCATGTACACTTTGTCATAAGCTGAGTTCTGAGGAAAACAGACTCAGCCTGGGCAACAGAGTGAGACTTTGTCTCTAAAGAAAATAACAATAAATACATAAATTACATTTAATAGAATGATTGGTATGGTTGGATTTATATCTATCATTTTAGTGTCTGCTTTCTGTTTGTTCCATCTGCTTTTGTTCCTCTATTTCTTCTTTTCTCTCTTTTGTGTGTTTATGTGGATGAATTGAATTTTTTAAAAATTCTGTTTATTTACTTCAGGTATACCTCTTTGCCTTATGATTTTAGTGTTTACTCTAGGTATATAATATGCATCTTTTACTTTTCACAATCTACTTAGAATTGCCATTATACTACTTCACATAGAATGCAAGAAACTTACCTCATGCCTTCTAGAATATGCTTCTGCATACACTTCTCCCTTGATAGCTTTCCCATCATCCTAACAGACCTCTGTATACTTTTCTCTTGTTACTGAGTAACTTGCCTCCTTTAAAATCACTGTTTTGCCTCCATGACTTTGTTCACACTGCTACCCTGCAAGGAATGCAGTATTTCCATCTTCTGCAGAAAAGACTCAGCTCCACATATCCTTGAGCTCTGAACCCTGATCAGACCCTGGAAAATTTAATGGACCATTTGTCTCCACATGTGTCTAAATGTTCTGCCATCACAGCTCTTGTGACATTGTCACCCTGATGGCTTTACTTGTTGCTCTCCCTGTGCCAGTGAGCTCCTTAAGGTTACGAACCCTTCTGGATTGTGACACCAGCAACCAACACTGGGGCAGACACATTATGGGTCTTCAATGTTTGTTGATTCAAAATATGAATGACAATGGTAGGTGGCTTCCAACCTGGTTTTCATTTTTCCCACCATATGCAACACAAAGCCAAGAATGTAAAAGGCATCCCAGATAGATAAATGATCGTGGTAAAGTCTGACCTGTGAACATTGTAAAAATCAGTACCAATCCCCCACCAACATTTTTTTCCACATGACTCAATGTCATTTCAGTTTCAACACACACCTGTGTTATTCAAAGACGTGGTTGTGGGCTTCACCCAAGAGGAGTGGCACCGGCTGAATCCTGCTCAGAGGGCCCTGTACCGGGATGTGATGCTGGAGACCTACAGCAACCTTGTCTCAGTGGGTAAGACTAGCTTTCCCATGTGATTCAGATTATGCTTGAATGACCATCTTTCCTTTCTCAGTTGCTAAAAGCAATTTAAAAGTAGCAAGAGCCTACAAAGTACCTAATTTATTTAATAACTATCTAGCACTTTCTATGTGCCAGAAACTATTTTAGTCACCTTTAAAATATTAACTCACTTGTACCACTATTTTATACATTGGGAAATTGAGGCATAGAAAGGTGAAGTAACTTGCCCAGAGTCACCCACCTACTACATAGCAGAGCCAGGATTTGAATCCTAGCAGTCTGGCTGCACAGAATGCATTCCTAACCCTTACACTGTGTTGCCTCAGTGGTTTTGGATTGAGTTTCAGTGGTCTTGGTTTACTAATTCCATTTGGTTCTGGACAAGATGTGTCTATAGTCCCTTCCCCAAGTATAATGTTTGTTGTGCAGCCTTTAAAGCTGCCTGAGAGGCCCTGAAGACCAAGGAGCTCAGCCCAAGGCCTGGATCATTTCCCTGGAACAGGTTATGAAGGCACCAAACCAGATGTGATCCTCAGGCTGGAGCAGGAAGAAGCCCCATGGATTTGTGAGGTAGCATGCCCAGGCTGCCACTGTTGGGGTAAGTGTGAGAAATCTAGCAAAAGGGGTACTATGGAGACTGGCACCTTTGACATTTTATTCAGGGTTCTTCTCTTAAAAGCTTTGACATTTCTCTGAAAACTTTAGCCTTCTTGATCATGCTTCATCCTGCATGCATGCCTTCCCCATATCTGGGTGTTCTTCCTGCCTTTCCTTTAAATCTCATCTCTGCCCTTATATGCTTGGTCCATTTCCCTTTCTACAGAATCTTTCACAATCAGGTATTCTTGCAAATAAACACCTATTCTCCTGTTTCTGTTGTCCTTTCCTAGTTTCTGTTTTGTTGTTTATATTCATAATAAAGGAAATGCTCCATTGCAGAGAAAGCTTAGTGAAAATAAAGATGTAATTTTTTCCTATCAAAGTTCACAACTCCTCTGATTTCTGTCCATCAAGTTAAGAACTGCTTTAGTCCCAGTTAGCTTTGTTGATTTCATTCTGTGATTAGTTCACCTTAGAGCTCTTTTCCATTTATATTATAAGTAATTACTAGACCAACATGATAAACTCTCTGATAACTGCTATATCAATGTTTGTCAAATTCTAATGTGTTAAGAATCACGTGGGCACCTTGTTAAAATGCAGATTCTGATTTAGTAGGTCGGGGCTGGGGCCTGAAATTCTGCATATCTAACAAGCTGCCAGATAAAGCCAAAGTTGCTCATTGAAGCCCCACATGTTGAATAGCAAAGTGCTATATAACATTTAAATGTCTTTCTTCCATAACAGGGATCAGCAAACTATGGCCTTCAGATTGGCCACCTATTTTTGTGAATAAAGTTTTATTAGAACATAGCCATACCCTTATGTTTACATATTGTTCATGCTTTCATGCTACAGTAGAAGAGATGCGTAATTGTGACAAAGACCATATGGTCAACAAAGCCTAAAATATTTACTCTTGCTCCCTTTAAGAGCAAATTTGCCAACCCCTGCTCTATGATATAATCCCATCTTATTTGAAATTAATTCTCTCTGTATTCTACAATATATTTCATTTCATTTGTGGCAGTGTTCTGAATCTTTTCTATTCACAGAATGCTCTTTCGTGCATTTTGATTATGGTTTCATGATTTCTATTCATATACTGTGCACCCTTTACATTTTGAGGGCATTTCTCAAGTGGCATAAAGTTTCATAAGGAATGATTCACTGTACTTTCTCCAGAGGATATATGGCAAGTTAGTGTCCAGAGGAAAAGACGGCAAGACATGTTTTTGAAGCAAGGTGCATTCATCAGCAAGAAAACACTGCCCAAGGAAAAAAGCTGTGAATGTAATAAGTTTGGAAAAATATCACTTCTGAGCACTGATCTTTTTTCTTCAATTCAAAGCCACAATAACTGGGACCCTTGTGGAATAAATTTAAACCATAATTTAGACTCAATTGGTTTTAAGAGAAACTGTGCAAAAAAGCAAGATGAGTGTTACGGATATGGGAAATTGTTGCAGTGTATAAACCATGATAGAAGACCTAATGGAGAAAAACCCTGGGAATGCCATCACAGTAAGAAAGGTTTCAGCCATAACCCAGCACTTACTTGTAAACCAGCATTAACCAATTCTTTTGTATATAAACGGAAGAGGGTTCCACCTACGGAAAAACCCCATGTCTGTAGCGAGTGTGGGAAAGCCTTCTGCTACAAGTCTGAATTCATTCGGCATCAGAGAAGTCACACTGGGGAGAAGCCTTATGGATGCACTGACTGTGGGAAAGCCTTTTCACATAAGTCAACACTGATTAAACACCAGAGAATTCACACTGGGGTAAGACCCTTTGAATGTTTTTTCTGTGGAAAAGCCTTCACCCAGAAGTCACATCGCACAGAACATCAGAGGACGCATACAGGAGAGAGACCGTTTGTGTGCAGTGAATGTGGGAAGTCATTTGGTGAGAAGTCATACCTCAATGTACATCGAAAAATGCACACAGGAGAAAGACCCTATCGTTGCAGAGAATGTGGAAAATCTTTCAGCCAGAAGTCATGCCTCAATAAACATTGGAGAACTCATACAGGAGAAAAACCTTATGGATGCAATGAATGTGGCAAAGCTTTCTACCAGAAGCCAAACCTCAGTAGACATCAGAAAATTCATGCTAGGAAAAATGCCTACAGGAATGAAAACCTAATAATTGTGGGAAAACCATGAGCAAGATGTCCAGTTTCATTATACAAAGGGGAATTCATCCTTAGAAGAAATCGTATTGATTTAATGAATTTGGACAAAGTGTTTTAACAGGAGTCATGCTCCAATTGTGATGCAAACTTTTATAGAAAAAACTTGTGGAAAATACTTTATAAAACATGAAGATGGTCTGGCATATAAAAGTTTAAAATATGTTAAACAGAATGACAACAGAATACAAAATACTTAAAGGTGTACTATAGTATCCACAGTGAGCCACACAATCAGCACTATTTGTATTCTGGAATGGTAAATGTGACTGTATCATAAATTGTATCAAACACATACATTGCATAGGATGTAGAATGCCATTCACCAAACTTTTCCTCTCTAAATATCACTATTGTCTTTTGATGTCATAACAGTACAAAAAATAACAAGGCCCACTATTTTAAAAAGAACTTTATTGTACCAGTTACATTTCTTCCACCTTTTTGAAATAAATGTTAGTGGCTGTATAGCAGGTGATATTGAGCCCTTTTTGGAATAATAAAACAATGTTTTTTAATGTTCTTTGATAAGCCAGCCAAAAACCTTACCAAAAACATAGTTATTTATGTTAAAAATGCAAAGCTAAGAAATAGTTTAACAACCTGATATTGGGTAAACCAAACACTGTAAACCTGATTACTCAGCACATTGACTATTTGACAAAAAGTAGAGTTGCCCTTGTGTATTAATATTATCCATTATTCACATTTTCTTAGTCTTGCTTAAGATGTCTTGCAGCAAATTAGTAGAAGAGATACAATACTTTTTATACAGGTCTTATAATTTGGAAGTGTTTCATGCTGGAACAATCAAGGATTGATTTCTTTTTTGCAAGTTAAGCAATATCCATTTTTATTCTCTATAAATTTCTTTGGGTTTTTTGTTATTCCAGTGTTTGGGGAAAAAATAACTGTGTTCTTGAGTTGGCATGTCATCCATATAAAAAAAGAAATGATTGGTAGACTTAATCATTCAGTTAAAAAAAATGAAGGAAAAGAAAAGAAAGAAAGAAAATGACCGCTTAGAATCAGTATTTTTCAAGATTTGCCTCTGTGCTAGACTGCCTGATCCAGAATGAGAAAGGAGACATAACCACAGATATAGACATGATTTAAAAAATGATAGTAAAAATACCTCATACAACTCTAGATCAACATTTTTTAGACAGAGGAAATGGATGCTTTTCCAGCAAACTATAAGTTATAAAAATTACAATAGGAAGTAGAAAACTTGACAAAACAGTTACCATTGAAGAATTTGAAAAAGTGATCGAAGATCTATAATGGAAAAATGCTCCAGGCCCAGATGATTTTATGATTAGTTCTATCTACTTTTTTAATGAACAAGTAATAACAGTGTTATTTATTAAATGGATATAATATAGTCCACAAACTGTACTTCCCATTTATTTTATGAAGTCAGAATAAGTTTAACACCAGAACCAAATAAAGATAGTTGCAAAAAAGAAAACTCTAGATGAGTTTTCTTCTAGATGAGTTGTTCGTGAATATAGAAATAAAAATTATAATTAAAATAATAGCAAATAGAATTCAGGAATATATCTAAATAATGACATACTATTATGACCAAGTAAGAGTTATGGAAAGAATGCGAAGTTCGGAAATAGGAAATATGCCAATAAAAAATCAATAGCTTAGGAATCATATGAACTGTCAATAGATGCTGAGAAAGTATTTAGTAGAATTTGTAAACATTTCTAATCTAATAAAATATAAATTAAACTAATATATGACAACCAAAAGTGATTTTGTTGTGAGAACGAAGGGTATTTTTACACACTGTTGGTGGAAACATACATTTTGAATAGTAATTCAAATCACTCTTTTGAAAAGCAATCTGGTAACATCTATTAAAACTTTAAAAACTTGTGCCACTTTGAAGAATCTTCTTAGAAGTATATTAATAAAAACCCCATTTATAAAGAACAGATGAACATGGACATTTATTATAAAATTGTTCCTAATGGAAAAAACAAAACAAAAAACGAGAATCAAAGAAAATAACATACCCATGAATAGGGAAATTGGAGAAAGAACTACAGTGTACCCATTTCATAGAATGTTTATATAGCCATTAAAGTGGACAAATTAAAACTATGCTAGTGGGCATGAATGGAATTCCACAATATTTTCTTGAGTGAAAAAAGCAAGATAAATATTAAGTGTGTAAAATATGACCTCATTTTTATAAATCATTAGCAAAATGTCTGTTTATGGGTGATAAACATGTATCCATATATGTTTATGTATGCTTTTATATGCATGGATAAAAGTATAGAAGAATATGCATCGGGTTTGAGGGAGGCGGGTGATGCAGATAGGTTATGGGGGAGTTAGAGGGAGAGGGAAAAGGAAAGCCAAAAAGAAAAATGTATAAATGACTGAACCAAGTATATCACAAATATGTGAGTAAGTAAAGAAATTTGGATGGGGAGAGGAGAACTACAATTCTACTAATTTGTGGGATGTTCATGGTATATATTAAGTGAAAAGGGGAAATTGCATAATAATATGATTCTATTTTTTTTTAAATTAAAAGGTCTGTATCTGTACATATGCATGTGTACATGTATATGAACAAAGAGAAAAGTATGGAGAGATATAGACCAAGGTGTTCATTAACATGGTTACCTTGGAAGAGAAGAGTAATAAGTTGTTTAATTTATATATCATTGTATTGTTTTCAATTGTTAACAATATATATTGCTTTTGTAATTTGAAAAACATAAAATAAAAGGGGAAAGAAAACATTTCAGAATGCATGAAGCCTTGGAAACGTCTCTGTTTTCTGACAAGATGTCATGCTGGCTTGGTTTAATTGCCTTTCCCCCAGCTCAGTCCTGGGGATATCACCAGAGTAAAAGAAAGTATATAGATCTGAAGAGCAAAAAGACTTTGAGAAACTCTCAAGTAGAGAAAAGCCTTGTTTTTATTTATTTTGAAATAATTTTAGACTTACAGAAAAGTTACAAAAGAGAGTTCTCATATAGCCTTCACCCAGCTTCCCTGAATGTTAACATTATGTATTTTATGTTTTATATATTTTTATGTATTATATAAAATTATATATACATATATATTATATAAATATGTATTTTATACAATATATATTATATATTATTTATATATAATAAAACTTATGTATAATTCTATACTATACAAAATTTTATTATATATATAAGTTCTATATAATTTTATATATTATATAACCACAGTACAATTACCAAAACAGGAAATTAACATTGATATAATACTCATAATTAAACTATAGTCCTTATTTGAATTTCACCATTTTCCCACAAATGTTCTTTGTCTAGTACAAGATCTAGTCCAGGATTTACATTGCATTTGCTTGTTATTGCACTGCATTTACTTGTTCTCTTTAGTCTCCTCCAATCTGTAATAGTTCCTCAGTTTTTGTTGTCTTTCATGAGTTAGAGACATTTTTGAAAAATAATGGCCAGTTATTTTGAGGAATATCCCTCAATTTGGGTTTGATTCCAATGTCTTCTCTAATTATTTTGAGGTTATGCATAAATTCAGAAATACCACAGAAGTGATGTATGCTTCTTCAGTGTGTCATATCAGAGGATACATGTTTATGTCTTTCCCCCTTCCCCAGCCTTTATATTTCATATGCTTGACAAAAATTATATAATGGTATATACAATGTGATGTTTTGATATATGTATACACTGTGAAATGACTAAGTCATTAAGTCACTAAGTAATTAATATATCTGTCACCTACCTTATTCTTGCATGGTGAGAACATTCAAGATCTAATCTCTTAGAAATCTTCAAGTATTTAATACATCATTATTAACAGTAGTCACTATGTTGTAATATGGATCTCTAGAACTAATTCATCCTAAATGAAACTTTGTACCCTTTAACCAACATCTGTTCCCCCCAATTCCAGCCCCTGATAATCACCTTTCTACTTTCCACTTCCAAGGGTTCAACTTTAATTTTTTTAAATTTTATTTTATTTTACTTTATTTTGAGAGAGTCTCACTCTTTGCCCAGGGTAGAGTGCCGTGGTGTCAGCCTAGCTCACAGCAACCTCAAACTCCTGGGCTCAAGCAATCCTTCTGCCTCAGCCTCCCAAGTAGCTGGGACTACAGACATGTGCCACCGTCCCTGGCTAATTTATTTATTTTTATTTTTTTAGTTGTCCAATTAATTTTTATTTATTTTTTTAGTAGAGATGGGGTCTTGCTATTGCTCAGGCTGGTTTTGAACTCCTTACCTTGAGCGATCCTCCCCCCTCAGCCTCCCAGAGTGCTAGGATTACAAGCGTGAGCCACCGCACCCGGCCAAGTTCAACTTTTTTAGATTCCCCATGTAACTGACATCATGCAGTACTTGTCTTTCTGTGCCTGGCTTATTTCACTTAGCATAATGTCCTCCATGTTCATCCATGTTATCACAAATGACAGGATGTACTTTTTCAATGCTGAGTAGTATTCCATCGTATATATACATCACATTTTTTTTATCCATTCATCTGTCCAGTGACCCCGTAGGTTGTTTCCAAATCTTGGCTATAGTGAGTGAAGCTGCAGTGAACATGGGAGTGCAGATATCTCTTTGACATACTGATTTCATATACTTTGACTATATAACCAGAGGTGGGATTGCTGGATCATATGGTAGTTCTAGTTCTATGAGGAACCTCCATACAGTTTTCCATAATGGTTTACTAATTTACATTCCCCCCAACAATGTACAGTGGTTCTCTTTTCTCCACATCTTTACCAATACCTATCTTTTGTCTTTTCATAATAGTCATTCTAACAGGTGGGAAGTGATTCCTCATTGTGGTTTTAATTGGCATTTCTCTGATGACTAATGATGTTAAACATGTTTTTTACCTGGTGGCCATTTGTATGTTGTCATTTGAGAAATCTCTATTCAAATCCTTGAGATTTTTTTACATTGGGTTGTTCTCTTGCTATTGTTATATCTTACTGATGATGTTAACCTTGAGCACTTGGTTAAGGAGCTCACTGCCAGATTTCTCCACTGTAAAGTTACTATTTCTTTCTTTATAGTTAATAAATATTTTGGGCAAGATACTTTGCAGGGAGGTTTTTTTTTTTTGAGACAGTCTCTCACTCTGTTGCCCAGGTTAGAGTGCCATGGTATCAGCCTAGCTCACAGCTACCTCAAACTCCTGGGCTTAAGCAGTCCTTCTGCCTCAGCTTCCTGAGTAGCTGTGTCTACAGGCATGCACCACCATGCCCGGCTAATTTTTTCTATATATATTAGTTGGCCAATTAATTTCTTTTTCTTAATTCTTCCAATTAATTTCTAATTTCTTTCTATTTATAGTAGAGATGGGGTCTCGCTCTTGCTCAGGCAGGTTTTGAACTCTTGACCTCGAGCAATCCGCCTGTCTCATTCTCCCAGAGTGCTAGGATTATAGGCGTGAGCCACCTCACCTGGCCAGATTTTTTCTATATATTTTTAATTAGCCAGTTAATTTCTTTCTATTTTTAGCAGAGATGGGGGTCTTGCTCTTGCTCAGGCTGGTCTTGAACTCCTGACCTTGAGTGATCCACCCACCTTGGCCTCCCAGAGTGCTAGGATTACAGACGTGAAACACTGCACCCGGCCTGCAGAGTTTTTTAAAATACATACTAGTAGGCTCTAGCACCACATTATTGAAATCTAATGTTTTAAAAGAAAAGCAAACAAAGAAGCATTAAAGTTTCATTTAGAGGGCAACTTTTACAATTGCAAAGCTTCCAAGGGAACCATAATGTTTGTTAGTAGTTATTTAGCAAAATTATAGTTGACCATAGAAAACAATATTATGACACCATTTAAAATAATGATAAAGATCTATACCTACTTAAACAGTAATCATAGTATATTTTGGCATGATAAAAGTATGTTATAGTACAGCATGCATATTATGATTACGCTTTTAAAATGTCAGGAAAAGATTTGTAAAAATTTGAAAGTAGTCACCTCTGGTAGGATTACACAATCTTTTTTATTTTTGTGCTTTTCTGTTTTCTCTCTTTACAATAAGAAAACATTAATTATACAAAAGAAAAAAATACAGCTGCCTTCGAAAACAAAGTTACAATTCTGCCAAGAACTAAGAGTCTATGTAACACAATTTATAGTGGAGTACTGGCAGAAGTACAGATCTATATAGGTCACAGCAATAGAAAAGATGACCCTAACACATAAGCTAATATAAAGAAGGCAGGAGAACAAACAGGGATGAAGGAATTACTGAATAGTTCTGAGATAGAATCTTTCTTTTTTGAGGAAAGGGAAGTTTAGAATTTAGACCTTAGATTTACATTTTAAAATATATCTGATTAATGTTATATATAAAATTTATAAGTATATTAGACAAAAGTGTTAACAGGGTGTAATAGGTTGAACTGTGTCCCCACTAAAATGATACACCCTAACCCCTGGTACTTGTGAATATGATCTTAATTGGAAATAGAGTCTTTGCAGATATAATTAAGATGAGGTCATTAGATGACCCTAATCCACAAACTGATCCATATAAAAGGAGAAGAGACAGAGATACACAAAGAGAATGCAATGTGAAGGAGGAGGCAGAGGTTGGAATGATGTAACTGAAAGTCAAGGAATACCAATGACTGATGGCTGTCACCAGATGTCAGGAGAAAGGCATGGAACAGATTCTCCCTTGCAGTCCTCAGAAGGAACCAACCCTGTCAACAAACTTGATTTTGGGTTTCCAGGCTCCAAAACTGAGACAATAAATTTCTTTTGTTTTAAGCTACCAAGTAATTGGTATTTGGTACTTTGTTACAGCAGCCCTAAAAAACTAGTACACAGGAGAAACTTTGATCTTGCATATCCTGAGTTAATTACCTGTTTTAAAAAAATATCATAAAGGTAAACAAAAGAACCTTTCTTTCATTCAACCAGTATGAATTCCCTCATGGCGAATGAGGTCTGAGCGACTACCAAATGCCTTTCCACATTCCTTACAGTCAAAGGGTTTCTCACCAGTATGAATTTTCTGATGTCTAGTAAGGTTTGAACCTTTATTGAAGGCTTTCCCACATTCATTACATTCATATGGTTTTTCATCTGTATGGATTCTCTGATGTTGAATAAGTTCTGAGCTCTGGATAAAGGCCTTACCACATTCTTTACATTGATAGAGTTTCTTGCCAGCATGAATTCTGCAATGGTTAGTAAGTGTTGAGGCACTACTAAAGGCCTTTCCACATTCCTTACATTCATAAGGTTTCTCACCAGTATGCATTCTCTGATGCTGAATAAGCCTCGAGTGTTGAGTAAAGGCTTTCCCACATTCCGTACATTCATAAGGTTTCTCACCGGTGTGAATTCTCAGATGTGGAAAAAGTTGCGAACTTTTAGTAAAGGCTTTCCCACATACTTTACATTCATAGGGTTTCTCACCAGTGTGAATTCTTTGATGATGATTAAGGTTTGAGTAATAATTAAAGGCTTTTCCACATTCTTTGCATTGATAGGGTTTCTCACCAGTGTGAATCCTCTGATGTTGAGAAAAATATGAACTACAACTAAAAGCCTTGCCGCATTCCTTACATTCATAGGGTTTTTCACCAGTGTGAATCCTCTGATGCCTAATAACAAGTGAGCCACGACTAAAGGATTTTCCACACTCCTTACATTCATAGGGTTTTTCACCATAATGAATTCTCTGATGTTGCATAAATTGTGAGTTCTGATTAAAGGTCTTTCCACATATCTTACATTCACAGGGTTTCTCTTCATTATTTGTTTTTTGATGTAGAGTGAGAAAGGTGGGTTGAATAAAAGTGGGCATGTCTTTATGGGTAAGTATTACTTGTCTGAAATGTCTTTTCTTTAGGGATAATATCTTGGTCTCACGCATTGATTCCAGATCTGAAAGAAAATAAAAAGGCAAATTCACTCATTTTTTCTACGCTGGGAAGTTACCCAAAAAAGATATGGAAGGATTAAATTGAAAATAATATGCAGGAAATTAAATGCTTAGGCGATTCTCAAATATGGCTAAGCAATTTGTAAAACTGACAGGAAAAAAGCAGACAGTAGACAGGTAATAGAAGAATGTGAGGATGGTGATTAGGTAAGTATTAATATTAATAGATAACCTCTATCATTCTCAAATTTTGGTGTAGATCAGAATCACCTTTGGTGAATACAGAGTGATAAGGGTCATCCTTGATATTATACAGTGATTCCAGTCATATACATGTATATAAATATATACCCACATATACAGAGCACCATACTGTATGTTTTGCAATTTGTGGATAATTGTCAGACCTACATCAAAGGACTGTTGATCCAGCAATCTCACTAATGTTTATTTATCCAAAGGAAAGGAGATCAGTATATAAATGGAATATCTGCACCCCCATGTTTATTACAGCACTATTCACAATAGCCAAGACACAGAATCAACTTAAGTGTCTGTTAACAGATGAATGAATAAAGAAAATGTGGTATATATACACAATGGAGTATTATTTAGCCACAAAAAAGAATGAAATCCTGTCATCTGCAGCATCATGATGGAACTGGAAGTCATTATGTTAAATGAAATAAGCCAAGCACAAAAAGACAAATATTGCATGTTCCAACTCATGTAGGAGGCAAAAAAGCTAATTTCATGGAAGTAGAAAGTAGAATCATAGTTACCAAAGGCTGAGAAGGGGGGTGGGAATGAAGAGAAGTTGGTTAATCAGGTACTAACATACAGCTAGGTAGGAGTAAGTTCTAGTGTTTGAAAGCACAGTAGGGTAACTATAGTTAACATTTCAAAAAAGCTAGGAAAAGATTTGAAATGTTCCCAACACAAAGAATTGATAAATGGTTGAGGTGATAGATAACCTAAATACCGTGATTTGATCCTTATACATTGTATGTATGTATCAAAATATCACACGTACCCCATAAATATGTATAATTATCAATAACTTTTTTTTAAACTTTGTTAGAGATCTAATGTACAGGAGGGCTATAGTTAGTAATATTGTATTGTACACTAGGAATTTGCCAGAAGAGTAGCTTTTAGGTATTCTTACCATAAATAAAGGAAGAACAGTTGTAGTTATATGAAATTATTTGCTTGACCAGTAATTACTTCAGTATGTATATGTGTATCAAAACATGTTGTACATTTAAATTTATACAATAAAAAATAGCTTGTTCATAGAAAAAATAAAAACAAATTTAAAATATATGTTTAGTTCTTGTTATTCATAGTAGTTATGTTCTATGACTTCACCGTGAACACTGAATTAGTCAACACTGAACTACTGCTTTTGTCAGTTAATCAATATATAATGCGGTAGATATGTTTGTTTAAAGACACTTTCTTTAATATGTATTATTGATTGATTACCACTGAACCCACAGCCAACAGCACTATAACTCTCGCCTGAATAAAGTTTATCTAACACATGTGTTTTCTCCATAAGGCACATCAGAGTCTTCATGTGCTCAGGGATACTAGGCAGCACTTTAGCACTATGGGGGGGGGCGGGGCGGGGCATTTTAACAATGAATTATTAAGAAAAGCCCAAAAATGCAAAAAATGTGCCCCTAAATAGACTATAAAAACAATACTTTTTTACAGTATGAAAGCTAAAACAAGAAGGCAGAGCAACACCTTTTTTGATCTCAACTGGGAATATGTGTATTAGGACACTCAAATTTCTTGAACTCTACATATGTCCACTAAAGCTCTGCAAGTTATAAATAAATTTTAGTGAGCAGGTAAATTTGCAAATACAGAATCTATGAGTAATAAGCAATGATTGTACTTTTAATTAAAAAGGGGCATAATTTCTGATAAAAATGGCAGATTATACATGTTTACTATTCATGAATCCGCAGTAAAATTATAGTTAAAGCTTAACAAAGAGAGGTCAGGAGTTCAAGACCACCCTGAGCAAGAGTGAGACCCCATCTCTACTAAAAATAGAAAAATGAGCCATGCAACTAAAAATAGAAACAAAAAATTAGCTGGATGTGGTGGCCTGTGCCTGTGCCTGTAGTCCCAGTTACTCGGGAGGCTGAGGCAGGAGGATCACTTGAGCCCAGGAGTTTGAGTTTGCTGTGAGCTGGTCTGACACCATGGCACTCTAGGCCAGGCAACAGAGTGAGACTCAGTCTCAAAACAAACAAACAATATAACACCATTAACATATCAAATAAACACAATGCTCAACCAAAAAAGCCAAAGGCAACAGACTAAATACCATATGATTCTATTTACATAAAGATCAAAAACAGACAAAACTAATCCATGCTGCTAGGATGGTGTTTACTTTGGAGGAGAAAAAAAGAGACTAGTGATTAGGAAGGGGCAAAGAAAGAGTTCTGAGGCACTAGTAATGTTCTATTTCTTTTCCTGAGTGGTGGTTACGTGGATACATTCACTTCACACAATTCATCATGCTGTAAAATCATGTAGTTTTCTGTATGTATGTTATATTTGAATTTTTCAAAAAGTAAAAAATGTTGACAAATAATCAAATGTTGACAAACAAAAGAATGAATTGCTAAATCTAGGACAAACTGGTCAAGAAGTTAAATAATTGGAAAGCAGATAAAATGAAAATTAATACAGGGAAAGAAAAATACACATGTATTTCTTTAGGGTGGGATATCAACTGTTACACAAGTCTAAATGCAGTGTATCCTAAGAAGGAATGAAATAGAAAATGTAGGTAAAATAACTGCTTTGCAAATGAAGGAAATTAATATCAATATACTATATTGGACTGGCAAGAAAGTACAAGAGGAAAAAAAGCATGGTAGCTCACATGGAAGAGGTCTTGGGCCTTTGAAGAGAGCTTCCTGATAATATCTCAGAGGTAATGGCTCTGCTCTTGCCCTATCATCTATTACTTACCTGAACAGAGGCCTCTGGTCAGTTCTCTCTCAACCATCCATGGCTCTTTTCCTTGTTCCAATAAAGAGATCACAGCTGGCTTAGAATTTGAAAGTCCTGCTCACAAGAAAAGACATGGGACATGGTTATGCTGTGAGTGTCCCAGAAATCAGATCAGTTCCTTGGTGATCAAGGAAGAGATGCCACTACAGGAAGGCCCAGAGAAAGATGGAGAAGATGATGCTTCATTCACAGCCCACTCGAGCTGCCTATTTCCAACTCTTCCATTCCATTCCAGCTCAAATCATTCCTTGAGGAACAGGGAGTACAAATTCAGCTGGTTACTTGAAGTGAATATTCAAAATGGAGAAGGAAGACATTCCCAAGGGCAGATTTTGAATTTGGGGGGATAGTTATTCTTACCCACTGAAACTAGGTTGCTGAAATTCTCCAACATCACTTCTTTGTATAAATTCATCTGACGAGAGTCCAGACATTCCCATTCCTCCTGAGAGAAGTCTATGGACACATCCCTGAACATCACTGACACCTGAAACAACAAACATGCTTTCATAATGAAGGAGTAAAGAAAAGGATGGTAGTAGAAGAGATGGAAGAAAGCCCTGTAGGAAAGGACAGAGTAAACAAACTGAAGGGTGGGACTCTTATCATATCAGTAGAAGACATATCTCCTGTACACGGATGGGTATGTCTAGGAATGTACAAATAGATTGAACATTTCCAATGATATGAAGCAGCAAGCACTCAGGTCAAGGAGTGAGCTCCTTCTCTATTCCTTTTTTCCCTTTAAGCCCCAAGAAAAGGAAAAATGTGATAGACTTTCAAAAATATCTTACAAGATATTTTAGAGTAACATTTCAGAATATTAGGGGAAAACAGAACTTTCTAAAAGCTCCAGGAAAACACAGATCATATAAAAATGTTCAGGAATCAGAATGGAGATAGAATTTTCAACAGCATCATTAAAAATAAGAAAACAAGCAATTACTTTAATATTACAAAGGAAAATAAATTCTGATCTAGAATTCTATGTCTGGTCAAATTACTAAGCTAGTATGAAGATTAAGTCAAAATGACTCTAGATCTGCAGGGGATGATAAAATCATCTCTGATGTAGCTCTTCTTAGGAAGCTACTGGACTATGTGTTCCATCAAAAGTAGGGAGTAAATTAGGAAAAAGAAAAGATGTTATATTCAGAAACTGGAAACTAACACGGGAATGGTGAACAAAGTCCCAGTATAATTGTAAAAGCCAAGTCCCAGTATAGTGTCTGGCAGCAGATTTAGAGAGCAGCATCTAGGAACAGAAGAACAGAGGACTACAGGAAAGAAGTCTCCAAGGAAAAATAAGAAGCTAACATATTTGATCACATGGAAAATATTGACAAGCAACTGACAGCAATGTTGGAGAATTTGAAAAAAAATTATCAACACATACATGAAAGCAGGAAAATGATGAAACAAGGCAATTAATTCTCAGATAAATACAAATCGTACTAGAAAGAATCCAGGTTCTAGTGTACTAAGTGGCTTATATTAACAATAGCTACAAGGTCCTAATCACAAGGATAGCAATGATTTTTTTTTTTTAATTGTGATATAACTCTATTGCAGGGTAAGAAAATGAGGACTGTGGTATGGGAAATCTCAATCCACATTTATCTGCCAGGAAGTCACCAAAAATGTCTATCAAAAATAGCAATACAGGAATAATAATTTGAAATATAAGAAAAATGCCAAGAGAAACAGCAAAAAGAGTTCAGAGTAGCCACCTAAAGGAAGTGGGATTGGGTAGTGGCACAATGCCTTGTCATTTTTCACAAGTCTTTTAACATTTCTTCAATTTTTAAAATGCAAAACTGCTCAAACATTAATTTAAAATACCAGTATTTTAGACAAGAACATACTCAAATTTTTGGAAAACTGTAGTTTTTTTAAGACTGTTAGAAGAATTATTTGCTATTAACAAATTCTTTAACTTTTACAATTTTATGGTGGCAGAAATTTCTATAATATAAATATTACTGAATAAACCTTGTATTTCAGACATTTTGTTAGGCAAAATCCTTAAGATCCTTCCGAGATATGCACTCCCCTCCCCATACCTTGTCCCATGCATCTCTTCCATTTTGCTGCTCCTTAGTTGCCCTTTATAATAAAATGATAATCATAAGTATACTGCTTTCCTGAGTTCTGTGAGTTGTTCTAATGAATTATTGAACCTGAGGGAGAGTCATGGGAACCTCTCAATCTGGTCAGCTGGGCAGAAGTTCAGTGCCTTGGGGATAACCAAGACTTGTGGCTGGCATCGCAAGTAGGGGCAGTCTTGTGGGACTGAGGTCCTTTAACTTGTAGGGTTTGTGTTAACTTTAGGTAGTGTCAGAATTCAATTGAATCGTAGGACACTCATAGGTGTCCAAGAATTGGTTGTTGTTTGGAAAAGGACACGCATTACCATCTGATAGGAGAAATGATGCCAAGCAAGAGAGCCCCTTTAGATTCCAGAGTCCAAAGTGGAATGATGAGATTCTTTGCGAGAATTTTTGCTGTATTCTCTGGAGTTTAGAGGGCACTAAGACAGTACCTATTCCTCTCCCTGGACCACACGTGGACCCAATGAAGGGACAAAAAGACCTCAACAAAGAAGTGAATCACAGAATGCCAAAGTACATGACAGGTATTATAAGTAGCCATTTCAAGGAGATGTGCTGCCTGTATCACAGAAAAAACAATTACAAGTTTCCAATAGGGACTTCTCTTAGAAACCCATAAAAAAACCCTATTAGAAAAGGAGTGTTAAACATCCATCAAGGAAAGGGAGACCAACACCAAAACAAGTCAAGAAAGACTTTCCTTTTCCTTACCTCCTTTTCTCTGCCTCTGTTCTAATCTCATAGGACCAGAGACTGCCTATTGGGTGGGAGAAAGAAAAGCTCAGGATAAGGAAATTGTGAAGTTTAATATGCCTCCCTTTCACATTCCAAGATTATAGTTTGAAGGAAGCCTGAGCTCAAAGAAGAGGCTTTGAATAAAACTTATGTATTATCCCACTGAAGTAGAGGTTGTAATTAGTAAAATGAGACTGATCTTGTGACTGAAAACAATCAAAGGATACCAAAGAGCGAGCAAAACAATTATAGAGTCTGCATAAGTTTTTATCCAGGGCAACAAAATTTAGCCCACAGAGATGGTTGAGAGTAGACATTATGAGGGTAAAAAAAGGAATTTATTTTGCTTACTTCATAAAGAGTCTTGTTTATTTCAAAGTGCTGGTTAGATTTGCTTTTCCAGGTACACAGCCAATCATGTGTTACAAGTGATAATCTTATATCCTCTTTTCTAATTTTTAACCTGTTTTTTTCCTGTTTAGTTAATATCTCCAAAACAATGTTAAATAACATCAATAATGGTGCATATCCTTGTTTTTTGTTTTTAGGTTAGCTTCTGATAACAAAATTCATTTTACTCCTTTTAAAATTTAAATGCCACTGCAGTATACTACTTCCCTAGAAATGCCCTTAATATTGTGCAGCAATATTTTTTTTTTTTTTTTTTTTTGAGACAGAGTCTCGCTTTGTTTCCCAGGCTAGAGTGAGTGCCATGGCGTCAGCCTAGCTCACAGCAACCTCAAACTCCTGGGCTCAAGCAATCCTCCTGCCTCAGCCTCCCGAGTAGCTGGGATTACAGGCATGCGCCACCATGCCCGGCTTGTGCAGCAATATTTACTGTAGAAATGGTAAGTGTAATTAGAAGTGGATAGGACAGAGGAACTAGATATTCTATTTGGGCTTTAGCACAGGAGACAAGATTGAGAAGACTCAATTCTCTTATAAAGAAATTCAGATAAAAAGGCCTTACACTGAATAGATGTAAGAAGAATTATTCTTATTCTGATTCTCTTTGCATCTGTATCAAACACATACATTTTAAAAATTGAGAGTAAGCCCACCTAGAGTTCCAAATTTATACCTTGAGAAAAAAAGATTCCTATTTTGAGTCCTCTACCCTAATATGGACTCTATCATTTTTAGATAATACAATCATATGGTGAATGGATAACCTTATAATTTTGTGAGTTTCCCAAGATTAGAAGTGCTGAAACACAAATCAAATAAAGACATTTTTACTACTACTGGAGGGAAGAATTCAAAAACTCTAGTTGCCATGCCCACTGCCCCCTCCTGAGATGAGGTAAAGTTCTTTTGTTTAATATTGCTTTGACTTGAGCTGTAAGTATCAACTGTAAAAACCAAAAAGGAACTAAGAGAAAAAAAAAAGAACTAGAAATTTTTTTTTTTTTTTTTTGAGACAGAGTCTTGCTTTGTTGCCCAGGCTAGAGTGAGTGCCGTGGCGTTAGCTCACAGCAACCTCAAACTCCTGGGCTCAAGCAATCCTTCTGCCTCAGCCTCCCAAGTAGCTGGGACTATAGGCATGCGCCACCATGCCCGGCTAATTTTTTCTATATATATTAGCTGGCCAATTAATTTCTTTCTATTTATAGTAGAGATGGGGTCTTGCTCTTGCTCAGGCTGGTTTTGAACTCCTGACCTCGAGCAATACGCCCGCCTCGGCCTCCCAGAGTGCTAGGATTACAGGCGTGAGCCACCGCACCTGGCCAGAACTAGAAATTTTAACCTATGTTTAGTTAGAATTTGAGAAGAAGAAAGAGAAAGAATGAGACATGGGTTCTTTGAAGAGATAATAACTAAGGATTTTCCTGAACTAACAGTAGACCCCTATATACAAATTAAAAGACTCCTAAAAATCCCAAGCCGATAAATAAAAAGAGAAGCATATTTATATATCTTACACTAAAATTACACAGAACCAAAAACAGAAAGTCCTTAAAATAGCCAGAGAAAGAAAAGATAGATTACCTCCAAAGGAAAACAGCTAAATTAATCAAGACTTTGTGATAGTAGCACAGGAATATATAAATAGATCAATGAAACAAAAAAAAGAGCTCATAAATATATCCCTGCACATAGAGACATGGGATATATGTGAAGACCAGTAAAGACCAGTATCAATATTATGGTACTGAGAAAACTGGGTATTAATAAGGTGGGAAAAGCCTAACCCCTACCACACAGCAAATAAAAGGCCAGTTACAAGTGGACTAACTATCTAAACAGGAAAGCAAATTTTATAGCTTTAATAAATATAGGAGAACATTTGCATGATCTTGGGACAGGTAAGGATTTCTTAAATAAGATACAAAACACCACTAACCAGAAAGGAAAAAAACTGATAAACTCAACTTCGTTAAAATTAGAACTTCTCTTTATAAAGTCATGTTAAAGGAAGTGATAAAACAATCCAAATAGTAGGAAAATCAATAGAGGGCCCATACAGATTATATAAATAACTCCTATGAATCAATAAGAGATATTCCAAGAGAAAAACAGGTAAAGATTTGAATAGACATGTTAAAAAAGACACCCTAATGGCCAATAAACATATGGAATGGTGTTCGATCTCATTATTAACCATAGAAATTCAAATTCAAACCTAGGGGGGGAGGTTGTATGTATGAAAAAAATTTTTTTTCTTTTCTTTTTTTTTTCTTTTTGAGACAGAGTCTCATTCTATTGCCCAGGCTAGAATGCCACGTGGCATCAGCCCAGCTCACAGCAACCTCAAACTCTTGGGCTCAAGCAATCCTGCCTCAGCCTCCCGAGTAGCTGGGACTACAGGCACACACCACTGTGCCCAGCTAATTTTTTCTATTTTTACTAGAGACAGAGTCTTTCTTTTGCTCAGGCTGGTCTTGAACTCCTGAGCTGAAATGATCCTCCTGCCTCAGCCTTCCAGGGTGCTAGGATTACTGGCATGAGCCACCACGCCATGCCATAAATATATATTTAAATAAGGATTTTAAAGTCTGACACATATGATCTGAAGAAAAGTATAACCCATAGCTCTCTAATACAAAGAAATATGTATCTTTGAAAAATTGTATTTACCAAGACCATTTGATGACACAGGAGAATATTTATGATACTGTTTAGTGAAAATGTAGGCTATAAAATGGTAAATGAAGTAAAATTTGATTTTGGAAAAATAATGAAAATACATTAATACTAGTTATTTGAAAGGTGAAATTCTATTTTTTCTTGGTAATTCCATGTTTTGGAAATCTCTAAAATAATCATGCTTCTATTTTCAAATCATATTTAAAAAGAAGAAAATTCTGGGCCGGGCGCGGTGGCTCACGCCTGTATTCCTAGCACTCTGGGAGGCCAAGGCGGGCGGATTGCTCGAGGTCAGGAGTTTGAAACCAGCCTGAGCAAGAGCGAGACCCTGTCTCTACTATAAATAGAAAGAAATTAATTGGCCAACTAATATATATATATATATATATATATAAATAAATTAGCCGGGCATGGTGGCACATGCCTGTAGTCCCAGCTACTCGGGAGGCTGAGGCAGAAGGATTACTTGAGCCCAGGAGTTTGAAGTTGCTGTGAGCTAGGCTGACGCCACGGCACTCACTATAGCCTGGGCAACAAGCGAGACTCTGTCTCAAAAAAAAAATAAAAAATTAAAAAAATAATAAAATAAAATAAAAAGAAGAAAATTTAGCAAGCAGAAGTGGAACCATTTTTCAAATAGTTGAACATTAGGTATATGGAGGGTATTGGGCTTGAATACCAAGCTCAATAATCCTTTTTGGCAATGGGGAAATTATAGGGACCTATAATCTAATGACATATCTTTATTAAGCAAGAATTTTCAGATAAAAAGCAAAGAAGAAACTCCAACACACCTTCGATATTGCTTGTAGAAGTTCATCGTGCATTCTTTTATTCTCATCTGAGGGACTCAACTGGAGAATCATGGAAGTGGAAGAGGAAAATAATTGTGAGACAGCAGGTTTTTCTTAGTACCTAAATTGGTCAGGTCAGAGGTCAGCCCCAGCTCCAGCCCCATTACCCACCACACACACGAATGGAGATCAGAGGAGAATGAGGCATCCTGTCCAATTCATGAAAATCAGGGGAAGGCTGAGTTCACTGCTGTCTAGGGCTAGAATCTGACTGGATCAGAGAGGTTTCCTAGGGACATAGTTCTGGAGTCACAAATGACACAGCTGCCAGGAGCCCCACAACCCCACACACAGTGCTATGTACATTTAGGCACCGTCATACTTAAACCAAGGGGACACACACGGTAATATAGTTACAATCACATATATCACGGGATACACAATTACAGTCGCTGGCATCCTACAGTGTCGCACACAGTCACAAGACAGACACACACAGTCCCAACCCCACAATGACAGGCATCCCCACAATTACAGGCACGTAAAACCTCGGTGTCACAATCTGTCTCACAAACAATTCCACAACCTCCCCTCTGCACGCCCCTCTGCCCGCGAGGGTCGGAAGCCCCAGCTCCCTGCTGGCCTTCGGTATTCTCACCTAAGGCCTTTCCGGTCTTTCGGGATGGGAACCTGCAGACCGAGCCGGTTACCCGGGGAACCAGAACCTCTCACCTTTCTGATCTAACAGTCCCGCCAGGCGTGACGAAACATTCGAGTTCCTGCGAGAAAAGAGGACACCAGGCCCTCTGGGAAATGTGGTCCGCGGAAGAACCCGAGCCGATTTCGTCAGCGCCCCACTGTGCCCACCCGAAACGCCTGCTCCAGCAACTCTCAACGTCCAGCTGAGGCTCAGAGTCGCGTGTCGCCGTCGCGCGGCAGACCCGCGCACCCCAGCTCCCTCACGTAGGAAACGCCGACTGCTTCCGGCCGGAAGTTGAGTGGGGCCGCGAGGCCTTCTGGGAGGTGTTGTGCTCTGGAACGTCGTGGGCGCCGAGGGATGGTTCGGTGTTACCGGCGTCCGTGGAGTTGTTATCTCCCGGTCACCTTCTCCCAGCCTCTCAGGAACTGCGAGCTGGCTGCACATGCTGGCGTTTCCGGCAGGTGATGCTGCCGGGTCCCCGTAGCGAGGGGTGAGGGAGGGACTCGTCCAGTCTGGACTCTGGACCGTACCGGCCGCGGCGGCTGATGGGACGGAGCGTCTTAGGCCCAGAGTGTCCGGAGTAGCGGCACGGGGCAGGGCTCCGGGTGCGAGTACGCTACTGGTGAGTTGTTGGAGCAAAAACTGTGGTGGGAGTTAGTGCGGGTGTGTGATTGTGACGCCGTGAGTAATTGTGAGGGAGTGATTGTGATGTGGGTGTTTGTGTCACGGTGATGTTTTTGGTGATGACTGTGGTGAGGTGTGTGATAATGTGTGTGATTGTGATTAAGAGTGTTGTGTTGTGAGTGTGAGCGTGGCGGAGTATGCGTGTTTGTGATAAATATAATGGTTCTTTTCTTACTTGAGTAGATTTCTCTGTAGCATTTGGTATAATAGGTAACCACTTTTAAAAAATTCTATTGTTTTAGTCATTCTTCCGTTTTCACCACCCCTCCTTAGTCTCCTTTGCTGCCTCCTTCCCCTCCAACAGTCCTTGGTCCTGTTCTGTAGCTTTCCAGTTTTCCTTCGTGACCTTCATAAGGTCCATTAATATTTTATGGCTTGCTTCTTTTATTATGTGTATTAGTTAGCTATTGCCATGATAATAACGATGTTTAACAAATCACCCCTAAACTTAGTGGCATACAAGGGCAAGTATTTATCATGTTCATAGGTTTACAGGTTCCCTGTGTTCAACTGTTCTAGGCTGGGCTTGGCTGAGTGGTTGGGCTGCAGGATGAGTTAGATCTGCTTGGCATGTGTTCTTTCAGGGGCTGAAGCCAAAAGGACAGTAATTACCAGGGCATTTTCTTAATAATGGATCAACAGAGCACAGGACAGATCATGCAAACACCCTTAAAACCTCTGCTTTCAAATAGATTAATATTATGTTAACCAGAACAAATCACATGGCTAATATCAATTATATCCACAGTTGAAGGGCAAGGCAAAGTTACCTGGCAATGAGTGTTAATGTGTTAATATAAACCTATTAGAGTGGGGTGAGGAATTGGGACCAAAATTCCAATCTACCACACTAAGAAACATGCCTCTTTATCCTCCTGAGTGCCTTTTAGTCCAAGTTCTTTTTTGTCTGATAATATTGCTTTTCAGGTTTTGTTAGTGTATTTGTCAATAATTTAATTTTCTAACCACTTTCCTTTGTGTCTTTATGTTTCAGATCTGTTTTTTATAAAGAGCATATTCCTGGGTTTGTTACCCTTTTATCCTGCTTGACTTATTTTAATAGGTGAGTTTAATTCAGTTGCATTTATCGTGATTGGTGATAAAATGTTTTATTTTCTATTACTTTTTATTTCTTACACCTTTTAAAAATTCTTATTTCATCATATTATGGGGGTAAAAATGTTGTTAAGGTTACATATATTGCCCTTGCCACTCCTCCTCCTCTTATACCTTTTTTTTTTTTTTTTTTTGAGACAGGGTCTCACTTTGTTGTCCAGGCTAGAGTGAGTGCCGTGGCGTCAGCCTAGCTCACAGCAACCTCAAACTCCTGGGCTCAAGTGATCCTCCTGCCTCAGCCTCCCAAGTAGCTGGGACTACAGGCATGCACCACCATGCCCGGCTAATTTTTTGTATATATATTTTTAGTTGGTCAATTCATTTCTTTCTATTTTTAGTAGAGACGGGGTCTCGCTCAGGCTGGTTTCGAACTCCCAGCCTTGAGCAATCCGCCCACCTCGGCCTCCCAGAGTGCTAGGATTACAGGCGTGATCTTATACCTTTTTAATGAAACTTTTATTGATATATAATAGTTGTATATATTATACCTTTTTAATATATATATTATACCTTTGTGCAGGTTCACTTTATCCCTTTTTCTTTCTCTGCTAATTTGATTTCTGCTTTTATTCTTGAATTTTTAACATGCATATTTAACAAAATCCAAACATGAATAAGACTTTAAAACACTTGAACTGCAAACTACACACTAATTTCTATGTTATTCTTGTCTAATGTATTACTTTCTTCTAGTTTTAAATCCCCAAATTAGTAGTGGTAGCTCATTTGTTCTATATATAGTTGTCCCTTGGTGCCAGGACCCTCCACAGATACTAAAATCCACAGATGCTCAAGTCCCTTATGTAAAATGGTATAGTAGTATTTGCACATAACCTACACATATCCTCCCATATCTTGTCCACGGGAAGGTTTTCAGGGACAATAAACTGCATAGAACTATCATATTCTATGACAATAACACTGTCTTCTGGAATACCTCCTGAAAGGCCTGCCTGAGAATGTTTTACAGTTAACGTTGCTCTTGCTCAGGGCGGTCTCAAACTCCTGAACTCAAGTGATCTCCTGCCTCGGTCACTCAGAGTACTCGAATTACAGGAGTGAGCACCACACCAGGCTGTATTATCATTTTTAAGTATTATGTACTGTACATAATTTTACATGCTACACTTTTACATGACTGGCAACAAAGTAGGTTTGTTTATACTAGCATCACTGCAAATATGTGAGTAATGCACTGTACTAAGAGATGTTACAGCGGAGACAAGATATGGAGGTTAAAGACAGTGGTATTGGTCATCCTCACACTGTATGGACCTACACTAATATGTATGCATGTGTGTCTTAGTTTTTAACAAAAATGTTTAAAACTAAAAAAAACTTAAATTGAAGAAAGCTTATATAATAAGGATATAACAAAGAAAATATTTTTGTACAGCTTTACAGTGTGTTTTAGCTCTGTTATCACAAAATAATCAAAAATTTAAAAGTTTATAAAGTATAAAAGTTACAGTAAGCTAAGGCTAATTTATTATTAAAGAGTGAAAAATATATTTTTATAAATTTAGCATAGCTTAAGTGTGTATAGTGTTTATAAAGTCTCCAGTAGTGTATCGTAATGTCCTAGGCTTTACATTCACTCACTACTCACTCACTGACTCACCCAGTTTCAGTCTTGCAGGCTCCATTCATGGTAAGTGCCCTATGCAGGCGTACCACTTTTTATCTTTTATTCTGTACTTTTATTATACGTTATGTATGTTTAGATATATTTAGATGTAGAAATACTGAGAGTGGTGTTACAGTTGCCTGCAGTATGCAGTAAAGTAACATGCTGTATAGTTTTGTAGCCTAGGAGCAATAGGCTATACCATATAGCTTAGATGTATAGTAGTCTGTGCCATCTAGGTTTGTGTAAGTACACTCTATCATGTTTGTACAACATTGAAATTCTCTAATGACACATTTCTAAGAACATATCCCCATCACTAAGTGATGCATGACTGTACAACATAGTTTGTCAGAAGGTGGTAATCATCATGAAAAAAAATAATAACTATATGAGTGGTATTAGGAGTATATCCCAAGCATAGCACTTTAAAAAATTTATTATAATTTAATGTTTTCTATTTTATTATTTCTGTTCTATCATGTAGGGCAAAGATTTCCTTTCTTATGAATCTTTTTTTACCCTTTGCTCAGTAAAGGCTCATAGCAGTTGGTAAATTAATATATCTTAACTTACTTAATAGCCATTTCTTTTACTCATCCAATATCATTATGACATGGACATAATTCTTATTTCAAATGAAGAGTCTTGGAATTCTAAATTGCAGCTCTTTCTCCTTCAGTTACCAAGCTACCTAATATAGGAAATGTAATAGTTGGACTTTAAATGAAGCTCTCTTTTGCTCCACATCTTGAATTGCTGCAAATCTGAGTGTTTTTTGACTTTATATCTTTCACTGCATTGAGCCTACACCTTTTTACTCATAGAGAATATTTGAAGAGCAGATAGGTGAACATCATTTGTTTCTAGACTCTTGGTGTTTCTGTTGAATGCTTTGTTCAGCTTGGGATGGATTGCTGAGTCCTTGAGTTTTCCTCCAGAATTCTGCTAGTCTCTGTGTTTAGCATCTCTGGTCAGTGACTTCAGAGAGTATGAGTTACAAGCAATGAAAATTAGTGTTTGGGGGCTGTTTTAGTTATCTATTACTGTGTAATAAATTGCCTGAAAACTTAGTGGCTTAAACAACAGTAAACATTATTTTACGGTTTCTGTGGGGAGTGACTTAGCTGGGTATTTTGGCTTGGATATCTCATGAAGTTGCAGTCAAGATGTCCTCAAGGCTGCAGTCGTCAGAAAGCTGGACTGGGGCCGGAGAAGTTGTTTCCAAGATGGCTGGCAAGTTAGTCGATAGGAGGCCACTCCGTAGTGCTAGGTGAATGTCTTCATGGTGTGGCAGCTGACTTCTCTCAAAGTACATGGTCCAAAAATGTTAAACACAGAAGCCTCAATGTCTTCTATGACTTAATCTTAGAAGTCACACACCAACATTTCTGCAATATTCTATTGGTTATATGGGTCAAACCTATTCAGCGTGGGGTGCCTACAAAAGGCATGAATACCAGAAGCCCATGATCACTGGGGGGTTACCACAGGGAGCCAATGAGTGAGTAAGACATCAGGTAAATTGGATTTATGTCCTAACCTACAGATCCTGGCTCCACAAGGATAAAACAGATCTTTGGTTTGAGTAGAAAGAAGCCTGAGGAACAGAATCTATCATGGAAGGACACCTTCTGAACTGAGACCTGCCTCAGAGGCTGGAGAGTCCTGGGAAAGAGTGGATCCTGGAGTTGCTACACCTGGAGTTTATCTTGACGCTTCTCCTATCCAGAGCGGGGAAGGTGTGAATGACTTCTCAACTTTCAGAGATCAGCAATAGCTGTGTGACAATGGAGCATTTGACCCAGATGTTGGAAAGGAGAGGTGAGGTGGCTCAGAGGTGGGCAGAGCTTAGGAGAAAAGGCTATATGTTTAGGCACAATATAAAAGAGTTAGGAAATTCAGTACTCCCACCAAGAAAGTTCACATGGGTGTTATTGACTGTGCGAGGTAGATATTTGTTTTTTATTTTATTAACTTGACTCTTTAAAATAAACTTTTAGATATTTCTATTTTTTTAAAAGGACACATTTAAATATATTTTTAAATGCTGTTATTAATATATAACTACAAACAAAAGTTTCCTATTCCATCCCTCCTCATCCTCTATTTTTGTTCCCCAGAGGCAACCACTTTGAACATTTTTGTCTGGATATTCTGGTATTCAATGCTGTTTTTGTGAATGACATCCTTATACTGTTAATGCTTGATTTCTCAGGTTTAGATATTTTCTGTTGTTTTTTGACGATGAAGGTAAGGATTTAGCTCTCTTTTACTACCTAACTCCTTTCTTGTTACCTGCACGCCAATATACTCTTCTCCTTGTTCTTCTTTCTGATGTGGTGTTTTATTGGAGGTTGAAGGTTGACCAAATGTCTAGATCTATAGGCATTTTCTTTTGGGCTAGCTAATTTTCCCAGCAAGAAGTTCTAAATGTTGCTTGAGGAGTACAAAACTCCTGCATTTTGGGAGGCAAACAAAGGAAGTGGGTGGGGGAGGGGGCAACTTATTTTACAGTATGAGAACTTTCACTTCATTCTTTTTCTCTACATTGCTTTGACTCCACCTTTATCTGGGTCTGGTATGCCTGAATCCATAGCCTATCTCATTCAGTATATCTAGAGAAAAAAATCTCTTTATTTTCTGTTGCCATTGTGAGGGAAATATCACCATACAATGTGAGGTGAAAGAAGGCATCATGTGGTCTTAACATCTTCTTAAAACATTTTACATTCAGTTCCCTGTTTTTCAGCCCTACTTGTAAACTCCTGACTTCAGATGGACTTCCATTACTGAGCCTTACTGGAGTCCTGACATGGCTTTCCTGCCCTCCCTTTACCCTCACTTAAGCTTCAGCTGTTTCTGGTTAAGTTAGATACCACTCATCTGTCTGCTCTATAGCTTCCAACATTTTGCTGACATCACTTATGTGCTGAAGTCTTCTATATTCTTTGTTCTTGTGAATTTTAGCTTCCTTGGTTCTTTTACTGACATTGTGGTTGGGTTTGGGAGAGAGCAGAAATAAATGCAGGTATTCTATCATCCATATTTAACCAGAAGGCCCTGAATTTGGGGGAGTAAAAAATCAGGTTTGTAATAAAAATGTCATTAAAGTTATGACTGTATCTCATTCTACCATATGAATATTCCACACTGCCTATAACCAGTCTCTGATCAAGGTTTTTTTCTAAATTCTTTATGATAAAAAATATCTTTTTGTTTTTTTTGAGATGGGATCTTGTGGCCTTGAACTTCTCTATTCGAGCAATCTTCCTACCTCAGCCTGCCAAGTAGCTGAGACTAGAGACATGCACCACTTTGCCCAACTTAAAAATATTTTTAAGGCCATCGTAATCCTTAAATGTTTCTGGTGCTTATTATTATGTACTTAAAATAAATTTCTTATTAGGAATAAAACAGCAAAACCCTAGTAAAATACTATATTGCCAATAGATTCATTGAGTACCCTCTACTTAGCCCTTCAGAAATCTCTGTCATACCCCATATAATTAAATTAGTTAACATTTCAGTGTCTCTGTAACTAGATGGTTATTAACATTTCTCATGGCTCTTAGGATCATTCATCTGTATGGGGTCTTATGACCACCTGGTACTGAACATATCTGTATTTCTTTTTCTGGAACTCTTGAAGCAAATCTGTTCTGTTTCTTTTCCTTCAGCTTGGTGTTCTCAGAACTATGCCCTTTCGGAGGAAGAAGAGGATACAACCAGATCTCTTGTACGTTTTAAGTATTTATTTGTTTTCAGCATTATTTTGAAATACAGTTACAGTGTGTTACTATAACTTACCAGTTAAGTTAGAAAAACCAAATCAACAAAAATCAAAGTGAGGAAAAATACAGATAGAAAATTAAAACTAAGGAAAATTTGGGATATGGCTATACAATGCAAAAGGCAAGTACATAAAAATTAGTAAAGTTGAGTTCAAATTTGAATATGATCTGAAGAGTCAGAGTAAACTGGGACACAAAAGTTTATTTCATAATTTGTACTATTTATGAGGAAAAAAAGTTAAAACTATTTAAGGAAAGAAAAACCTTTTCTTTTTATTTATTTATTTTTTTTGAGACAGAGTCTTGCTTTGTTGCCTAGGCTAGAGTGAGTGCCGTGGTGTCAGCCTAGCTCACAGCAACCTTAAACTCCTGGACTCAAGCAATCCTACTGCCTCAGCCTCCAGAGTAGCTGGGACTACAGGCCTGTGCCACCATGTCCAGCTAATTTTTTCTATATATATTAGTTAGCCAATTAATTTCTTTCTATTTATACTAGAGACGGGGTCTCAATCTTGCTCAGGCTGATTTTGAACTCCTGACCTCGAGCAATCCGCCTGTGTTGGCCTCCCAGAATGCTAGGATTACAGGCGTGAGCCACAGCTCCCGGCCAAGAAAAACCTTTTCATTGGCACCTAGCCAAAGAGAAATTTTAAAATACAGTCAGCCCTCCATATACATGGGTTCTGCATCCATATATTCAACCAACTGGGGACCAAAAATATTGAAATGGATGGTCACATCTATGCTGAACATGTACAGACTTTTTTCTTGTCATTTTCCCCTAAACAATACAGTATAACTATTTACATTGTATTAGGTATTATAAGTAATCTAGAAATGATTTAAAGTATATGGTAGGATGCGCATTGGTTATATGCAAATACTACATCATTTTATACAAGGGACTTGAGCATCTGTGGATTTTGGTATCTGTGTAGAGTCCTGAAACCAATCCCCCATGAATACTGAGGGACAACTGTAATTCTATAATTCTTATAATTTTAAGCTTAGTTTTTATGAGTCTTTCCCGAAGATCAAAAGATGAAATTTTCTAGGAGAATAAATGGAACATATGTCTTTCAAATGATCCTACATATATATTGTCTTCACTTGAGCTTTCAATACATGTTAAGCTAAATTATGCTAATATTCTATGGCAAAGTCTTGTAGTTCTGGTATCCATAGCTTTTACATCTTCTTTATGTCTTAGAAGATGCAGTGTTCTTTCATCGTCTTTACCAAATTATTCTCATCTGCCCTTGATTCTTTTTGTTTCTACTTCTGAAGTAAGTCACACTCCAGTGTTTTGAACACTTTCTACTTCACTGCCTTTTTTTCCTGAACTCATGTGTTTCCTATCATGAAACACACATCTTTTGACCATATGATCATGTGGTTTATCCAGTTATTTCTCCTGTTGGTATGGTGGTTCTCTGGCCCTGGACAGACTTGCATTCAAATCTTGACTCAGCGATATATAGAAGTGCATGACTATGGACAAGTTCCTTAATCTCTTTGTGCCTCAGTTGTATCATCTCTAAATGGGGATAATAATGGTACTTATCCCATAGGAATGTTGAGAGGGTTAATGCACATAGTAAGTGCTCTTTAAATGATAGGTATTGTTAATCATTATTAGCTGTATAATCTTAACTGCTTGATACAGTCTTTGGATGTGTTTTCTGTATTCATTGGCCTCCTTTTTCAGTTTAACATGTATCTTAGAAGATGAAAGAGAAGGTTGCCTGATTTGGGTTTATAAAATTAATCTTTTTCTTCAAGTAAACCACTATGAAAACTGTAAAAAGACAAAGCTGGGAACAGTTTTTGGAATGTACATATAGCAGAAATAATATGAACAATTCTTAAAAACCAATAATTAAGAAAATAGAAAATTGGGTGAAGAACATGAAGAAGTAATTGGAAGAAATGTAGGTGGACAATAAATATTTAAAAATAATTTCACAAAGAAACTGACAATTCAGATTTGCAGATATATTTTTCAGGCATATTTTGAATTTGAGGTTAATGACCATCTTTTATGAGTAAATTCCACATCATTAGTATACACATGCATTTTCTTTACAGAGTAAAAAGCTGGAAATTGTGTCAAAGGAGTTGTGATCTGTAAGTGGGACACTCATAGCTATCAAAAAGTTTCTGCAGTTTCTTAGAGATACCAGAGCCAGATATTTTGGTTTAGAGGGCCCAGAGGTCCTCAAACTACAGCCCTCAGGCCACATGTAGCCGGCTGAGGATGTTTATCTGGCCCGCCGGGTGTTTTTGCTGCCGCTGCCTGTCCTGCTTAGCAGCCCACTCGTCCCGGGTCCACAGTGCCCATGTGTGGATTGTGCATGGCACTCTCCAATGGCCCTCCAACCATCTGAGGACCGGTAAACTGGCCCCCTGTTTAAAAAGTTTGAAGACCCCTGGACTATCAAATAGAAATGGACTGCTTGCATTCTATGCCATGCAAGCTCAAACTCATTCTAGAATCTGGATGTAAATATATTCTATGACAGCTCTTATTTATATGTGAATAGAATACACAGCGGTTAGAAAAATCCTCTACAAAAGTGTTCAGTCATCCATTAGTATCTGTGGAGGAATGTTTCCAGCCTCCCCCCCCCCATACCAAAATCCATGGATGCTCAAGTCCCATATATAAAATGGTATAGTATTTGCATATAGCCAACACACATCCTCCTGTGTGCTTTAAATCATCTCTAGATTACTTAATACAATGTAAATGCTATGTAAGTAGTTGTTATACTGCATTGTTTACAGAAATGTTACGCTTATGTAGCTCTATTCCCTCTTCTTCCATTTTGTACTAGTAGTGTTATACATGTAACAAATTCAACTTGTTATAATTATTACTGCATATAGTGTTATATCTAGTAAAGAAGCAGAGAAGAGAAAATAAGAGCAAATATATATTTATAACATTTGTTATATTAACCTTCTTATTCACCATGTTTTTGATGTTCAAATTCTCTTGAATCTACTGTCATTTGCTTCATTCCACCTTTGTATTCAGGATTTTCTCTTTGACTCTAGCGTTCAGCATTTTTGCTATGATATATCTGAGTGTGGGTCTCTTTTACTTGGAGTTCATTGGAGGTATAGATTATTGTTTTTCATCAAGTTTGGGAAATATTAAGCCATTTTTTCTTTGAATTCTTTTAAATCTTTTTCTTTCTCTTCTCCTTCTGATATCCTCCCCCTTTTATATATTGGTGCACTTAATGGTATTCTACATTTCTCTGAGACTTGTTTATTTTTCCTTATTCTTTTTTCTCTTTGTCCTTTGAATTCCATTATCCCTATCAATCTGTCTTCAAGTTTGCTGCTGCTTTCTTCTGCCAGTTCAGATCTAAGCCCATCTGGTGAATTTTTCACTTTGATTATTGTACTTTAAAATTGCACAATTTTTTATGACTTCTATCTCTGTATCAGTATTCTTTATTTGATGAAACATTGTTCTCATGTCTTCCCTAATCATGACTTCCTTGAGTTCTGTATCTATAGTGGCAGCTTTGAAGTTTTAGTGTGTTAAACCAGACATCTAGGCCCTCTCACAAGCAGTTTCTGTTGTCTGCTTTCTCCCTATTGTATGGGTTTCCCTTTCCTTACTATTTGCCTGTCTGGTAATTTTTTGTTGAAAATTGAACATTTAGGTTATATACTATGCCCACTCTGGATACTGATTCCTTTCTCCTCTTTTCTTGATTTTGTTGTTGTTTGTATAGTTACTTGCCTAGATTATCTTAGTGAAGTCTATTTCCCTCAAACTTTGCATGTTCAAATTTTCATATCTGTCCTTTCTCCTGCCTTATTTTTCTTCTCTTCTATGCCATGTTCCCCATCTCCCTAGATCCTACAACCACCTGGGCAGATTCTGAGCCATTTACCTCTGAGTCTTTCAACTCTTCATCTCTGTCGCAGCCCAGTAAAAATCAGTAACCACTGTCTGCAGCTTCCTGCATAATGATTACTAATTCAATAATTAACATATTCTTACAGTATATTTCTACTATGGTTTATTTTCCCCCACAGTATAATATAAAACTTGGTAGATACGAATACCTGATAAACAGTTTTTAATGAATTCTGACCCCTGAATACTAGCTAAACAAGTTCTTACGTGTTTTGTTCATAATGCCTAACTTTGATGACTTCAAATTAATCAGGAATTCCTCTGTTTTTACAGGTCACAGTGACATTTAAAGACGTTGCTGTGGACTTCACCCAGGAGGAGTGGCAGCAAATGAAACCTGCTCAGAGGAACTTGTACCGGGATGTGATGCTAGAGAACTATAGCAACCTAGTCACAGTGGGTAAGAGTAGCTTTGTAATTTAACAGAGAATTCCTTTCTATTTCAGAAATATGTGAAAACTGTAACTTGCCAGATGAGTTGAATCTTTACTTTCTTCACATGATTATATGTGCTCCAGTCTTAGGGTAAAGGCTCATTACTTTGTGTCATTGTGTGAGTTCATTCTCCTCCTTCATAAGCCCTCAACTTGGCCTCAGCTCAAGATGTGGATGGTTGTCTCCAGCATTAACATCCAAGTCCTTTGCTGTTTCCTATAATAGGCTGTCAAGTCACCAAACCTGATGTGATATTTAAATTAGAGCAAGAAGAGGAGCCATGGGTGTTGGAGGAAGAAATGTTTGGGAGGCACTGTCCAGGTAAAAAAGTGAAAAACAGGCCGGCCACGGTGGCTCTTGCCTGTAATCCTAGCTCTCTGGGAGGCCGAGGTGGGAGGATAGCTCAAGGTCCAGAGTTTGAGACCAGCCTGAGCAAGAGGGAGACCCCATCTCTACTAAAAATAGAAAGAAATTAATTGGCAAACTAAAAATATATAGAAAAAATTAGCTGGGCATGGTGGCGCATGCCTGTAGTCCCAGCTACTCGGGAGGCTAAGGCAGAAGGATTGCTTGAGCCCAGGAGTTTAAGGTTGTTGTGAGCTAGGCTGACGCCACAGCACTCTAGCCCAGGCAACACAGTGAGACTCTGTCTCAAAAAAAAAAGTGAAAAACAGCACTGAGAAAACCACGTGACAGTTGTTCAGTGAAGGGTTGAGACCATTTCATGTTTTCCAAGATTTTCTTAAAGGCCTAGTCTTCTAGAGTGACAAATGGTATGCAATGCCTTGGATTACTGTGACATTTCTAGATATTCTTTCTGTATTGCAGATATTTTCCTTTTTCAAATTTTGGAGGGCCAGTAGCTCTATCCGATTTCAGGATGATAACCTTCACTAATCCATTTGCAGCTTTACTTTCAGGATTTATTATCCCTCTCGGTAATCCTTGGGCTCTCTTTTTTTTTATAATCATGGTTTTATTTCCTTATACTTTTCTTATATTTCCTTCAGTATTTCATGGTTGTGGAGTATTTTAAAAACATATCTATTTCACACTTAGCTTCCTTTTAATTTCTTTCCTTCCATTTCGAAAAACGTCAAATTACAGTTGGTAACAACAGTCTTATTTCCCATTGTATTTCACCACTCTCACAATCCCATGCCTTAGAAGTTTAAAAGTTTCTGACTGAGAAATCTCATGGTATCTCCTTCTTGATTATTGCCACCTTCCATTCCTTTATTTGAAAATATAGTATATGCATACTTAGTTAAAAACCTAGGCCGGGCGTGGTGGCTCACGCCTGTAATCCTAGCACTTTGGGAGGCTGAGGCAGGCGGATTGCTCAAGGTCAGGAGTTCGAAACCAGCCTGAGCGAGACCCCGTCTCTACCAAAAATAGAAATAAATTAATTGACCAACTAAAAATATTATACAAAAAATTAGCCGGGCATGGTGGTGCATGCCTGTAGTCCCAGCTACTCGGGAGGCTGAGGCAGGAGGATCGCTGAGCCCTGGAGATTGAGGTTGCTGTGAGCCAGGCTGACGCCACGGCACTCACTCTAGCCTGGGCAACAAAGTGAGACTCTGTCTCAAAAAAAAAAAAAAAAAAACAAAACAAAAAAACCCTAAATACTCCAAAAGATACACTGAAAAGCAAGTCTCCTCTTTTCCTTGACACTAAATCCCTTCCTTTCTTTTGTTGCATATGCTTGTTTTTTAGACTTATCCTGGGTATTCTTCAGTGTTCATTTTACTATATGAATTTTAGACTTAACTGTCTACTCCCAGAGATAAACCTGTTACAAATTTTAATGTGATTGTGCCAGATGTATAGATTAAGTTTCAGAGATTTGACATCCTTATAATGCCAAAGTTTTCTATCCAAGAATGTACTCTGAGGCTGGGCACGGTGGCTCATGCCTGTAATCCTAGCACTCTGGGAGGCCAAGGCGGGTGGATTGTTTGAGCTCAGGAGTTTGAGCTCAGCCTGAACAAGAGCGAGACCCTATCGCTACTAAAAATAGAAAGAAATTAATTGGACAGCTAAAAATATACAGAAAAATTAGCCAGGCATGGTGGCACATGCCTGTAGTCCCAGCTACTCGGGAGACTGAGGCAGAAGGATCACTTAAGCTCAGGAGTTTGAGGTTGCTGTGACCTAGGCTGATGCCGGGCACTCTAGCCCTGGCAACAAAATGGGACTCTGTCTCAAAAAAAAAAAAATTTACTCTGTCTTTGTTCAGATCTCCATAATCTACTTTTGTATCCTTCAGAAATGGAGCATTCTAAGGGCTTCCTTTTGTAGCTTTTGTATATTTCTTGTTAAGTGTATATATAAGTATTAGACAAGAGAACAAAGTTAGTACTTTAAGAATTGGAAAGAAAACTATAAATCGTGGTTCCATTCAAGATCTATAAGTGAAAAAAATCAATGTGCAGAACAGTGTTTAGAATATGCTACCTTTAGGATAAAAAAAGAGTCAGAAATGTGTGTATGTGTTTTTGGAGGTATATATATTTAAAGGTATGTAATAAAGTTGACCCTTGAACAACATGAGTTTGAGCTCCATGTTATATGCTGATTTTTTTCTGCCTCTGCCACCCCTAAGACAAGATCAAGCCCCTCCTCTTCCTCAGCCTACTCATTGTGAAGATGATGACAATGAAGATCTCTATGATGATCCACTTCCACTTAAGGAATAGTAAACATATATTCTCTTCCTTATCATTTTCTTTTTCTTTTTTGAGATAGAGTCTCACTGTGTTGCCCAGGCTATAGTGCAGTGGCGTCCTTATAGCTCACTGCATCCTCAAAATCCTGGGCCCAAGCAATCTTACCTCAGCCTCCTAAGTAGCTGGGACTACTGGCATGCATCAATAGGCCCCGCTAATTTTTCTATTTTTTTGTAGAGATGAGATCTTACTATGTTGCTCAAGCTGGTTTTCAACTCCTGGCCTCAAGTAATCCTACTGCCTTGGTCTCTTAAAGTGCTGGGATTATAGGTGTGAGCCACTACACCTGGCCTATTTTCTTAATATTTTTTTCTCTAGCTTACTTTCTTGTAAGAATACAGTATATAATACAACATACAAAATATGTGTTAGTTGTATGTTATCGGTAGGCTATTAATAGTTATGTTATATGTGATTTTTCAAATGTGGGGGGGGTCGCATTCCCAATCTCTGTGTTCAAGGGTCAACTGTATATATGATATATATGTGTGTGTATGTTATATATAATAAATGTATGTTGTATATGTACGTGTATATATGTTTATGTTGTTTTAAATAGTGGAAGGATAACTTAAGAAGTAATAAAAATGGTTACATGTAGGGCAAAGGAGGAATCAGTGTAGGAAAGGGTAGAAGCTAGACTTCCCTGAATATACTGCTATTTAATAATTTTCCAATTTTTATCAACTTGATTTAAATGGAAGATGAGGTTTAGTACTGTTATAACACCACCACCACTTCTCCTTTCCTTTTTTTCTGAAGATAGCTATATCACAAATTTTGGCTAGTTTAATTTCACTGTTTACTTTGTTATGATTGTTGGCATACTATTTATTACTGAGCCAAAAAATAACTATTAATTACATATCCTTCTATAACTTCTTATCATTCTTAGAGTTTTACCTGCCTTATTTTTCAGTTTTGTTGGTTTTGTATGTATTTTTAATTTAAATGATACTCTCAAAATCTTTGTTTAAATAAGGAATCCATCAGTGTCATTTGTTTACCTCATGAAGTGATAAAAGGGAAATTAAAAAGATGTTCTATTTCACAAAGAAATTTGTTACGCTGTTTTGACTAGTGGACTGTATTATGGAATGATTGAATCAGATCACAGAGGTTTTGTGTGTAGTTTCAAATGCCAGTATCTATAGGTCTTTTATCTTTTAATCTTATTATATCTTTTCTACCTGGAGGTAAGTGTCAGTATTCATGAGGCTAAGCAACAGATAGGGATTGGAAGTCTCTTCACTATTTAATGTATAAACATTCACATAATTTTTACCTTTTTAGTTAGTATGAGATGTTTCCTCTACATCTGCTTCATTTGTTTCTAAGTGTAGAGCTTCTCTGGTTCATTTTCTCTAGAAGGTAAGCTGTCCTTTTCCTGCTTGCATTGTGGAGACATGGCCACTTCCTGTGTGAATTGGGGTAGTGGTATATTGTTCAAGGTTTAGTTGTAGAGAGAAGAGTATACTAGCTGCTAATTTAAGAAGGAAGGAATTTATATGAAGATATTAAGTGGCTTACAGAATCTTTGGGAGCACTGAAGAGACAAACTACAAGGTAAGCTTCGAGGAATCTGATCACAAAGCTCTACACAAAAGTAAGCTTCTAGGGGGAGTTTGTTCTCCAGTATGATCAAGAAGTTGCTTTTGGCTGAACCAGGAGGATGCTTCTATAGCTGTGGGCTCTAGAACCTTGCCACTACTGTTATAATGTCATAAGCAAATTGTTGTAATGTCATAAGCAAAATGCCCACTCTCTTCTCCTAATTTAATTCTAAATTAAAATGTCGTGTGAGTGCATGGTGAATCTGAATCACATGAGAACCTTACATTTAGTTATGTCTAGGAAATGTAGTTTTAACTGCCTTAGCCTTTGCAAGATGGAAACAGTGGGAAATTGGAATAGATGTTACTTAAGCAGATCCATAATACCTGCCTTACGGTCTAACTGTTCCTTATTCAGGCTTTAAATTAATACTTTTCTTTTTAGCCCCACTCTTACCCTACTGTTTTTGTTTTCTTTTGTTTTTGAGGCATGGTCTCACTGTGCTGTTCAGGCTGGTCTCAAATTCCTGGATTTGAGCAAGCCACCCCAGTAGCTGGGACTTCCAGTGGGGCCACTGTGCCCAGATTTTTTAATTAATAAGCTTTATTTTTTAGGTCAGTTTTAGGTTCACAGCATAATCAAGCATAAAGTACAGAGGCCCCTTGTACCCCCCTGCCACAACATATGCACAGCCTCCCCCACTATCAACATCTTGCACCACAGGGGTGTATTTGTTAAAATCGAGGAACCTACCCTGATACATCATTACCACTCAAAGTCCATAGTTTACACTAGGGTTCTCTCTTGGTGTTGTACATTCTATGGGTTTTGACATGAATAGTATCATACAGAATAGTTTCATTGCCTTAAATCTGTGTTCCTCCTATTTATTCCTCCTTCTCCTGTAACTTCTGACAACCATTGATGTTTTTACTATCTCCATGGTTTTTCTGTTTCCAGTATGTTTGGAATCATATAGTAGGTAGCCTTTTCCGATTGGCTTCTTTCACTTAGCAATATGATTTAAGATTCTTCAGTGTGTTTTCATGGCTTGATAATTTGTTTGTAACATGGACTAGTATCCCATTGTCTAGATGTGCCATCATTTATCCATTCACCTACTGAAAGATATCTTCCATGTTTTGGCAGTTATAAATAAAGCTACTATAACAGTTTTTGTAGGAACATAAGATTTTAACTCATTGGAGTCAATACCAAGGAGCATGATTGCTGAATGATACAATATGAGTATGTTTATATTTTGAAGGAAACTACCAAACTGTCTTCCAAAGTGGCTGTAACATTTTGTGTTTCTACGAACAATGAATGAAAGTTCCTATTGCTCCACATCCTTGCCAGCCTTTGACTTATTAGTTCAATTGTTGTTGATTCTTGGATTTTCTACATAAAGTTTGTGTCATCAGTGAACATAGACAGTTTTAGGTTTTTGGTTCTTTCCTAATCTTTATACCTTTTATTTCCTTTTTTTTTTTTTTTTATCTTACTGCATTAGCTAGGACTTACAGTGCAACATGGAAAAGCAATGATGAGAGGGAACATCCTTGTCTTGTACATGTTTGTCCCTATCTTTAAGTACCTGAATCCTCTAATTCTTGAGCTTTTGCAGTGATTTTGGGCCAAGTCACTTTGGTGCATATTGGCTTTTTTTTTTTTTTTTTTTTTGACAGAGTCTCTTGCCTCCAACTCATGGCCTCCAGCCATCCTCCCTGCTGCCTCAGCCTCCCGAGTAGCTGGGACTACAGGCATGCGCCACCATGCCCGGCTGATTTTTTTTTTATATATATATATATATTAGTTGGCCAATTAATTTCTTTCTATTTATAGTAGAGACTGGGTCCTACTCTTGCTCAGGCTGGTTTCAAACTCCGGACCTCGAGCAATCCGCCCACCTTGGCCTCCCAGAGTGCTAGGATTACAGGCATGAGCCACCACGCCAGGCCCATATTGGCTTTTGCTTTAACTTTTTAGTGTTGCTATCTAGTTATTAGTTCCCTAAATGCCTTCCATCTTGGAGTGTTTTATTGAAATCCCTTGATAACCTATTTACAATTCTGTATCCTTTTTCTTGTGGATTTGATCCTTTATTCTTTACTGTTAATTTTAAAGGAATTTTAGGAAGAAGGAGAAATAAACATATGCATTCAATCCAGTGTGTTTAATCACAAATATTAACTTTATTCTCTAGTCATTTGACTCCCTATCCACTCATTTTTATGTTTACCGTTTTGTTTTAATTATTTATTTTGCTGATTTCTACAATGTACAAGAACACTTTTAAATTCAGTCAAAGCTACTTGGGCCTATGATGTTTTCTATAGTAGTTAACTTCTCAAACCTTAGAAACATTTTGGTTAGATTTCTTTTATATTGGTTGACTATGGCCAACATCAAAGATTAAACCCTACACTAGCAAATTTCTGAAATGTTATTAATAGTATAGTGGTAGAAAAATTTATAAATAATAATTTTTGGTCCTCCATTTTAGAAGTTTGGGAAGTTGATGAACAGATCAAGAAGCAACAGGAAACACTTGTGAGAAAATTCACACCCATCTCCAAGAAAACCCTGATTAAGGAAAAAGTAATTGAATGTAAAAAAGTTGCAAAAATATTTCCTCTGAGCTCAGACATTGTTACTTCGAGACAAAACTTCTATGAATGTGACTCACTTGATAAGAGTTTGGAACATAATTTAGGCCTAAATAGTTATGAGAAAGGCTGTGTAAGAGAGAAAAATTATGAATGTAATGATTATGAAAAACCATTTTACTATTGTTCGTCCTATGTTGTATCCCCCTTTAAGTGTGGTCAGTGTGGACAAGACTTCAGTCATAAATTTGACCTCATGAGACATGAGAGAATTCATGCTGGAGAGAAACCTTATGAATGTAAGGAGTGTGGAAAAGCCTTCAGCAGGAAGGAAAATCTTATTACACATCAGAAAATTCATACTGGGGAAAAACCATATAAATGTAATGAATGTGGAAAAGCTTTCATTCAGATGTCAAACCTTATTAGACACCAAAGAATTCACACTGGGGAGAAACCTTATGCATGTAAGGATTGTTGGAAAGCCTTCAGCCAGAAATCAAATCTTATTGAACATGAGAGAATTCACACTGGAGAAAAACCCTATGAATGTAAGGAATGTGGGAAGTCCTTCAGCCAGAAGCAAAATCTCATTGAGCATGAGAAAATTCATACTGGGGAGAAACCTTATGCATGTAATGAATGTGGTAGAGCTTTTTCTCGAATGTCATCTGTTACTCTACATATGAGAAGTCACACAGGGGAGAAACCCTATAAATGTAATAAATGTGGAAAAGCTTTCTCTCAATGCTCAGTATTTATTATACATATGAGAAGTCATACTGGTGAGAAACCCTATGTATGTAGTGAATGTGGGAAAGCTTTCTCTCAAAGTTCATCCCTTACTGTACATATGAGAAATCATACAGCTGAGAAACCATATGAATGTAATGAATGTGGAAAAGCCTTCAGCCGGAAAGAAAATCTTATTACACACCAGAAAATTCATACTGGAGAGAAACCTTATGAATGCAGTGAGTGCGGGAAAGCCTTTATACAGATGTCCAACCTCATTCGACACCAAAGAATTCATACTGGTGAGAAACCCTATGCATGTACAGTGTGTGGGAAAGCCTTTAGTCAGAAATCAAATCTCACTGAACATGAGAAAATTCATACTGGAGAGAAACCCTATCATTGTAATCAGTGTGGAAAAGCTTTCAGTCAGAGACAAAATCTTCTTGAGCATGAAAAAATTCACACTGGAGAGAAACCATTTAAATGTAATGAATGTGGTAAAGCTTTCTCTCGAATCTCATCTCTTACTCTTCATGTAAGAAGTCATACAGGGGAGAAACCTTATGAATGTAATAAATGTGGAAAAGCCTTTTCTCAATGCTCATTACTTATTATACATATGAGAAGTCATACTGGTGAAAAACCCTTTGAATGTAATGAATGTGGGAAAGCATTCTCTCAAAGAGCATCCCTTTCTATACATAAGAGAGGTCATACAGGTGAGAAACGACGAGTGTACTAAGTGAAGGAAGGCCTTGTCTTAAATTCAGCATTGTTTTACTTAAAATATCTTGGTGTAATCTAAAAAAAAATGAATAAAATCTTTATGGAAAAATTGTAATACTTTGTTGAAGGTTGTCAGACTTCAATAAATGAAGAAAAATACCATATAAATAGTTAAAGAAGCTTGGTATCATAAAAATCTCCATTCTAAAAATCTGTAGATCTGAAGCAAATAAGTCACTAAAAAAATAAGCAAGAAAAAATATATAAAATAAATAAAAATCTGTAGAGTGAATGAAGTTCGAAACAAAATCTAACAATAATGTTATAAGATCTTTACAAAATGATTCTAAAATTTATGTGAAATAGAAGTATATGGATTGCTGAGCCAATTTTGGAAAAGAACAGAGGAGAGACCCTTACCATATACTACACACAGAAAGTTAAAGTCATTAACACATGTGTGGTATAAGTGCATCAGTAGCTACATAAGCATATGTTAAAAGAATAGAGTGCTTAGAAACAGACCTGTCAACTTGGTATGTGTAAGACCTGACATCATCATAAGTTAGTAGGAAAATAATGACATGACCTAGTCAATAAAAATTATTGGAGTATTTGACTCTCCATACTGAGGGAAATAAAATAAAATTACATACAACCTTACAACATGTAAAGAAATAATATTCTAATGGATTTGAATATGACAATGTGAAAAGCCAAATTCTGAAACCATTGAGAGAAAATAGAGGGTATTGTTTGTGACCTTGAGGCAAAGAAGCATCTTTTAAAGACTAAAAGACCTTACAATTCCACTTCTGGGTATATATACTATAGAAAATCAAAAATATATATGTAGCTGGGTGCAGTGGTTCATGCCGGTAGCTGTAGTCCCAACTAATTGGGAGGCTGAAACACTTGAGCTCAGGAGTCTGAAACAGCCTGGACAATATAGTGAGATCCTATCTATATAAAAAGGAAAAGAAAAAATTATTTATATATATATATGAATTGAAAACAACCTAAATATTCACCAGTGGGATAATGGATGAATAAAATATGATATATTCAAATGATATACTAGTATACAGCAGTTAAAAGAAATGAAATAGATCCATATTATATAACATGAATAGTTATCTAAAACAATGTTGAGTGGAAAAAATCAAGGTATAAATGAAATATTGTATAATGATATTCTTGTAAATTGGGATGAAAGCATTTATGAAGAACACTTCTTATGAAGAATAATGTTTCTATTATTGAAATATGTCTGTAAAAACTATTTAAATGGAATAGAAGGATACATACCAAATTATTGATAGTGTTGTCTCTGGCTGGAGATTGAGTTTGCGGGTTTTGGTTAAAGGGGACCTTTAGCTTTATTTGTAATTTTTATGCCTTAAAAAAGAATGGTATCATATAAAATCATAAAAGGTAATGATACACAATGATAATATGAATGTCTTGTTGTAATAATGTTTTTCTAGTTATTTCTCAAACATAGTGGGCCTGGGGAAGTTCATGCCCATAAAAAGAAATGTTACAATTGATTGATCTCATATCAGTTGCTAAACTATTTCATCAAAAAATTTCCAGAAAATTAGTAATTACAATAATCCTATTTACTGTATAACATGAAATTAGCATGTTTTATCAATTCTGTGGTGCTTTTTTTACATTTTAACATTTCTAAAATTGGACTCATCTTTCAATTGATGTCCTAGATTCAAATAAATATTTAATTATTAAACATTTAAGAATCAGATGCCAGTGTAACAAATGAAATATATTTTTATTTACTAGTTCAAGGCATGATGGTCTAATCATGGTCCCTACCTCTTTGTGTGTCTAGCATTATTTGGCTACAAATTTTTTAGGTTTATAGCTAACTAGTTAGCAATATGTTTAGACTCTTTAGAGAGAGGATAAAATTTACTTGAGAAATTGACTTTGAAATATTAGTTTTCTTGTCCTATGATTTTCCATACAACCAGCATAGGCATTAAGGTTATTGTTATTATGGTATTTTAAAATGAGAAATTTTGTTTCCTGAGATGGCCACAACAATTGTAGAAAGTTGTTTCAGTTTTAATCTACAGTCTATTTTTTTCTTTTCACACCCCTTGACTTATACAACGTATCTAGTTTTGGTTGGTGCACCCTGAGCAGTAATAATGGAGTTCCTCTAAATGAGTCTCATTCTCTATAACAATACAAGAGTCAGCCCCGACTTGGGTAATTTTTTATCATGTCATCTCTACAATATTTGATATATAGAAAAATCACTAATGCCTTTTTAAGAAGAAGATAAGAATTGAGAGTTAGTCAAAAAGGATCTTTAGCTTTTATGTTTGAACATTAACTGCACTTGTTCAAAGTTGATTTCACAACAGTAAATTTTTCTGAAACCAAAGTTAAAAAACACAACCATGACTGTATCAATTTTGATTGTTATTAGGTATCTTTGAAGATTGACAGTGACTTGTAATAAATAGAGGCTAATTTTTTTTTTTTTTTTTTTTGAGACAGAGTCTCACTTTGTTGCCCAGGCTAGAGTGAGTGCCGTGGCGTCAGCCTGGCTCACAGCAACCTCAATCTCCGGGGCTCAGCGATCCTCCTGCCTCAGCCTCCCGAGTAGCTGGGACTACAGGCATGCGCCACCATGCCCGGCTAATTTTTTGTATATATATTTTTAGTTGGTCAATTAATTTATTTCTATTTTTGGTAGAGACAGGGTCTCGCTCAGGCTGGTTTCGAACTCCTGACCTTGAGCAATCCGCCCGCCTCGGCCTCCCAAAGTGCTAGGATTACAGGCGTGAGCCACCGCGCCCGGCCTGAGGCTAATTTTAATGAAAACAAAAATTATAGTTTACCAAAACTTAAATATCTAAATGAATATTGTCATTTTATAGTCTCTTCTTAAATAGATTTTGTGTTAAATACAGTTTTGCCAGCATACCTAATTTGTGGACCTTTTTTAAAAAAATAGTTTTCAAATTTCATGTGTTATCTACACAAGAAACCCTATGTAAATATTTATAAGACATTATTTTTTGCCTAAACTGTTGTCTTTCTTTGTGATTTTCTTCTCCATATTTCTTTATCTAGCCCATACTTCATTCTTTAAATTTTCTGCCCCTTTCTGTATGTACCTTTGGAATCAGCAGAAAAATTTAAAATTTTGCATAAGTTTCATAAGGACCTTAGGGTTTTTTTGTTTGTTTGTGTTGTTTTGTTTTGTTTTGTTTTTTGGCCTCTCTCTGACCCAAGTAAGACTGGCTGAGCTTATCGGGTGAGATAAAATGCCTGAGAATAAACGTGAATCTGAAGACTAAGAAGGGTATTTTACTGATCGTGTGTCAGCAAGCAGATGATCACTATAAATTCATTTTTCCCTATGTTCTAAGGGGTGGATATAATAAGATAGGTATAAGTGACTGAGTTAACATCTGACAAAATCATTAATCAAATCAAAGTAAATTCCTCTTTACCAGGACACACAGGAACTGCTCAGAGAGATTCCATTCTAGATTTCAGACTTCTTAAGATCTGATTTCTTTGAGTGACCTTGGAAGACACAGAATAAAACATATTGATAGTGGCTTAGACTGGAGCCACAGAAATACAAATTGATAGATTTGAGATATATTTTGGAGGTGACTCAATAAAATTGTTCCTACGAAAGATGTAGAAGAAAGAGATAAAGGATAACTCCTATGGTTTTATGGAGAGCAACTGGCTGGGTGGTGGACCATTTGATAAAAATGCAGGAGACTGGGGAGAAATATTTTAAAGAAAATTTGGGGACTGATATCAAGATCTATTAATAGACTTTCTTTTTGGTGGTTTCCCCGAAGCAGACCTTGAGATGAGGATTACTATGCAAGTGATTTATTAAGGAAGTGCTCGCAGTAAGAAGGATAAGGGCATGGAGGAATCAGGGTAAGAAAGAGGAATAAGTCAAGGATGTGATTGTAGGCATAGTTCTGTCATGGGTTATTTCATCCTGATTCCTGGGGGAACTCTGGAGCGTAAGCTATGCTTCAGACTTGTCAAGATTCCACTACTAGGATTGAGACAAATGTGCTGCCAACTACTGAGAATCTTGACTACTGACAACTAACAGTAAGTTCCTCTACAGGAATTGCTCTTGGATGAAGGGAGCTGCCTTATGCAAGGTTATACTGGCTCGCTAAAGGCAACCTGCCCCGCCTCAATTTAGGACAACTCTGAAGAATCATGCCAGCTTTAGAGCTCTCCAAGAAACAAATTGCAACTGCATCACGATTCAATTTCTGCTTCCATCCAAGTCTCCTTCCCTCATTTTCTTACTGGTGATATTCCCAAGAGCTCTCCCTAGTAAACCCTACCATAAATTTCCATCTCAGATTCTTTTTTCCCCACTGACCTAAAACAGTGGGGCGTTTTCCAACAGCAGTTCTCAAACTCAAAAATTGTCGAGAATATTTGTAATTCATTTGAAACTAATAAACTCATTATATGTTAAGATGAATAATATATTTTATGAAAAATAATTGTTCACAAAACAAAAAATATTTAATAAGAGTGTCGTTATATAATTTTGAAAATACCCTCAATGTGTTCATGGAAGACAGCTAAGTTTTCATCTCTGCTTCTATATTCAGTCTGTAGCAGTGTCACATGTCAAGTAGATTGGGAAACTCCATCTTATACTCCTGAGAGAATGAGAATGAAAAGGGAAATACAGTCTTAACATTATTAAATTATAAATTATGAATAATTTTGGCCTCAGATATCCTTAGGGACTCCAAGACTATTTAAGAACTGCTATTTTGACATTTGGCTTGGTTTATTAAAAAACTTGGGCCGGGCGCTGTGGCTCACGCCTGTAATCCTAGCTCTTGGGAGGCCGAGGCGGGCGGATTGCTCAAGGTCAGGAGTTCAAAACCAGCCTGAGCAAGAGCGAGACCCCATCTCTACTATAAATAGAAAGAAATTAATTGGCCAACTGATATATATATAAAAAAATTAGCCGGGCATAGTGGCGCATGCCTGTAGTCCCAGCTACTCGGGAGGCTGAGGCAGAAGGATCACTCGAGCCCAGGAGTTTGAGGTTGCTGTGAGCTAGGCTGA